ATACTACCCACATTCATTTTCTTTGAAAAAAATATAGCACACGCACACACACACATAGAGAGAGAAATGTATGTCACTCATGCACACACACCCACCATAAAAAAACGTTGATTATCAATCCATTCCAATCAACCATTTTGAGTTTTTTTTTCTATCTATTTCACTCATTCATTCTCGCTGTATATCATCATCATCATCATCATCATCATCAACAACAATAATGACAACATCCAACAAACCAGAAAAAAAACAGCTTGGTCCCTAGGGTTATTGGTGTTGTTTTTGTTTAGTTTGGTTATATTTTTTTATGACTATGCTTTAGGGCTCAACAACAACAACAACAACAATAACCGAAAAAAATATCAGATTAAAATAAACACACACACACACACACACATATAGCAAATTCAAATAAAGAGCTGATAGTTTTTTTGTGACGATTCTTGTATATGGTATGTGTGTGTGTTTACAATGGTCAAGACCTTGATGATGTTGATGATGATGATGGTCATATTGTGTGTGTGTGACAGATGGACACAATTTTTTTCTGTTGTTTATCACACACACACAATACACAATGTGAATAAACAAATTTCGGTCAAGAGAGAGAGAGAGAGAGAGAGAGAGAGAGAAAGAGAAAAGAAATGAATTGATTAAAAGTTTTTTTTTATTTTCGATATATTTTCAATTTTTTTATTTTATGACTTTTGTTGGCATTTAAACCAAATACAAAATATGACAACGACGAAAAGAATCTGAATTAAAATCAAAAATCGAATCCATAATGATGAAAACATTGACAAGAATGACTCACTGGAAGCGGAAGAGGCGTGTCCCGGTACAAGTAGTAGTAGTTGTAGTAGCAGCAGTACTATGTAATGATAATAATCAAGATAGCTCAATCAGTCAATCAATCAATCATTTTCAAGACATTCGTCATTAAGAAAAAAAAACCATATAATTGTATATATGCTATGATATTTCGTCAACAACAACAGACACGGTATGACCTCTCTAGCTCTCTAAAAGTCATAGGTAACCATCATCAACACCATAATTTCAATATATAATAATGATGATGATAATGATGACCATCAAGGAAAAAAAATATCCAACAACTTACCAATGACCATATATGATTATCACTATTATTATGGACGAGAAAGAAAAATAGGGGAAAAAAAAGAAAAAAAATCAAATCAGCACGTGCAGTTTGTTGTTATTATTCATTTATTTTGGATTTTTTGACCAAATAAAAATAAAATATAAGCTCAAATGACCTTTCTCCTCTCTTCTCCTCCTCCTCCTTCTACTTATGAACATCATCATCAAGTTCAATCACATCAATGAATCAATTACTTCTCTCTCTCTCTCTCGTTTATAAAACGGAAATGGACAAATCTAAACCTAAACTTATAGCCCCACCATCAAAATCGATATATAAATATAAGGGTTACATTTGATATTCAAAATTTCTTGAAAAATATTCACCAAATCTAAGAATGGATATTTTGAATATTTACATCACAACATTACTTATCTATTTAAAAACATTAATAATCAAAGAAAAATATATTTATCTATCTATCTTATTTATACATTTGATTTGATTGATGGTTGACTGAACACCGAGGTCAAATAAAAGAAAGAAAAAAAAATCCAGAAACCAACAACAAAAAGTTCGAATCAATTCATTCGGAGTGATGAAAAAATAAAAGAAAAATTTGTTTCGAATACAGTTGAAGACTGTGGTTGTTTTGGTGAAAGATGTGTATAGTATTTTTGTGTGTGTGTGTGTGTGAAAAAATCGTTCAACCAAATTCAAATCATCTTACACATCTTTGTCGTTTTTTTTTTTTTTGTTTATGAACATTGATGCTCCAAGCTATCATGCATCATCATCATCATCATCATCACCTGAATAAACTAAAAAAAAGATAGGGAAAAAAAGAATCGTAATGATTATGATGATGGTGTCATTATTTGATTGATAAATGATACTGATCTTCATTTTATGATGATGATGATCATCATCAAAAATGATGAAAATACTAAGCGGACCTATGAATGGTAGCCACTGGTACTGTTTATTTTTCATCTATCTCTTTCTATTCTTCTTCTTCTTCTTATTCTTCTCTCAATGTGTGTGTGTGTGTGTGTGTGTATCTGATAATTTGGCATCGCATACAAACAAAACTCCAAATGGATAAAAATTGAGAAAAAAAAGAGAAATAAATTCAGGCGTCCATATTATATTCAAGAGTTGAGATGATGATGATGTTCGATCATTAGGAATGGTTCGATGCGTTCACATAACGCTCTATGTTTTGTTGACGTTGTTGACATCATTCACCATCATATATATATATACATTTATGCATCCATCCATCCATCACAATATTTATTTGGTCGGTCTTTTCATCTTTTTCTCTCACTCATTCAGTCACTATCGTTCTAATAATTCTCTTTGGATAGATCGGATGCATGGATGAATTAGATGATGATGATGAGAGACTCAAAGGACCATCATCATAATTGGTTCAAGAGCCCGAGAGAGAAAAAAAAACGAAGAGATAGACTGATACAGCTATGATCTTATTTGACCTTTTTTGTTACTTACCAGGTATCATCATCATCATCATCATCATCAACAGTCTTTGAATGACGATGACGATGATGATGAGGATGATCATGAAGATCATTGCTCAACATCATCATCAACGACAATAATGGTTGGAATTATTGTTTACGGTTCACCTCACATTTATCAATATACAATAGATTCACAGATATTCATCATCATCATCATCATCATGATTTGACCTCAAAGTATTATAGATTAAAAAATTTAAAGAAAAAATTTACATAGGTATTAACGTATGGGGAAGAAAAAATTTCATCAAAAATGTGATGAAGAATTTTTGATGATCACAAGAACTAAAATCGGAAGTAGATTGAAACATTCCTAACACACACATATATGTATTTGGGCGTTTGTTGTTTCGTAATTTTCGTAACAATGTTTCACGCTGTTGAATTCAAAAAAAATTTAATTTACAACAAACAAAAATCTTGGAGCATAATCATTATCATCATCTGATTGCAAATGATTTTTACAATGTGAAGAAACAATCATCAGATTTTTTTTTAAGAAAAAAAAGAAAGTAAACGAAATTAAAATGAATGGACTAATTTTTTTACGAATTCAAATTTGAATTTTGTCTTATGGGCCAAATGAATGAACGTTATTCACGAGTTATAATAAATATATGAATGGTCATCACGTCCGAAAATTTTTTTCTTTTGTTTGTGTAAACCAGTAAATAAGTATTACATATTTGCATTCGAATGTGTGTGTGTGTGTGTGTTTGGCCACCATGTTGTTTCGTATTCGACATTGAAAGTGTTTTTTTTTATTAAATTGAATTAAATTTTTTTTTTTAATAAAATTATTTAAATTATAAATAATGAATAATGATGCGGATGATCATATCATCATGTTTGTGGCCACAAAACAAACCGGTGACCAGGCAAGTTTTCTTTTTTTCTTTTCTTTTTTTTTGTTTAAATTCGATGCATGGATGCGCATCATTCATTGTAATTTCAATTTTTTCATTGGACCGTATCCATCAATTGCTCATTGGCCTTGTTATTATGCAATGACGATAAGAAAATAAAAGAAACAATTCTACCGATGATGATGATGATGATGATGATGAAGGGAAAGAAATACGATTCTTACAACAACAACAAAAAAAAAGAAATGATCGATGCTAAACAGATCATAGCATTACATTTAATTCAATGGAAGAAAAGAATTCAATTTTTTTTCTAAATTATTTTTTTTCAACAAATTAAAATTCATTTACATCACGTACATTCGAAATTATCATCATCCAAATGGTGATGATGATGATCACGTATGCAAATCACACATCTCTAGCAATTTATTATATCATCATCATCATCTAGATCTTAAATGACAATCAAAATGATGAAAGATTCTGGGCGTACAATGATGATGATGAAAACTTTCACTCACATTTCGATAAACATCCATTACATTAAATGATAAATGTAACAATTAAACAATAATGGTCAACAAAGTTCATTTTGATGATGCAAATGATTTTTGTTCATTCAACAAATTTGAATGTGAATTGTTCCATATCATTACAAAAGTTCATCATAAGATGATGCTTAAATTATTATTATATTATATATTGTCAACTCGATAAGGTTCGATGCTATCAAAGATGTCAAAGAAGAAGAAGAAGAAAAAAAAAGGAAAAAGAAAAGAAAGTCAGCTCTTTTGAGACCGGTTTTTTCGACACATCCACATATAAAGGGAGATAGGGTAGAAAAGACAATAATAATTCATCTCAAAAATTCAAGCAATTAATGTAATCCTTGAAGCATCACTTTTTCTTTATTTTGTTTGAACTTTATATTCATTTTTCTTCATTCACTCCCCATTACTTTTGAAGCGCATCCTTATTCTTTTTTTTGTGACAAATTTTTTTTTCTATTCCTTCAATCATCATCATTTGCCAAAAAAAAAGATTGTGAATTTACTTGATTGTAATTTTCATTATTCAACCATTAGATGTGTATGTATGTTACGCTCTAAAGGATGTTCACATCATCATCAAACATTTGACTCAAGTGGCTAATGTTGATTCTCTGGTTTTTTTTTAATTATCAACCAAAAAAAAGATCTCAGTCTAGTTATCCTTCAAAATCTAATGTTCTTTAGATTTCATCAAGATCCTATCACTGTTTTTATATTTTATAAATCGTTCAGAATTATAATCATCATCATGATCTGATGTGAAAAAAATACGTCATGCTCAACGAATCGTTTCATTCATAATCGATGATGAATTTTGTTCAATAACCCACCATTGAACTATTGGATTCAAAGATGTGAAATTTTTTTTTCAAAATTTTATCAATTTATTTGCAAAAAAAAAAATCAAATAAGAAATTCATGTGTGTGTGTGTGTGTGTGTATGTGTAATAAATATGCTTAGTTTTGTTTATTTTCCTTTGTAAAATTAGAACACACTGGTCAATACAAACACTATAGCCAACAAGAACAAATTCATTAAGCATATATATCTATCTTCCTATGTAAATATATCACTATCACAATTAATTATTCGTTTCGTTTTTTATTTGATGATTGTTGTTGTTTCTTATTTCGTTTCCGTTGTGATAATTTACAATTATTACGAATGGATTTTTGTAGTTGATTTTTTTCGAATAATAATTCGTTGGATTTAAAGCCATTATTATCCATTATTGTTGGAAGATCATTTTTTACATTATCATTTGATGAAGAATTAGTTGTTGTCATTGTTGTTGTTGTTGTTGTAGATTTAGATTTTTTTCCACCACTACGAATTGATTGTGTATATGTTTTACGATAAAAATTGCCGAATAAAATTAGAAATGAAAATGCATAACAAACAAATACATATTGCATCCAACGTGTAAATGGGCAACCGGTAATTATTGAATTTAAGCCTAATGTAACACCCATTGTAAATTGTATCTACATAATTGAATGGAATGATTGAATAGTGAATATAAATTAAATTATTCAATTCATATATTATTGATACTTACCAATTGTATGATTGTCAAATATTTTTTCCACCATAAATATGGCTGCAAACGTTGACCGAATGATGCTAAGGCATAATAGCTATACATAAGTACATGTACAATACAATTGACTAATGCACCGGTAACTGCTGATCCACCGGGCACAAATTTTGCACCGACCCACCAAACAATAAACATTGTTGAATGATGATAGATATGTAAAAATGTAAGCTGATTGGCTTTGCGTTTGATTATTATTAATAATGTATCGATCAATTCGATTGCTTTCGATATAAAATACCACCAAATTGCAATGGCAATCTAATTTGATAAAATATTCAAAATTAAGAAAAAATTTGAATTCAAATAAACAACCAACGGTAAAATCGTATACACTTACCCTTGTTTCATATGGATCATCCGTACCGATATATACTAATTGGCAAAGAAAATTATAATCTGATTTCCATGCACAATAAACCAACTTTGATTGAAAATAATAAAGATAATCAATTAAACAAACCAAAAACAAAATTAAACAAACCTCATAGGCAATCCATGCATTCAATGATGCCATACTAAGATTATAAACAATAATAAATGCTGAAAACCATATAGTCTGAGTCACTGGAATAGTATCAAAAGTTCCAATTCCAATACTATTACTGATACTATGTCCTCTGTGCCCTTTACCATGATGATGATGATGATGATGATGATGGTGATGGTGATGATGATGAGTTTTGTGATGACTACGACCACCACCTAAAGAATTTTGATTATTCGATGCAGATAAAGCTTTCAATATCCAACGTTGAACCGAAGATGGTGATGATGAATCATTTCCATTTTTGAGCCATTGATAACCATGATAAACAATGGTTAAATATATGATTACAATTATTAATGGCCAAATGATCGACCCCATTAATGGCCATTCACGAAGTTTTGGATCTACAAACAAGAATATTGTGAATTTATTCGTTATTAACAATCATGATTGTAATGTCATACCTGAAAATTCATCAAAATAATTATAATAAAAATATAGATTAGCTATCGGTGTGATAATGTAATAAATACATGATGGTAATCGTGTTGACGTTCGACGAAAATATGTCTGATTCATACGTGTCCATAATTGTTCCAAATATAATTGAACACCCGATTTCATGATGATGGTCAAATCAAATATCGAGTAGGACCCGATATTGTTCCACCGGATGAAAAGGATTCGAAAACTAAAAAAAAAGAGATACTAATATTTGAATACACAACGAATTTTTTTTATTTATTATTATTCTTGCCTTTGTAAACATGTAACAAGAGAAAAAAAACTCAACGGAACTAAACCAATAGTCGATGGTACCAAAGCAGTTTCAGAACCACTACCACTAAGAATCATTTTCTATGTTGGAACATCAGAATATTCGTGGTTTAAGATTTGGAGCATAAAAAATCGAAACATTACTGCCATCTGTCGATGGTGAGCGGGAATAATATTTTTTCCAATATTTTGTTAAAAAGTTATTTATTTATTTATATTGAAATCAAACAGTTTGAAAATCCGATGAAAGAAGAAGAAGATTTCCAAATGCTTTAAGTATAGATTTCGGTAAAATTATTTTGGATATATCGTATGAAAGTCGATTGATTCGTTGACAACGATCCGAATCACCATCATAATCCGAACACATTAATTGTAATGTATTTCCAGCCATATTCGATATGTATTGATCAAAATATTCGATCGATTTTGAATCACAATATTTTGGTTGTCGTTCTGCATGTTCCAATACACAAGATTTCATCCGATGAAATGAACTTGAAAAATGAAGAAACAAATATTTGAGTTTTTTCGAATGATGCGAATTACAATAACAACGAAAAAAAAACCTTACCAACATCCATATGGTATTCGATTATTTTGCTGTTGCAAACCTAATGCCTGACCAAAACGTATCAACATTTGATTCATACAATGTGATGATTGTTTTCGTAAAGAATTTACACATGATGACATGTGTAATAATTGTAAACGTTTCGTTTTTGAACCACAAGTCGAACGATGTAATGAACGTACCGTATAAAGCATAACATTGGCTAATTGTTTTTGTTCCGAATTTTTTGCACATTGTTCAGTGAATTTTCTTACACATTTTATCAACTGAATTGTTTCATTACAATAATCATTTAATTCTGTTTCATTCACCGGAAATGGTCGAGAATTTTTACCGACAAAGAATAATTTTTCACCACATAGATCAGCATTAGCTAGATTTGTTTCCGTACATGTTAATGTTGATGATGATGATGATGATGGCCAAACGGTTGTCGAGAATATTGTAAAAATCAATAATGATGACAACATTATTGTTCAAATCAAGTCAATAAATTGAATCAATTCGATCAATCAATCGATTTGTTATCCATTATGCATCATCATTATATATATACATCAATGGAGCTAAAATGATTGTGATGATTGTCACGAATGTCCAAATCCAAATCGAATGATTCAAATTACAACTCTCTCATTGTCGAAAAATTATGTGCGTGACATGGGCATCGAATCTGATTGAAAATTGTGTATGAAAAAAAGTACATCATATCATCATCATTCATTTTATTATATTTTATTAAAATGTATTGATTGATTGATTTATTGGAAAAACATTGAAATTTTGTCAAAAATTTGAAATGACAATTTGAGTCAAGTTGAGCAGTAGAAATCAACAGCATTGTAGTGTGTTTGGAGATGTCTGGCCTAAAAATATTGTTATTTTATGGGTGGACTATTTGTTTGTTGAAGCTTGTTAACGATCGGTGCGTTTTTTTTTTTTTTTTTTTTGATGACAACTGTTGACGTCATTACATTTTTTACTTATTTATGTTGATGACATTGACAACAATCAGTTTTTATTTGATTTTAAATGATTGCAACTGTGTAATATTCGGTTGGTTATTTTTAGCCCACACTCACAATTCATTTAGGAGTTTTTAATGTAGATATTTTCTAGATATAATTTAATCGTCGGATAAAATAAATGTTATTTAATGTGGGCGTTGTTTTGAGTTTTTTTTTCGGAAGATTTTTTTCATTTTTGTGTTTTGGTTATTTTGGACCAGAAATGTTGTTCATTACACAAACACATACACACAATAGAGATAGAATGGATTGAATTTTGTTTTTAGTTTTTGTTGATTGATTGAGTTGAATTGAAAATCAATTTTTTTTCAGGCAGCTACAACAATCGGATATGGACTTCCGGGCAAATGAATATCATTAAATTTAAGATGAAGTTTATAATCACCCGGTGTTGGTGGTTTATAGATGACCGTTATGGTACCATCATTATTATTACGGAAGCTAACCTCAACTTTGGCTGGACCTTCCATTGCGAAACTAATACCACCGGTAATGCCCGCTTCTTTACAATCGATTGTTAATTGATTATCTTGATTCACTTTACCGGCATTAATATTCGGTCCACCAACTTTAACTTTTTCTGTCAATTTTCGATGTGTAGCTTCATCACCAGAAATATTACATTTGAATGGTGAACCAACAATTTCTTTTCCTTCATACTTAATATGAATTTTATATTGACCACCAGCTTTTGGTGTATAACCAACATCTACTGAACCATCTTTGGTTGAATTAAAATTTATTTCCGGTTTTGTTGGACCTGTTGTTGTGATGGTGAAAAAAAAATTGAATTAGAAATTTTCAAAATGAAAATCAATTATTTACCTTCAAAAGCAACAGTTAAACCGGAAACCGGTTTACCCGATGTGAAAACGGTAAATTTATTCTCCATACCGGCAATGCCGTTAACGAGACCACCACCGTGTGCCGAGATACTCATGTTGATTCAAATGTTATTTAAAATAATAACAATACAAACAAACAAACAAACAAAAACAACGAAAAAACAGAACGTAACTAAACAGTTTCAGAAACGAACAAAAATGAAAAAAAGAAAAAAGATTGACAAAGTTTCAGAATTTTAAAACGTAAAACAATGATGATGTGGATGATGGAATACTCACCCAACCAACAAAAACTGAAAACTAAATGAATAAAAAAGAATTGTTCACAAACTACAAAGATACAGAATGTTTCATGATTGACATAGATGTTGCATCCATCATAGTCAAAGAATATAATTCTTGCATAAATTATTCTGTGCTACGCCGTCGCGTTTTTTTCTGTTTTCTGTTTGTTGTTGACTATATTCTTGTAAAAAAAAAATTTCGATCTGTCTAAAAATAAATTCATTTTCATGCAATAATGAATTGGCTTCTTATTCTGATCATCAGTAGCATTAACAAACATCAAATGCATCGTTTTTCAAGTCAACCGAATAATAGAAATTAAAAACTGAATAATCTTTTTTTTCGATCATCATCCACCAAAAATAACAGTTAGTTTTGTAAGATGGAGGCCAAATCAAAGTGACGATGTTGTATTGATCATCAAAAAGAGAATAAGAATTTGCTCATTTACAGATTGATTTATGGATCACAATTGAAGAATGGCAGAATTTATAGGTTATTTGTAGAGAAAATGTTCTCCAGGTTAATCCGTATTTGGGTATGACTGGTAAAAATTTTAGGCTTGACAACAACAACAATAATAATAATAACAGCTTCGTCTTCATACTCATCATCATCGTTAGCATACAAATGTGACTTTATTTAGCATCGTAGACATTCTTAAAAATAAATGTATACATGGCTTATACATGCTAAACAGAATAATAATCATTATTATCATTATACATTCATCATTCAAAAAAGGTTGCCAAAATAGATGATGATGATGATGATGATGATATGGCGAGAAAAAAATGGGCTCATTTTTTTTGTTTTAAAAAATAAAATTTTTATACCGTTTATTGACTCATTAATTATTATTTTCGAATGTTATTTGAACACAATTGTCAAATTAGATTCATATGGCATGTATGGGTAGAATTGGGATCGATTAATTGTATTTCATTCGAAACATTTGATTCATCGAACAATTTTTTTATATATTGAAATGAAATTGCGCGCGCAAAATTTGTAAATAAAATTTTCAATAAAAAAAACCAGCTGAAATTATTTATACCAAAAAAATGGATGCTAACTTATATATACAAAAAAAATTCGGGATAGAATCTGTATTCATTTATTCATCCGTTCAAATACTACTTCATCTTGATCAAGTTTTAGTTTTTTTTCAAAATGCATTACAAAAATTATCATCAATGATGATGTTTGTTCATGGTGATGATGATGATGATGATGAAAATTGTTGGCAAATTTTTTATGTGTATTTTCTGGTTTTTTTTGTTTCTCTAATTTATGATTCTATAGCCTCGTTCGTTCGTTCCCATTACCATTACCGTTATCGTTTTTAACAACAAAACAAAAAAAAAAAAAAAACAAACAAACAAACAGATAGAATAAAAAAAACTAAAAGATGAAATATATAGAAAGAATAACAACGAAGATATGAAAAAAGAAAATATATACAGAATCTTAACAGATTCTATTATAGTTGTTGTTATCGTCGAAATATTTAAATGAATAGATTGTTGTGATTCTTATTTCGATACTGAAGTTTGGTTGTTTGTTTTTGTATCTACTACGCCAACGACAAAAACCATATAACCATTAAACAGAAAAAAACCGCAAACAAATCGTTTTCATTTTGCGGTTTTTTCAAAAATAACATCGCCATCACCAACATCGGAAAACATCAACGTCGAATAGACAAAAACAACAACAACAACAACAACAACTTTGGCAAATTTGTCGGTTCATCAAAAATTATTATTATTTTTATTATCATTTCAATTCAAACGACAAACAATCATCCATCCTTTATAATCATCAAGAATTCTTGATTGATTTAACTTAACAAAATTAGACAAATAGTCAATCAACAACAATAGCATCAGCAGCAGCAGTGTGAAGTTCCTTTTTCAATTTTTAAAACTTTGGAAATTTTTTTTTTTTTTGAAAAACTTCCATTCACAATATTTCAGCCAACGAGGTAAGTTTATTCAAAAAAAAAATGAAAATCGTGACCAAATATACATGATTTCATGGAAATAACATTTCAACATACAGTTTCCAGTTTTGTTCCAGGAAAAAAAAAACATTGTATATTGTATATTGTATAATTGCAAAAACAAATTGAATTTTTCCATTTTTGTAAATCGATTTTCGATTAATCAAATCAAATTAAATTTTTTTTCATTCATGAATGCAGATGGCCATCGATATTAACAAGATAAAAGTATTTGGAAAATTTTTAGATCCAAATTCGGGTAAAAAGCCAACAACCGGAAAAAAATGTCTAATATTAATACGTAGTGATGATGAATCAGTCGATAAATCCGTATTGAAACGTTCATTAACATGTACAGTGGATGGACCAAATAATAAACCCGAAGTACTATGGTCAACAGCTATTGCTGAACCCGATATTGATGAACGAACAATTGTCGGTTATTTTGTGCCAACAAAACCTGGTAAACATAAATTAACTGTTAAATGTCAAGGTAAAAAATTATCCGGATCACCATATGAATATGATGTAGCCGGTGAATGTTTGGATATAAGTAAACTATTGGAAAAGGTTTGTTGTTAATTTAATTTATTGATTGATGACATTGAGAATGAAATGAAAAAATTTTTTTCCATTCAGGTTATCGTCATGGGTCGTGGATATGAATTAGGCAAAGCATTTACCTATAATCAATTCGTTGTCGATTGTAGTATGGTACAACCACCATTAGGAAATCTTAAAGTACATGTGAAAGGACCGGAAAGAGCTGCAGCCAACCTATCTATAATTGATAATGAAAATGGTACATTTACCATCCGTTATAAACCAACATCACCCGGTACATATATTATACAGGTTAAAATAGCCGAAACGGATATACCTGGTTCACCGTTTCAGGTTCGAGTTACGGAATTTCTTTCTTCATAAATGCAACAAAAAAAAAGAACAAATCTTTCTTTTTATTTATATATTTATATTTATTATTGTATATCTAACCAGCAACTGTATTTCTTTTCTTTTCTGTTGTTTTTTCTTCTGTGTCAACTAACATTTCTTTTCGAATAATAATAATAAAAAATACAAAGAAAAAATTCCAAAAATGAAAAAAAAATAAAATTTTAAATAAATTACACAAAATGATTATCAGGTCAGGTCCAGATTCAGGTCCAGGTTCGTTGTGAGGTAATCCACAATTTGAATTTGAAATTGGAATTTGAAATCTTTGTTCTAATATCTGGGAAAAAAAATTTGAATTTTGTTAGTTTTTTTAAACATAATGCGATACGAAAAAAAAATTTACTTGTCATAACCACCATGACCACCATAGCTTTCATATTTTTCAATATAAACAGGAACTTTATACGGAACTGGTACTTTAACTGGATATGGAACACCAACTTTAACTGGAATTTTTACAGGAATAGCTACCGGAACTTTTACGGCAACTTTTTCCACAATAACTTTTGGCGGTAATTTTACCGGAACATAAACGGGAACTTTATATGGAACTTTATGTACAATATGAACTGGATAACCAACTTTATGTATAACAACATGTGGTTCATGATCATCATCGAATATGGCTGTAGCCAATTGAATGATGGCTACAATACAAACAATGGTAATGATATATTTAGACATCTTTGTTGTTTTTAGGGATCACACTAATCAAAAGATAAAGCAAAGAAAAATTCACACAAAATAACAATTCAAAATGAAACGAAACGAACTAAAACATGGAATAATCATCGTTTTCATCATCGAAACGATGGTCTTTTTATTGGTTCTTGGATCGAAATCATCTCGTCAAATCTCGAAGAATAAAAAAGAGAAAATTTCCAGGAGACAGATAAAGAGAGAAACAAAAAAAACAAGAAAAAAATGCCATTCAAGGACTACTACTCCTAGTCCCTAAATAGATATTCAAATATGTATTTGTGAATGTTGACATTCGAATTGCATAATTCGACATCAATCCAAAAAAAAAAAAAATTTCGAAATGGAACCCATCCGATTGGATTTCAGTTTTTTTTTTGTCAACGAAAAAACACACACACGCACACATTAACATTGATCAGATGATAACGTTTGTGTCAAAAGGAAAAATTTTTGTTCCATTCATTATCATCACATCAAAAATCAGCCATGACATAATTTGTTCATTCGAATGAATTGAACAACAACAACAACAAATGATCTCTGCTTAGTAAGACTATCATCATCATCATCATCATCATCATCATCATCATCATCATCATCATCGGCAAGTCTATCATTGAAAACATACAATGTTTGTATCCATATATAAAAAATGAAATTGTTATTATCCAATCTGATGATGACGATGATGATGTCGTTGTTGTTGTTGTTGTTGTTGTTGATTTTGTTGTTTTTTTGGCTTGGATAATCATGTTGCTTGTGTGTCTATTTATTTAACATCACAATTTATGTATAAACAGCCATTATGGGCCTCATTTTTTTTCAAATCTTAAACACCATTATTGGATAATATCTAACTTTAGGGATAAACCTGTATAAGGTCTATGTACCATTACACATCATTGCTACTTTTGGAAATTGATAGTCATTTTTTTCTGAAAGCAAATAAGAGAGATTATCACGTGTTTTTTTTCTGACATGGAACACTTACAAACACCGATACATGCTATCATTTACATGAGATTATTATTATTATTATAATGAATTGATTCATTCTAAAGATAATCACGATAAATGAAACAATCATTAGGTGTTGTCGTCCGTTTATTTTTATTTATTTATTTTTTTTTTTGATGGGCAACACATTTGAAATTCAAGTTTCAAGTGTAATGTGTGTGTGTAGAAATAACTGCTGGAAAAAACCGATTAGATCAATGAGATCAAATGAAGAAAAAAACGTGAAATAAACAACAAAAAAAACAATAATAAAAAATCAATTAAAGTTTTCGTGAATCTCACACAAACACACGCACACTTGATCATGACATAGCAGATTTTATATATTTATTTTAAGTTATTTTTGTTCCATCATCATCGATTTGATTCGATTCGAATTGATTTTTGTTTTTTGTTTTTTTGGCTGTCATGGACAAACTGAAAACAAATTGAAAATTTTCTTTTGCTGAAAGTCAAATGATATTATTAGTGTTATTATTGTAGTGATTGGCCTATGTCGATTTTTATCGAGACAATTTTTTCCAATCCCAGAATTTCTAGTAAAAAAGAATATTTTTCAAAAAAATATGAATCGTCGTGGTAAAGCATATCGTGGTGATGCTGAAACACAGGATGAAGATCAGCTTATGGAATTTGTTTGTTTATATTTTTTTTCTCATTTTTTGTCCAAAGTTCATTTCAATATAGCATTTTATTTTTTTTAAAATTTAATTTGCATCATTATCTAATTGAATAATCGAATAACTACTTGTTTTTTGATCTGAATTTCAGATTTCATCATAATCATAATATAATTTCCTTTTTTTCTTGATTACTTTTTTTATTTTAATTTTGGATTTGAAGCAATTTGAAATCAAAACCGATATCTGTGGCTATCTGAATGTATTTGTCAAAGGCGATATTGATAATTTGCAACCATCTTCATTGGTCTTCCTTACTGTACATGATCTAGGCACTAATCGTATGTTTGTTTCTTTTTTTTCTTGAAATTTATTAATAAATTTTGATTTTGAAAATCAACAAAAAAAAACTGTATCATTGCCATCATCATCAATGACAAATTTAGATGAAGATTTCCATAAATTATTGGAACATCCATGTATGGCACGTGTTAAACAACGATCAATATGGATACATGTTGATATGCCTGGCCAAGAATATGATGCAATCGATTTACCACCATATTTTGATTTTCCAACATTTGATCAGATTAGTGAAGATTTAGTACAGATATTGGATTATTTTAATATTGAATCATGTTTAACATTTGGTGAAGGTGCCGGTGCAAATATTTTATTACGTATGGCTGTAAGTATTAAAGTATATGAAATAAAAAATTCATAATTTTCAAAAAAAATCCAATTAGATGAATCATCCAGATCGTGTTATGGGTAATATATTGATACATTGCCGTGCAACAGTCGACAACCATATATTAACATATTTTGAAGATAAATATAATCTATGGCGATTACGTGTGTTTGGTATGAATACGACAACAGATAATTTTCTTATTCATCATAAATTTGGTTTGGTAAATAAATTTTCCACTATATATTTAGCCATTTGATTTGTTTCATAATTCATCTTTTCACTTTAATGATTGTCATTTATTCAAATATTAGACATTGAATGCAAAAAAAGATCTGGATACTGAACAATCGATTAAACAATATCTTGAACAGCTACATAAAAGAATTAATCCAAAAAATTTACGACCATTTATTCGAGCTTATCTTAAGTATGGAACGGAATTTATTATTATTATTTGTTTTTATTTTATTTTTTTGTTTGTTTTTTTTTTCGTTCATCAAAGACGTTCGAACATCGCCACAAAGATTAAAAATAACTTAGTCGTACCATCATTGATTGTTGCCGGTTCATATCCTACATTACAACAAATGGCTGATGAAATGCAAATATTAATGGATAAAAAAATTGTTACCAGATGGAATGCAGCAAATTGTGCATCAATATTGGATGAGGCAACCGATTTATTGACGAATAAACTTATTCTATTCTGTCAAGGTTTAGGATATTGTAAGTATTGATGATGATGATGATGATTGGATCATAATTTATTAATAATCATAATCAAAATTTTAATTATATTCTGCCACAGTTTCAACATTTTCCATCGTTAATCGGGATCCATTTAATCTTTATTAGAAATTCCTAAGGAAAAAAATAAAATAAATTTAAATAAAATCTGTTTTGTTTTTGATTGAATTCAATCTATTTTTGTTTTTCAAATTTGGTACTAGTGTTTATGAACGGCTTCGAATATTTTTTTTTTACTGTTGTTGAAGGCTTTGTTTTGTTTTTGTTCAATGCACACTCACACATTGATTTGATGATAAAAAATTAGATCGAAAATTGTGTCAATTTGTTGCGAAATTTTTTTTTTAATTTATTAATTAACAATCAAAAATAGTGGCCAACGAAATTAATAGTCGAAAACGATCTCGAAATTCAAGCGACGTTTTCGAAGAAGAAAAAGAAGAAGAATCTACCACAACAGTACAAGCTAAACGTTTGGATCTGAAGCAAACTGAAAAAGAAGATTGTAACAATCAGACAATGGACAACAACAGTGGTGGTCAACCGATGGCCAATGGTGGAAAATCTATCAAATTGACCAATGGATCAAATAATGATGGAAATCGACATCAATCAATGAATGGCAGTAGTGTTGGTGGTGGTAATCAAAATCCATTAATAATGACCATACGTGGTGATGATCGTCCAATTGATTTAATTGATGATAATAGTGATGATTTATTTAATGATTCCTATATGGATATTGATACTGATCCTGGAAATGGTGGTAATATTGGCGGTGGTCTTTATAGTCCAATGATGATGTCACATATGAATTGTTCACAACCACGATCATTATTAGCGTCACATTGGGATGATGGAATTCTTATGGGTCCCGATAGTGGTTGTATTGGCGGTGGTGGTGGTAATATACCAACATCACAACGACAACAATTGATGGCCAAATTAATACATCAGGATTTTTTTAATAAATTTGATGATCTACTTGATAATGATGATCTCCAATGAATGAAAAATGCAAAAAGAAAAATATTTGTCAAAAACAAAACAAACAAATGGAATATATCAAATGTTTCCATTCTCTCATTATCATCAATTAATCAAAATATTGATCGACAAATGTTTTTTTTCCCATGTGATATTTGTTGTTGAACATCCTTTTTTTTGTATTAATACTGATGAAAGAAAAATATGAGAATGTGTATTGAAAAATTCTTATGTACAAAAAAAAAATTCTCTTTTTTCAAATAGAATCCAAAAAAGAATATTCATTTGAATTTTGCTGTTTTTTTGTGTTTGTGTGTGTGTGTGTATGCTTACAACATAACATGTTTCATTCATTCAAAACATTTTGATCATGCGGTCATTGACATTCGGATATTCCATCCATCCATCTATTCATCCATCATGATGATGGTGGTGGTGGCAGTAGTCTCTTTTGCTAAGATTTTGATGTTAATGATGATGAGAGAATGATGGCTAGGAAATTATTATTAGGCTCACCCTATCTAAAATATACATTTTGATGTTTAATGTAGGAAAAACGGCTATATGGAGCCTTTGGGTTTTTTTTTGTCCTGTTTTTGGTCGGATCAGGCGCATTTTTAATATTTGAAGAAATAAAGCAAAAGAGAAAGAGTGAGAGTTAGAGTTAGAGAGAGGCAAATAAATAATACGAACGAACAATAAATAGGAAAAAAACCTGATTTTATTTCAATGATAATAATAATATTTTAGGAACTATACGAGGGAGTCATTTCGATACGAAATATAATGAATCTATCGGTATCCACCACCACCATAATCATCAAAAAAAAAAAAAAAGAGATACACAGTAATCGACCTGTAACCGTCGCCATCATATACAATAACTACCACCACCACAACTACAACCAAGGCGACGACCTCAAAATGAAAGAATAATAACAAAACAAAACAAAATAAAATTTTTTTTTTCATCATCACAATTACAAATTTTAACAATCATCTAGTCTTCATTCATTCTTTGATCATCATTATGAACAGATCGTCATCATAGAATTAAGAATGCTGATATTATGTTTCAAAATCAGACGAAATTTGTTCGAATGTTTGTTTTTTTTTTTTTTTGAATGAAAACGTTTCATAATAATAAATGGAACCATATTCATGTTCTTTGTTGTTTGTGTGTGTGTGTCTATGATCCAAACATTCGCGCCTTGTGTGTGTTTTTCGAAACGAGACCCGATTTAAATAATTTTTTTTTTTTTTTGGAAAATATGTGTCGATCAGTGCAATAGCTTGCGTGGCATGCCTATTATTTTATATAGCTTTATATAAATTTAAATCGATTCATCATTCATTGTGCTGTGTGTTTGTTTGTTAATGTGTGTGTGTGTCATTTTATTACGACCTCTGTCGGTACAGAATTCTGTTTACGTAACATTGTGTGACATCAATCCAACAATATTGTATCAAATCTTCATTACATATATTAAAAAAAAATAGGCTTCCAAACAATATTTGCGACCATACGTAATAAACAATAAATGTGTGAAGTGAACCCAACCTAAAGTTATGAACACACCCGCCATCGTGGCTAAACCCAAGTTGGAAAAAATTTACGATAACGAATAGGAGGAGGAGTGTATAAAACCTGGTGGTGAGGTGATGGTGGTGGTAGTAGTTGTGGTGGTAGTAGCTTGGCTTTATTGGTTATTGGTCGTTGGCTTTTCACATGAGAAAAAAAACTGAATGAATACATACACAGAGGGTAAGTAACTTTTTTGTTCAAATCTTTTGCATCCCCATTCATAATATATATACACACACACACATTGTACACCCCCTCTACCAACAAGCTAGATTTTGTCCACAAAGAACAAATAAGTTAGCAAGCAAGCTATGACTGCTGACTTCTACTGTGTTTTGCTGCTACTTGCAGCTAGATCCCTGAAAAAAAACAAAAATATAGAACAAAGAAAGTAAAAAAAAGAATGAATAACATGCTGATTTTGTTTTCCTTATTGTTGAAAATATAAATTGAAACTTTGATCAAGAATTTCATTTTTTATTGAATTCGAATTTATGATTATATCATTTTACTCATCTAAATCTGTGATCTCTCTTTGTGTGTGTGCCATCATTCCGAATTATATATTTGTTGCCATATTTTATGTATATGATGTTCTAAGCAAGTGAAGATTCTCTCAACCACCAACAAGTCAGAATCCAAAATGTCTTCCAAATCTTTATCAATGCTTGATTCATCAGAAGAATCTAGTTCTCAACAACAACAACAACAGCGGCCAAAACGTTTAGCAGCTCAAAGAGCTAAAGTAGTATAAATCCAAAAATTAACCAAACAAAATTAGATTAGATTGTCGATTGATGAATTATTTAAATTAATTTTTTTATTTTTATTCATGAAAACAGGTATATCTAAATGATAATCTTGATCATTGGAATGAGGAACGTGCATTACAAAAAGCATTGGAAGCAAGTCTAGTGGATGAAGCGGCAAGAATTAGTGTACAATTACAAAGGCAACGACAACGAAATCACGATCAATATACGGATACGGAAGAAGAAGATAACAGTAGTGGTGATCAAGACGAAGACGATTGTAGTAATAGTAGTGATTATACAACAGCAACAGGAACAACTCATTCGATCAGTAGTGATACCGAAATGGGTCCAAGACAAAGTCAACAATCGAAGAGTAGCCAAAATAATTCAATATCATCAGCATCGAAAAAGAAAAATCGAATTAACAATAGTGGTTGTAAATCGGTTAAAAATCAAACACAAACCACTACGAATAATAATCGAATGAAGAGTAAAAAAACTAATCGATCATCGAACGGTAATAATTCTCGTACATCATCATCAACAACAACGATGAATGGTAAAGATTCATCAAATAAAATATGTAGACAAAATGGAAAATCTCGAACATTAAAAAAACCGAATGAGGATGATTCGATTACTAATAATAAGAAAAGTAAGTGTCCATTTCTGTTATTTTCACAGATAACGTAAATCATTGGGATTGTTCCGTATCCTATTTGTGTGTGTGTGTGTTGTTTGTTTGAGTTGTAAATTCAGATTTTTCAAAAAAATAAGAAAATATCTTCTCACTTCATTAAAACTAGATTTAATTGTTGTATATACACTACATTTCTATCTTTCTATCTATCTATCTCTCTGTCTATCTATCTCTATCCATTATATCCAGATGCAGTTTCTGGTAATAGAAAATCGAATTATGGTAAACATCATACGTCACATGGTGGATCATCATCAATCGATTCATGTATCGATAGTAATAATCGCCGTCATCAGATGGTTGCAGCAAAATCCGATGATGACGACGATGAGGACGACGATAATGATGATGATGAAAATTATATCAATAATAATGATAATGATGATGATGTTGAAATAAAAATGTCGATTAATGATAATCATCATCGAAATTTAGGCAATGAATATCATCACGAAGATGATGATGCTGGTGATGGCGATGAAGAAAAATCGAATATAAAATATTTGGATGATGTACATATACGTCGTACTGTTGCAGCACAACGTAAATTTGCCATCAATTCAATTGTTTATAAATTATCCAATCAAAAGCTATCATCATCACCACCGAATGAAATGAATCGAATGAATGAAAATATCAACAAAGAACAACAGCTTAAAAAATTTGAATTATTTCCAAACAAATTGATCAATTCGAATGATTTTGTTACCTGGATGTGTCATGCAGATGTTGATGATCTATTTCGTTGTAATCATTTGATTGAATTTCCACGTACATATCGTTATCGTGATATTTATCCACAGGATTATGCAATGGGAAAATATCATGATATCAATGATAGTAATGATGATGATGATGATGATGACGAAGAACAAACCGATTCAGATGAAGATGAAGTAGATGATTCGTTATCATCTAATACCGATTCTGATGATGAAGAAGATGATGATAATGATGGTAAAAACGATGAGGAAATCGATGATGATGAAGACGAAGTTGTATTCGAAGAATCAAAAACAAACAAAACAACATCATTACGAAATAATCGTCATTGTTCAACACCTAATAAATCTTCTAAGAAAACCACTACCCATTGTCGAATGACTCGATTTGGATCAAGACAAAATAATAATAATAATAATAATGTTTCCACCATTAATAAAGCAAATCGATTGAATCGTCGTGCAAAACCTACAGCAATTGTTGATTATCTATCGGAAGATTCTTCATTATATTCAAATAATAATCAAGAAAAAGAAGAAGAAAACAATGATGATGATGATGATGATGATGATGATTTTAACAAACCAATCATCTTGGAACCTCGTATAACACGTTCGAATAAAAAAAAAGATCCAATGGAACTAGATAATGAAAGAATGAAGAAAAATACAAAATCACCGAAACGTTCACGTAAAAATACTGAAGAGATTAGAGAACGTGCCCTACAATATTATACTGATCTAAGATATCGTATGAAAGATATTGAACATAAATATCAACAATTAAGATATCAACGTTGTGATCGTAATAATAATCCAAATATGATGATCAATCCACAACCATCATCATCAACATCGTCATTATCATTGAATAATAATAACAACAATAAACAAACTATAAAACGTCTACAATGTACATCGGTTTCATTTTCTTCAACATCATCATCATCATCATCGTCATCAAGTTCATCATCAATTGATGATTCCGATGATATTGATGAACAGAAACCAAGAATTTCACAACACAGACAACGTAGATCATCATCAACAGCTGAAGATAATGCAGCGGCAACAATGAATTCATTGAGACGTATAAAAACATTACGAAAAGCAGTTATGCGAAAGATTAAAAAAGATGATAATGTAAAACATAAAGATGGACAACATGTACAACAGCAACGGAAACAAACAAAACGTTCGTTTATGATACCAATTCATCATCAATCTGAAACACTTTCATCGGATATACAGCAAAATACATCATTCGATATACGAACACGAGCATCAATGCGTCGTACACGGCAAAGTAAATCACAACATAGAAATCGTTCGAAAAATAATTTTCTCTATCAACAATATGATGGTAATCATAATGAACATAGCTATAGCAACCATAGCAGTAGTAGTAATATTAATAATAATAATCCACAATCCAATGCTATCGATTCATGGAATTCATCTGCTAAAAAAACCATAGATAATGATAGTTCCAAAATTTCAGCTTCAAATAATTCCATTTCCACCTGATTCGAATCAGACATTCAAATTTATTAAAAATCTTACTGCCTATTATTATTATTATTATATAAACATTCTAATCATACTCTTTCTTTTATTTTCCTTTCTCTTTCCCATTTATGAATTTCAAAGTTCATTTATGAATAACGATGATCTAAGACGTTAAAAAAAAAATTTTAAATTTGCCGATATGTTCTGGATTTGTTTTATTTTGGAAAAAATTTTGTTATTCATTTTTCTATTACGTGTTTAAAATGTGTGTGTGTGTGTTTTTTCAATTAAATCTAGAAAGAAATAAAATGAATTTGAATTTAAAAAAAAGACTAAAATAAATTTATTATTATTAATTATTCTATGTTCGATTGATTTAGCTCGTCGATGTAAACGTAGCCGTTATATACTGACTGTTCGACGACGGCGAAGACGACAACCGCCACCGTTGCCAACGTTACAACAACCATCGCAAGAACAATCAAACACCCTAATAACCGAAGAAAATGGTGTTGAATCAATAAATGGAATGGCAGAAAATAAATTATCAACTAGTCAACAATTACAACAATTGAAATCATATCTATTATCCGGTATGATATTATCATCAAATGGAAATAATCGAACAACAATAGAAAAAATTTTAGCCAATAAGAAAAAACAACGTTCAGATGATGAACCGGATTATCGTCGTGCTATTGAAAAACGAATGAATTTTTATCGCCGTACAATGGTACAATTAGAAGCACAACAACAACAAACATCGGGTAATCGTCTAAATGATCTTGATCAACGTTTATTATTACATTCAAAAATGGTTGTAAAACTTGGTTTCATACCAATGCCTCAATTTGAAGTGTTTGAAATGCCAACAATATTGAAAATGGAACATAAGCGGCCATCCATAACCGATGATGATGATGATAATGATAATCATAATGGTAATAATTATTTTGATCTCAACAATGATGATCAAAAATGGTCAAACGAAAATGTTTCAAATGGTGATCATCATCATCATCATTCAAAAATTATCATCAATGGTGACAACAACAATGATGATAATCATCATATGAATTCGATTCATGAAAAATTCGATACAAACGGTGAACATGTACAAACCATTTTAATGAAAGAAAAATCTAGATGAAAATTATTAATTTTTTATTTCATTTTTTTTACGAAAAAAAAAGTATTTTTTATCATATTATTTTGAAATTATTTTAATTTTCAATCATCATTATCAATTATTATATACTTATAAAGTCATATTATTTATTATTATTATTATTATGTTGATAAACACGAAATGTTTGTTTTTTTAAAAAGGAATGAAATATTTTAAATGTTCAAAATCAAATGTGTTCAAAGTATAGATTATTTTGAAAGAATAAAAAAAAAGTTTTGTTTCAATTATTATTGTATATTTGATAAAAGACGATCAAATTCTTCTCGACTATATGGTTGTACGGCATCACGTTCCCAAATACGAATACTATGCAATATTTTATTCAATAATGAACAAAATTTCAAACAATCAGGTTCCGATTGTGATGATATGTAATATCTAATAATATAAAAAATGAATAATCATCAGAAATTTAATTTGTTATTAAAATAAAATATTTCTACAAAAAAAACTTACAGTTTAGGTTCGATCCGTGTAATCGTACCACCGGTAATCAATTTTTTGGCATTCGAAACGGCCGGTGGATCAACAATGACCAATAGGTTCCGATTGTGAATGAATTTGAACGTCTACAAAAACTTACAGTTTAGGTTCATAAATGGCAATGACCAATACGAATGAATTTGAACGTCTACATAAATGGCGATGTTCAACTTTTAAGAATTCCACTTTTGGATTAATACAATGTTTTAGATTAATTAAACCTAATGGTTGATCAACATTTTTCTCTTCACCAAAACGATAGTAACGAAGATGTTCACCATGTAGACGAAAATATCGTACATTCCAAAATGAATCCTCCTTTTCTTTAATATCATAAAAACCAGGAAAATGATTCCCATGTGCAACTTTTATGCTAACATTCATGGTTAAATAACTATCGATAATTGGTATGAAGCAATCCGAATCCAATCGATAGAATTTATTTGCATTAGCTTTTACATTTTGCAATGTCAATTTAACGTAACCAATTAATCGGAAATTACTGGCCGGAGCTTTTTGCTGTTGATTGTTACGTTGGATGATTGGTGAATTTTTAGACATTGGTGATGTCGATGCCGAACTACTCGAATGCATCAATCTTCGTCGAATAGTTTTAAATGGTGAATTTGCAAATCGATATTTATGGCCACCACATTCTTTCAAAGACAATTCTAATGCAAAAACCTTGACGGTTACTTTGAAATCTTCAGATAATGAATCAATAGCTAGGCCCATATCAAATTCTAGATATGATTTTGAAAGATTGGCAGCTGTATCTAGCAATTTTGATACAAAAACACTTGGTCCAACACAAACAAGACAAATGAAATGAAAAACACTGTTCAATTTGCCTTTGGCACGTTCTTGAATAAATTCATTCAACAACGGTAGTTTGATGTGATCGATGTACAAGGTACCGGTGCTGATATTCTTTTCAATTGTTCGTTGCATATAATGATCAGCATTTGCAATCATCAATTGTAATCGATGTATTTCCGAACGACATGCATCAATCTTTTCATTTGAAACTAACAATAATCGTTCGGCTTCGACACGGCTATCTGAATTACGTAATTCGGCCATCGATAATGATAGATTTAAAGCCGTGTTTGCTTGACTCAATACACGATCATGTTCATTAATTTCATCTTTTAACGCAATCATTTTGGATTGACAATCAAGGCTAAATTGTTCGCGATCTTCATGTTCAACATCGATATTCTGTTGAAAATGAATCGCCTGTTTAGTTGCATCACTAAGCTTATCCTTATTCATTTTAGCCATTTGTTGTTCTTCACGTAATTTTCGTTGTTGTTCACGATAAAAACTGATGGTCCTTATTTGTGGCGTTATTTCTTCAACATTATCCTCAGTTCCAGATTCAGATGTATCATCTTTTTGTTCATGTTCATAAAGAAATAATCGTTGCGGCTTTTCCGGTGGCAATGATACTGATGATGATGTTGATGATGACCGATCTTCAGTTATGTCGGAATCTGAAATGGAAAGATGAACTCGTGTCGAGGATCGATGAATCAAATTAGAATCTTGCGAATCGTCATTATCGGCAGTTATTTCTTGGAAATTATCATCAAAATTTTCATTCTCTTCATGATCGATGGCTGTAAATGTTAATTCCATTATTTCTTCTTCATCCACATCAACCACATTATCGTCATCTATTTCTTGTTTTGCCGATACTTGTTCTTGTTCATTATCATCATTCATATGGATTTCATCGATTGATTTAAAAGTTTTACAGACTTCTTGTACAATCTCTGATGATTGATCGAAAATGAGTGACACTTCTTCTTCATCTTCTACATTTTCGATGTTTTTTTCTAATTTCTTAATTATTTTTTCATGTTCATCATCACCGAATTCGTTTTGTAGATGTTCTTTTATTCGTTTTGGACTTTGATGGTAATCATTTTCATGTTCCGGAAGTGATGGTGGTAATGGCCAGGTACCAGGCAAACGTCCAACTTTACGATATTGTTTAGCTTTGGCTTCATTTTCCTCTCGAATAGCCTTTTCAAACAATCGTTTTTTCTCCCGTACAGGTAACAATTCCGGTTCCAATTCTTTAATATGATCATTTTCTGTCATTTTCTTTTCAAACAATTGTTTCAAATTGGCTACGCTTGTTTTACGTTTTTCAATGATTATCGGTGGTTTAGATTGATTTTCAATTGACTTTAAATCTTGTTGTTCATATAATAGGCTTTTTGATTTGAATAGATTTTCATTTTTGGCCGTAAATTTTGGCTGTTCGATTGCAGGTTGAGATTTAGGTGACGCAATTTTGGCCTGAAATTTCAATGGTGAATCTTCTTTATTCGATGTGATTGGATAATACGAATCGGCAATTATCTTCAATCTATCCCGGAGCTCAATTCGTCGTGGCGGTTGAAATTCATCCGCAAAATTCTGTTGTTCTCGCATGATCGTTTTGGGCCGATTTGCTACCATATCGTTTTCAACATTTTCAACGTCATCATCATCTCTATAGATGGCCGATAATTTATCTAATCGATGACGAAGACGATTATCATTTCGTTTTTTATTGTCTTCGGGTATAGCATCAACATCATCGTTATCGTCGTTTAAATCCAACGGTACATAAACATTCAATAATCGATTTATTGATTTTCGAGCTTTATTGATTTCGATAGTTGAATAATTGGCCAACAATTCCTCATCATTATCATCAACACCAATATCATTCTGTTCAACAGATGTTTGATTCATCATCATTGTTGAGGAATGAGGACCACCGTGTTCATCAATGTTCATAACTTCGGAATCGATTTTGTTTTTGCCATCATCATTCACTTCTTCGGATAATTCAGCTAAAATTTTCTTGTTCTGTTCCATTTTTTGTAAAAGGTTCTATTTCGAAATTAAAATTTTCAGAATTTTATTCATATTAGAATCAATAAAAATAAAATTGTAATCGATACTTACTAATGCAAAAGAATCGGACACGGTAAAATTCAACGAATTATCCATTTTGATTTCGAAAACATCAAAAAAAACGACCGTTGAAATGTGATGCAGTCATACACTGAATAAATATATACACTGAACTGAATTAATAGCCGCCGCCAAATCGAAAAATATTAACGGACAAAATTCAATATGTTTGGGTAATGGTCACAATAACGCAATATGCGTCATCAAAACGGAGCTCTTAATGAAACATTACATTTCATATCATGCACAATACAACAGCTTGATCGCATTGTGACTGTATGCCATGCTAGAATTTGATTCAGATTCCTGTCATATAAGACGTTACAGCAATAATTAAATGATTTTTGGATTCGGATATTTAAATTTTTGGTAAACATTTGACCAATCCAAACCATGATGGATGAATCTTCATCGAAAACAATGGGCATTGAAAATTTGACCGCAATGAATGAAATGATCAAACGTATCGAAGGTAAAGAAACAACTTTTGATCGAATGAAACGTTTAAAAGTTGCATCATCTAATCGAGCATTTGCCGATTCACAATGTAATGGAACGAATCATCACGAACCGATTGAAACTTTATTGGATAAAGGTACTCATCAACCGGAACGAATACTAGCTGTAACAACGATGGATGAATTGTGTCTTTTCATCTGTTATTTGGTTCGATATACGAATGGTCAACTTGAATTGGTACCGAATAAAATTGTCCATCGTCATTGTCCACAGATGGTGATCGATTTTCTCGAATCAAATCTAATATTTTCCAATAAGAGTAATTCTAATTTACCTGCTAATCTATTCAGAGGTATAGAATTCAAAGAATTTAACGATAATAGAACTAAAGATTCAAAAGCTGCTCAAAACGACGATTACTTGGAAGATGATAATTTTTACATGTTTGATGAATTATCAAAATGTTTCAACATGAACAATTTAAAGGATATAATTAAACCGGGGCCAAGTAGTAGTCGGAAACAATCCGAAACAAGTGGAATCAATTTTACCAAACTGGATACCGGTTCTGATATTTCAACATCACAGATTCATAAGTTAAGCATTCCTGATAACATATCTAAATCTATCGGAACCTCAAAAAGTATGATCATTGATAAACCACTTGAAATGATAGATATAAACAATGGAGAAGATCCCGGACAAGAAGAAATCAGTCTATTAGAAAGACAAGAACTTGAATTTGTTAACAGCATATTTGATCAAGAAACCATTGAAGAATTAGAAGAGAATATGATGGATGAAAATGATGATGATGACGATGATGATGATGAGTCTGTGTCGATAAATGAACAATCTTATAATCAAGAACGAGAACCACCAACACCTGGTTTAAATGATATAAATGAAACACTTTTAATGTCATATCATCGTGATTCACAAGAGGATGATGAATCACTAGAATTATCATCCATATCACCAGACATTATGGATGAATTATTAAAATCGAATGATAATAAATAAAAAATGAATGAAGAGTCAATCAAGCGATAATATCATCGATTATAATCATGAGAAATCTTAATCAGAAATTTGATTTTAATTTTAAATTTTCTAAAATAATCATTATTATTATTATTATTATTACTAGACTAGCTCAATGTTTGTTCTTGTTTTAAATATAATAAATATTCTTTTCTTAATAATTGCCAGAAAAATATGGATAAAACTGTATGTGGTCCTAATCGTAAAAATGAGGCGCCAAATCCTTTATAAAATCCTAGAATACCTTCGGTACGGAAAATTTTAATCATACAATCCGGTATACCACGATATAATTGACCGCGGCCAGTTTTTGGATCAACTGGTTGATTATAAAGTCGTGTGGATACAACATCGAATGGTGTCATTGATACGACCACAAAACAACTACCGATCATTGAGCTTAATAATGTTCCATACCAGCTGTTCACATCGATCCACTGTGATTAATATTTTTTTAGAGAAAAAAAATTTTCAAATTAATAATTTTTCACGTAATAGATTCCTTACATTTTTTTTATCCAAAAATGTTTTTACTGTTGCAAATGATGTTAGCTGAATTGATCCACCAACAGATACACGTGTGATGGATGCAACCGAACCACGCCATAATCCTTTAATACCATTCTGTACGAAAATCGTACGAAAACCAGCTGTCATTGATGAATGTTTATGTTGATGACCGACAGCTATATGTGATTCGGATTGTGATTGTAAATGTGTTTTGATTAGATAAAATGGTGATCCAAGAAACGATCCAACAATACCAGAACCAACACCACAAATAATTGAACGATAGAATATAACATCACCATGTTCATTACGTGTAAGGCGAAGATTATCACAAACTTGATAAAGACCAAAACGGCAACCATTCATAATGAATTGATACCAGATGGCCGGTACAAGACCTTTTTGTAATGAAATAAAACTTTCATTACGTGCCATCTGATAGAATGCATGAAATACATTACGATAATGTACGGTATAATGGCCACGAGCTTTTAATTCACCTTGTAATTGTATACGTGTTTTAATTACATCCAAAGGATTAGTAAAAAAACCGGCACAAATAGCACCTAAACCGCCGAGCATAAGTTCATCCCATTGTATCATCAGATGATTTGATCCATTCATTAAAATTCGTTTTTGATCCATTTTTTTTGTTTAATTTTCTTTTGATTCAATGGTACAAATGTGATGATATAGTTGTATGATTGAAATATTAACGACACACATGCATACAGAAATACACAAGGATGAGATCAACGATCAATAATAAAATCTAATGAATTCAATAATAATAATAACAACTGTTGATGAGGCATACATGTTCGAATAATTTTTTTTAATATTGCTTGTATATAATAACGTCATCATCATAATCAAACAGGCCGGAGTGTTTACATCAAACTAAAAATTAAAAAAGTAATGGATAGATAGATTATGAAATTAATTTAGAAGAAAAACTTATCATTTGACCTTCGATAATTCGAATGTGTCTCTTTCTCTATCTCTCGAACATGAATGAACGATGATGATGATATACACATTACAGCCGAATTTGGAAAAAAATAACACCCGAAGGCATAATCATTTGATGAAGATATCAACAAGTTTGACCAAAGAAAAAAAAATTAAGTCAGAATGAAATTGGAATCGTGAAAAAAAAATCGAATGGTTAAAATAATCAAACATGTATGTTGTATAACAAACACCTGAATGCTGCAGCAGTTTTTTCCGACACTAGATGGCCGAATATGCAAATTTTTGATGGGAAAAAAAAAATTTCCATTTGAAAAATTCGCGCCTAAATTTGAAAATTATGATCCATTTCAAAAGGAATATGGATGTACAAATCTTGATATATGAAATATAATCGAGATTAAATATTTACGAAAAAAAAAAAAAAAAATCCTTACCATGTTTACATTATGATGATCATATATCATCAAATCACTTCCGATGTGAGAATGAATTTTTTTCTTTTCTTGATCCGAAATCGAATTCCAATGTTCGCTATTATATATCATTTGATGATAATAAACATTATCAAAAAAAAAAAAAAAAAAAAGAATTCAACAATAAATCAAACACATATCAAACATCAATCATTATGATTATTAGGTGATGATAGTGGCACATAAACGGCATATAAGTTAACGGTGAAAAGATTTTCATTCTGTTATCAAACGACGACGACGACAACGAAAAAAAAAACATTGATTGGTTGGTTGCTTCGGATTGCTATGGATTCGATTTTTTTTCAATTTCCATCTTGGTAGGTTATACTACCATCACCATTATCATCATAATTGTCGCCGTTGTCGTCGTTGTTGTTGTTGTTGTTTAAGTTGTTGTTAGGGATTTTTTTTTCTTCATGCATAATTATTGATTCATTAATGGTATTTTTTTTTTCGCTGTCAAACAACAACAACAGCGACAACGAAATGTTTGTTGTTGAAGAAAAAATTTTTTTTGTTTTTTTTCTCACTTTCATTTCATTACTTACATTTTCATTGACAAGATTTGATGTGTACACTCACGCACGCACACACACACACAAACACATGAATTCGAAATGACCCGTTTTTTTTGCATGTGATCTGATAAGAAATTTCATGTCAACGATTTTTTTCGCCATAATTCAACATATCATGATTATCATTATTTCATTTCAATAAATTAACCATCAATAAATGATAACAGGTAATTTTATATTCTTTCCTTCTTTCGAAGAATATTTATAGAAGAATTCATTCATGAAATAAAACAGGTGTATATCATTCTTATTGCTATTGCGCAATACAAATGAAAATAATGATTACATGATTTTAGTATTCAAATATTTATCGATATTTTTTTTCCATTAATTTTTATTTTTAATCGAGATAATTTTTTTTTGTGTGTGTGTATATGTTAATCGATTCTACCATTTTGCAATGTCAATTTTCTTATCTATTTATGATAATAAATTTTCTGAAGAAAATTTCATTTTTTTTTTTTTTTGATGGTGATGATTTTCGCAAATAAAAACTGTTCATGACAACATGTTTCGATCAGAAGCTATGAATTCAATATATGTATGTTGTGTGTGTGTGTGTGTATGTTTCAGCTAAAATAGACAATTTTTTAGCTAATGATAAATTGTGATAAATTATATGAACCGAATTTGATCTCTAAAAATATCATCCTCCTTTTTTTATTTCGAAATTCATGGCTTCTAGTAATGAGGATGATTTTGATGATGATACAATTTCATCAATTTGATTGTATTAATCAATATTTTATCGATGTTCTACAATTAAAATTATCATCAAAAAAAAAAAAAAATTTCTTCTGTATACTATATGTATGTGTGTGTAGTATATTGAATTCAAGTTGAATGGCATCCTTGATATGATTTCACATATCATCTAAGCCACCGAATTTGATGTCCAAATGATGATGATGATGATGATGGATATTTGATTCGGGAAAACTTTTCCAATCAAACGGAAAAAAAACTGATTTTATGTTTTATTTTGTCAACGATCAAATATTCAACATATTCTCAACACTCAATACTTGTGGTTCCGGTGTAATATGATTATATCAAAAATAATGAAAAAAAAAATCAAGATTTTTCATTATTTTTATTTCCCATTTTGATTCTAGGACAGTGGAAAAAAAATAAAATATAAAATTTATGATCATTATCATTAAGAAAAAATAATAATAATGATTTTGTTTCATTGAAATTTTTTTTTTCGTATTTTATGGCCACCACCACCAACACCACCAGCATATTAATCAACCAAAAGTAAAGTAGACCAATTTTCTTGTCCTTATATTGAATTGTCTAATCATTGTATATTGTGTGACATTTTTCACACTTTCTTTCTATGTGTGTGTAGGTGTCACGATCCATATATATACTTATCTAACCTGAAAGATGTATAGATGTATATTTTTTTTTATTGAATGCAATTAAAAATACCAGATTTAATAATCATCATCATTATCATTTTGTATGCATATTTGGAATTGAGAACCATTATAAAGGTGTGTGTAAAGGTACACACTATATAGTAACATTATTCTTTTTTTTTGTATGATAACATTTTAATTGTAATTTAAATGAGGAAATGACCAGATTATGGATTGATCGGTATTGATTGATAAAAGTCATCAATATGGATAATTATAAAATCTGTTAATACTTGTTAATCAATAAATGTAATAATAATAATAGATTGAATAATGAATAAGTGAATGAATCAAATAATTACAATTTAGAATTGCAATATAAATATGTAAGAAATCCATGCAGGAGACAGAATTCTAAAGAAATATGTTAAAATAAAGAATCAATCCAAAATGTTTATAATTATGGAAAGAGAGGGAGAATAAACAAAAAAAAAAAAAAAAAAAAAAGAAAAAAATCTAAGATATGATGGTAATCTTTTGACTTATTAGATTATAACAAATATATATCCACAGAAATGTAATTTAATAATGATTTCCTTGGCAAATGATATATTACCAAAAAATCATTTTGGTATCAAGAAATAATGTCATTCTATCCTTTGCATACATGTAAGCCTCCCCCTCTTTCAACAACAACAAAAAAGGCCTAAATCATATAATAATTTGAGATTTTTTGTTCTTTTTTTTCGAATATTTTTATATTTTGACAATAGATATAAATGTGTGTATGTGTGTGTTTGTGTTTGTTTGATTTGGATGAATTATGATGATGATGACTATTTTATTACATACATTTTTTCTCAATGATGATGATGATGATGATGGTAATCAAATATATATCATAAGGTGTATATGTGAGGGATTGAGGCAAGGAAAAAATCTTTGTCATCATCATTATTATTAAACAATTTGTTTATTAGTATTAGATCTTTATAAGATATGATGATGATGATATACTACACTTAACTTATATCGATCGATGATGATGATGATGAGCCATAAACTGAATGTACCGCCCCCTATTTCATTAAAAATTATGACGACAATAATTCCATCAATAATAATGATGATAATGATGATGATGATGACAGTATTCAAAAATCGGGCTACCGGGTGTCCGATAATCCAAATTTAGAAAAAGCAAATAGACAGAAACAATCAGTCTTCTTCGTTCATTAGGAAAAAGAACAAAACCCATCATCAAATTAAATCTTTTCTGAGTGATATAAACAAGTGTGTTCTTTGTTCATCATCACCATCTATCCATCATTAATCATTAATCATTGATATAAGTGAATAGCATTTTCATTTTTTTTTTTAATTGTCATTTGTAGTTAATTTGATAATGATGATAACGGCGCCGGCTACATCGGCGACGGCATTGATGGTAACAAATGAATTCCATAATTTTTTTTCCTTTTCAATTTATTATGGCCAGGTGTTCATTTTATAATGGCTAGATTTTTATTATAAAAATCGTTAATAATAAAATGAAAATTTCCAGACATTTTTTTACGGTCACTTTGAAGGTGTTGATTTGATTTGTCTGAAGTTGTTTGATTGATTGAAAAAAATCGTTGAAAATTTTTCGTTAATTATCGTTTAGACACGTTTAATTATGGTTCGTTCTACAATGATCATACCGTATAATCCACAATCGGCAATCATCTTACATCATTATCATCATCTTTGGCATTATGTATATCATCACCATCATCATATAACACCACAATCATTGATTTGGTCATCATCACCACCATTATATGGTAATGATGCGAATAATAATATGACGATGATGATCATTCCATCAAATATACAGCCAAATTCGAATGTTTTCGTCAATTCTCCTATTCATCCTTCTCCTTCCAAGACAACTATTCCTACCGCCAATACAAAAACAAAAACCAAATATTTAACGAAACAACTGGTTTCATCATCGGTAACAGATCATCAAGATTCAATAATAAATCAAAATCTAGAATCATGTTCATCATCATCATGTAATTCTACTTCAATAACATCAACATCATGTTCATCATCGGGTAAATCAACACCATATTTTGGTTCACAATCATCATCATCATCATCATCATCATCATCATCATCATCATCGACATCGACCTTTGAATTGATTGATTCAACATTGATACAACCACCACCACCACCACCCTTAATATCGTTTACCGTAAATTCATTACCAATTGTGGATAGTTCATTCAACCCTTCTATGCCACAATTATTAAATCAAACCTCAACAACAATTGATGGCTATGCAAATACAGTATCATCATCATCATCATATCAACCTATGACAACAGTATCACCGACCACCACCATAAGTTCACCAACATTATCATCACCATCACCATCATCATCATCAGTATATTACACTCCAATACCGAAAACATCATTAAAAGAATTATATGCTGGATTAGGTGTTTATTATAATTCGGTACCATGGAATCAATCTTTGTATGTGAATATAGATATAGATTTTCTTTTCATTTTTTAAAAATATTTCCATTCATTCAATATCAAAATAGTGGAATGGAACGTGTATGGATGTCGGAATTTCGTCGAGTTTTTTCACAATTTTTTACTGAATTATGGTCAATACAACCGGTGGATAAAAAACCGACAACACATTCTAATATTCGGCTTCATATGTTTGTAGATTCGGCTAAAGTTCGATTCTGTTGTGAGGTAATTATCTAATGATTTTTATATATTCAATTATTTATATTGTTATTCATTTTTGTTTTTTCTTTAGCGTTGTTCACATAGTTGGACATCGATGAAAGGTCGTGTAGTTTTCTGGTTCAATCTATTACAACCAAATTTTAAAGTTGGTATTGTTGCCATTAAATTGTTTGGACAACGATGTGATTCATGTAATCTGGATAATTCATTTGAACAGCCAATGTGGTATCCAGAAGAGGTTACCAAGGTATTTATAGTGAAAACAAAAATTATTTGTGTTTTTTCAACCAACTTTAAAAAAAAAAAAAAATTTCCATACAGGTACTTATGAATCTATACAATCGTGTGGGGCAAATATTTTATGGATTTGAAAAGACTAAATATGAAAGACAAAGGCGTATGGGTAAACCACGTACACAACATAATAAAATGTTATGTCAAGCATGTCAAGAAGGTATTTGTCTAAATCGACCTGGTTCATCTAATATTGGTGGTCGTTATAATGGTGAAAATCATATTGTTGTTACTGAAATCAAGAATGAAATCCAACAAAATAATCATATTGATGATAATGATGACACAAATGATGATGATGAAAATATTGAAAATAATGAGTCATTGAAAATTTCTGCTGAATTGGAATCAAAAGAAACACCAGATGATAATGATGACCAGGGTAGTGAAGATAGTGGAATGAATGATAACGGAAGCACGACTACAATCGATTCAAATGATTCAAATACATTTCTATCATCATCATCATCATCCACATCATTATCAATATCCTAAATGATCCTTGGATCAAGTTTGGCTCGTTTTTCAATCAATCGTTCCAAATCCAAACTACTAGGGAAATGATAAAAAATTTAGAAATTTGAAACTTAATATAAAAATAAATAAATTATTTAACTAAACTCAAAAATACTTTAAACATAGAGCAAATTTACAAGCATCATACATACTAATAATAATATTACATAGAGTTTTGAATCTGGATCGATCAAACAAAAAAAAATTTGGAACATACTTGTTTCAAACGCACGCCTCAGGTATATTGATCATCACTTTGGGATATTTTTTTTTATTCGCCTTCTTGTCGTCGTCAATGAAGATGGTGATGACCTAGATTTAAATCGAGAAATTTTCTTTTTTTTCGGTAGCCCACTTGACTTTCTCATTTTTTTCTTTTAAAGTGAGAGTTTTCTTTTCTTTCCTCATTTAATCACCAATAGTGGAGACGACGTCGGTTGTTAATTTGGTTTATTTTCTGGATGTTCGAAGAGACAACGACCATCGAGATTGTTCTTTGTGTGTGTGTGTAAGTACCATCGATGATGATGATGACGACGGTGACCTAAATCTTCAACAATGATAATGTTATTGTAGTATGATGATGATAAAAAAAAGACTAGTTTGACCAGTCATCATCGTTGTTGATTTGTTGGTTTTCATTGTGATTTATTCAAATATTGTCTTTTTCTTAGAGATTCACCATGAAAATTACACAAAACAAAAATATAATTTAATGTTCGTTTCGATTATTGGTTTTTTTTCGGTTAATTCAATTTAGAAAAAATTTATCAAAAATTCAGAAAAATTGTCATTCTTGGTGAATAAAATGCTAGTCATTGAATGGAAATAAAAAAAAAAAAAATAGAAGGAAATATGTGATCGAAAAAATTCGATTCCAATATTAATGGTCCAACGATGACGTGATTGATTTTATCCGGATTTTTTTTTTTTTGATGGTAAAAAAGCTTTCGATTTATTTTTTCCGGGACATTTTTTTTTTGAAGATGATGTGAAAAAAGGGCTAAAATTAGATATTTGATCAACAATACACAATAATAATAAAAATAAAATTTTCTTATTTTTGTTGCTGTTGCTGTTGTTTTTGAAGAGAAAGTTTACCAAACGGCAATTAAGAGGCGAATGAGAGAGTCGAATGGAATGAAATGGTCTGGGTGATTTTCTTTTTTTTTTTTTGAATAAGTCGTCACCGTCGTTCGGTTCATTCGAACATTTGCTATCCAACCATCAATGTGTGCGTGTGTGTGTGTGTATTTCGATTTCGATGAATTTTCGATAAACCAAATGATTTGATCTGTGATTTTGATCAACAATCTATGATGATGATGATGATGATGATGAAACATCAAACAATACATTGCCTAATGGCAATGTTATTTATCACTATAATAACCATAGTGATTGATCAATCAAATACTAGCCCCATAACTATAACAAAAATATTGGCCGGTAAAAAGAAATTTAAAACATATTCACTTGGTATTTCATTTTTACCGACATTGGTTAAAGTTAAACCAAATAAATTACATTTAACCATACGACAAAATCAATATATTCGTCCGAAAAAATTCAAAATGGATGGTTCATTACCTTTGAAAGTACCGACAATTGTAATGGCTAAACGCAATCCATATGCAGAGCCACCAAAAGATGTTGTGATTAATGCCGATATTGCACTTGGACCGGAAAAATATTCAAAAAAACCTAGCTATGGTTATGCTTCTTCATCGGCTGCTGCTGCTTCAGAACCTGAACCAATAATTGAAACGATTCCATCATCACAACCACAGCAACCATTACCACCATTGGAAATTCCTATACCGTTTCCAATGGAAAATCCTCCACCAACAAGCATACAATTCGATGATAATATTGGCCAACCACGATTACCGCCACCAATTGATTTAAATGAACAGAAACTTTTGCTACAGCATGCAGCTGAATCGAATCAACAGGTGTCTGGGTATGATCAAAATGAATTAATGTTAGCACCACCACCAGCACCATTACCACCACCACCAGTATTGCGACCATTACCATCTAAATTTCCTATGGAAATACCGCATTTACCGTTGCCAAAAGAATACAAATTTCAAGGCATGTCTAAACAATCATCAAAAGATAAACCATTAGAAATTCGACGAAGTTCAAATCTACCTGAGCCATATCACCATCATCTTATCAATCGACAAGAATCAGAATCTTCTTTGTTACCACCACCACCACCACCAATGTTCTTTCCGCCACCTCCTCATCTACCTCCACCGCTCCTGATGGCTCCAATACATCAGCCACCAATGTTCCAACATGCTCCGGTATCACCATCAACCATACGTCGTATACCATGGGGTCCACGACGACCTGATCAACATATGTTTCATGATTCTTCGCCTGTTTCTTCAGCCTCACAACCACAAAGTTCAATCTCCAGACAGATGGCAATCGAATTAACCGATGTAACTTCTATAGATGATCCAATCGGGTCAACAAATCAACAACAAATAGAGAAAGAACATCGACCAATGAAAATTAATATTGGTGAACATTATGATCCGAATATGATCTATGTGGATGAACAGACAATACCATCACAATCACAAATTGATGAATTAACGAATAATCCGGTTCCAATGCATGATGAAGATATGGATGATGATTCATTTGGATCAAATCCAGTTGGACAACCTACAAAAGGTTTTATACCGGAATTAATAACAGGCGATGATCTCAGCGATACGGCAATGGCCGAATCATCCATACAATATGTAAAAAAATATGGTGGAAAAAATAAATATTATAAGAAGAAAAATATGGCAATGATGGTCCAGATGATTTTCGTATTGAATTCAATCTAAGTGGACCACATGGTGGACCAATGGTACCATATGGTTATGGTGATGATCAAGATCAATTGAATAAACAATTGAATCAAATACAACAATATATACCGGTTGGACCGCATGCAAAATCAATCTATAATTATTATTTACGACATACGTTTACCGAACCAATACGTACATGGCCATATTCATATGCTAGGGTAAAAAAATTGAAAAAATTAATTCCCGAAAGACAACGTAAACCAATGCCACCACTACATCTAATGTAATAAACTCAGTTATTACACATTATAGATAAATTATGTTCATAATAATCATTATCAGCTTTATAGTTCAAAAATTAATTTTTGATTTTTTTTTTTTGTATTATTCAAATTTATTTTCTGTAATGTTAATCAATCTTTTATTGATTAAGGAACATTTATTGTTTTTCAGTTTATTTGTGATCATCATCCATTATCATTATTTGGCCAATTCTTTTCGATTATTTTAATTGTAGAAATTTTTTAATTTAATTTTTTTTTAAAAATTAAAAAAAAATTCATTTCAATGAAAAAAAAAATTGCATCCTATCTTATATGAACAACTCATTGATTTTTTTTTCATATATTCAATACATTTCTTGTTATAATTCGTGCATACACAACACAATGACCTGTATATTCATGTATGCTACTACCATTACTACTACTACTACTACTACTACTATTACTACAACTACTACTTTATACACAGATACACAAAAAACTATTGGTTGAAAGAAAAAACAACAATGAGAATTACAAAAAAAAAAAAAAAACTCATTTCAACATTGTGGCTTTGTAAAATTGGCTTTGTATTTTGCTGCTGCTATCTGAGATTCGTTCTATCGTTCTTTTCGTTCATCTTTATGTGTTTTGTGTGTTTTTTCTTCTTCATCCTTTTATAACAAAAAAAACACGACTGAAATAAAGAAGCAAAAAAAAAAAAAATTCAACAACAATTGCTCCTCATCATCGGATTTTTTTTTCTTTTACTTTTTTTTGTTTTGTTTTACTTTCCACATCCATGTTGATTGTCCTCATCATCATCATCATCAACATCATCAATAATTCGTTTATTATATTCGAAAAACGTCGCTCTCGTCCATAACATTAAATGAAAACAATCGTCACCAAGAAAAAAAAAATTGAAATTATTTGTGTTTAGAATTTTTTAATCAAAAACCTGGTAATTTTTACCTTAATGCTGTGTGTGTGTGTGTGGACAACAAACAAGATTGCAAATAAAAATTTTGATTTCGTATTGTATGCGTGTGTATTTTGTGTGAGTTTGTTTCTGTCGATGTGTACGTGTGTGTGTGTGTGTGATTTGTTAATGTTTTTGGATAATTTGATAATTCGTTTCGTTGTAAAACTAGATGGTTCCTGGAACAACAGAAACAAAAAATTTTCTCTTTTTTGGCATCCCTGATCATCATGATGAGATATGTAGAATGTTGATGTTGTGTTGACATCATTTAAAAATTAGAAAAAAAACATTGACTACGACAACACAACTACAGTGATTCTTATTGTTGCATTTATGTTGTATTTTTTTCCATTTTGTGAAACAATAAATTGATTACGAAAATTTTATTCAATTTTAAAAGTGAGAAAAAAAATCATTTGAGCATTGTGTTTGTGTCTGTGTCTATATCTGTCTGTCTTATATTACAAACACAGCAAATCATCCATTCAATCATTGAATTATTCAATCCAAAATGAAAAATTACATAATCGATTAATAATAACTTTGTACGTGTCCAATTTGTTTTCACAATAACAAAAACAATAAAAACTAAATCGAATCTTTTCCGGATTCGAATGTTTCAACTCACAAAAACACCAACGACTACACAACAGATTGGCTTTTGTTTTTTTTTTGTTCCAACTATTTCTTCAGCTTTGTAATTATTATTTTATTATTAATAACTATAACTATAATTGTTTGTTTGAATTTGTACACAAAAAAACTAAAATATAATTCAATTTTGTTCATCAAAAAAGGCTTAATCGATAAATAGACAACAAAAAACGAAACTCTTCGTCATACTACAACTACTTATATATATGATCAGCATTTTTTTTTATTATTATTTCGTCTTCAATTCGTCTAGAATTTATTCTGTTTTCTTGGCCCGACTCTTTAAATTCTTTCTCGTTTTTTTTCTGGTGTCTGTGTTGAACAGTGTATTTGTGTGTGTGTGTGTTTATGAACGTGAAGAATTCCATGTGATTTAAAATCACCATTACCAAGCATTTTTGTGAAAAAAAAGATTATAGCAGAATCCATGTGTGTGCCATCATCAATTATTATAACACATGATTTGAACGATTTAAATTGATAAACACTAAACAATTTTTCTTTATTATTTCTTCTTGTGACATGCAAAAATTAAATAATGTTTCAATTTCACCGCCTTGAAATTCTGATGTATAGAAATTGATTTTTTAAAATTACAATATTGGATTATTAAACTAATTTTCATTCATATTGGTCATCATCCTCACAAAGTGTATGAGTTTGTGTGTCCGTGAATTTCAAATTCTGCTTCATTATTGTGACATTGTTGTTGTTATTCGGTGTGATTATATTTATTATACTGATGATTGATAAAAAGACGTTTTTGGTTGGCCTAAAAAAAGTAACATTTATCATTTAAAAAAATTAAAAATATTTTTGTAGGAAAATTTTAATTAATGAAATTTTTTAGTTTCTACTTTAGATCAAATTTTCTCTGGCATTTGACGATTTTATTTCGACAAAATATACTCTGTATACTTGAACCGAAATTTCTGATTATTATTTTTAAACCGACATTTATTAATATTACGATAAAGTTGATTATTTTTCTATACCGAAAATATGGCCACAACGGAATTGAATTTTGGACCTGAATGGATACGTGCATTGACTGATGGTGCCGGTATTGGCAGTACTAATAGCGGTGGCGGTGGTAGTAATAATAGTAGTAACAGTGGTAATAGTGGTCCGAAAACTTTTTCCGGTTCATCTGGACCTAGTTCAAGTTCATCAAATTCGTTGAGTATGTTATTGTTGATTGACCAAATGATTTTTTTTTTGTTTTAGTTTAAAATTTTATATTTCCGTAATTAACGGAAAACAATTTTTATTTTGTTTTCCTTCTTTTTTTAAATTTTTCCTTCTCTATCAAATACAGGCACAACTAATAATACATTTAAATCGGCATCATCAAAAATGTTCAATACAAAATCAATATCAAAACATCATCATCATCACGATATAAAATATCGATATACAAAAGAGGAAATGTTGTCATATTTTCAACAGTCCTCATTTTTAGCACCACCAAAAGATCTAATACAACATGATGAAGTATATGTTGATGATGGTCAACATCCACTTGCCCTAATTGAATTGACAAATGATGAAATTGATCTAATGTCACAGAATATTAATCCGGATTTTGTATTGAAAAAATCGATGCCGAATGAATCATCATCTGTTATAAATAATTCAAATAATCAACAGAATAATCATTCTTCTGGTTCTACAACGACAATGTCCAATAATAATCAACAACAACAACATCATGGATCATCATATAAAGATCGAATATCAAAATTATCATCATCAGATTTACTTCGATCACCAGGTGGGGGATCAAAACTTGTTTCATCATCACCATCATCATCAAATGGTTTTATAACAGAACGCAATAATACAACGAACAATACAAATTCTTATCCGACACGTGGTGGTGGTGGAGGATCGTCAAGAGGTTCATCATTGAATAATAATCGTATTGGACGTGGTGCCGGTAATATTGTATTCACAAGGCTATCATCAATGGATTCGTCAACATCGAATTCAGATAATAATAATTCATCTGCTGTCGGTGGTATACGTTCAATTGGCGCTCTTTATGCTGGATCGAAAAAATATATAGAATTAGCAGCTTCCGGTACACAGCGTGATGATGATAATGATAAAACATTATTGAATAACACTAAAAATAACTCAGGCTCTTCATCAATGGATTCATCATCCACAGATAATAATAATTCATCTGCTGGCGGTGCTATACGTTCAATTGGCACTTTTTATGTTGGATCAAAAAAATATGTAGAATTAGCAGCTACCGGTACACAACGTGATGATAATGAATCGACGTTAGTAAATAATTCAAAGAATAACAATTCAAATTCTTCATCAAATAGTTCATCATCGGCATCGTTGTTTATGCCATCATGGCGTTCGTCGACGAGTAAAACTGAATCTGGAACAAATTCAAATAATCCAGAGGCATCGTCAACGACTACGACGACGGTAAAAGAATCTGTATCATCATCATGGAAAACAAATAGTTGGCGTATAAATGATAATAATGGAAGTGGTTCACGTAGTTCAGGTATAAATAAATTAATGTGATTTATCTATTATAATCTATGAATTATTTCAACAGTACCGATTAGACAAAAGGATTTTTTCGGTGATCCAATCATCGATGATCACCATGATAATGGCATTAGTCGTATTAAACAATCAACCACAAACAATTCAAAATCCGGATCGGGTAAACCCTTTCAAAAACGTTCGTCATTTACATCATCCGAACGTGATCGTCATCATTTATCATCGTTTCCATCTGTGGATGGATCGACTATGTTGGATGCCGAGAGAGATTTGTTTGGCGGCCGTTCATCGTCATCATCATCCGCAACAACCACTAATGCTGGTACTGGTTCAACTTATAGTGATTTGTTTTCACGAAATTCATCATCAACAACAACACCGAAAGGATTAAATTCTCGTGATCGTTATCGTGGTGGTGATCATCGTGGTTGCGATGAAAATAATCAAACAAATTCGACAAAAACAATGGATAATTCTAAATTTTCTCATTATTCATCATCATCAAAAGGTAGTGGTTATTATGGTCGTTCATATGATCGTTTTAATTCAAGACTACGTAGTGGTGGTGGTGATGGTAATCATTATCATCATTCAAATGATGACTCGGATTTTTTCTCTGATCGTTTTGGTACACGTTCTAATAATTCTGGCCATCCTCATCATTCACAACAACAACAACATCATCAACAGCAACAAAATTTATCAAACGATGATGATGGTGATTCATATCGGCGTAAAGATTCATTACCAGAATGGAGCCTAGAAGATCCTAGTTGCATTGATGTTACTCGTGTTGGAACATTTGATGCAAGTGGAGCATTCCATGAAGCATTGGATGATGATCTTATGACACCATTAGAAGTCGATAATGATGATGATGGCGCTAAGAATAATAATGATGATCAAAATGATGATGAAGATTTTTTCGGTAGAAAAATTTCTAAAACTAAAAAGAATTCTGATAATAAAAATCATTCTACGACTAGTGGAAAATCGACAGAAGTAAAATCTAATGAACCTGATAGCAATAAATCTGAAATCCGTCCTCCTTCAACAATTTCATTGTCGACAACAACTACCAAAACAAGTTCAAAACCAAAACCGATCGATTATTTCAATGATCCATCATTAAGTCCTAATTATCAAACAAAATCTGATACGAAGCAACAAGTGTTAAATGTTGATGATAAAACAGTATCAAAAAATAATGATGAAGATAACAGAACAACAACATCAATGGATGGCAATAATAATAATAATGGCTCTATCAATAAAAATTATATGATGAATGATGAAAATATTGTTGGTAGTGGTGGTCAAGCAAACAGCCTAATGTCGATGATAGCCAAACGTAATAATGATTCTAATAATACTGGTCAATCAAGTAATAATGAATCGATTGGTGGTTGTATGGATAGAAATTCAGTATTTAATCCAACATCATCATCATCGGGAAATAATTCAACTTTTTCGTTTGGTGGTACCACATCGTTCGGTCCATCATCAGCTATGATTGAACAACAGCAGCAACCAGCATCACAGCCTGTCATTATTGGTGGTCCAATATCGAATCCTCGAAATACGGTTGCTGCCCATTTATTGGATTCATCATCAACGGATAATATATTGCCTGGTTCACCATCGCGTACTGTACCGTTTAAATCGATAAATAGGGATCAAAATCCTAATAATAATGAACGAAATTCTTTATTCATGCATGATGAAAATTTATTAATGAATGATTCATTAAAATTTTCATCATTATTGAATGATTTTAATTTCGATTTCGGTACTACAGCAAGTAATAGCAACACCAATAATAATTCAACAACTACTACTGGTACGAATGATTCGGCTGATCATCAACTATTTATGCGATTAGCATCCCAACAACAACATCAACAACCGCCACCGTCGAATAATCATCCATTTAATAATCAAGATCTTGACCATCATCAAACATTTGATAATGGTAGTACTAATAATCTGTTGAATAATCTGGCTAATGATGCAAATGGGCAACAGCGATTCAATATTGTACCATCAAAACCAAAGGATTTAATTGATGATCCATTACAACAACATCACCATCAAACACAATCTGTTTCTATGTCAACTAACCATACAATGATCAAATGGTTTTATTGTGATCCACAAGGTCAAACCCAGGGTCCATTCACCAGTCAAGAAATGTTTGAATGGTATAATGGTGGCTATTTTAATCCAGATTTGCTAGTCAAACGAGCATCGGATTCAAAATTTACAAAATTAGGTGAATTAATACAGGCATTGGGTGGACGTTGTCCATTTAATTTAATACCACCAACACCTTCCCCTATATCGGTTGGACAACCACAACCGATTCAACAACCAACATCCGTTAGTAATAATAATATTCAAACTGGTCGAATTGTTATGGCACAACAAGCACCACCACCACCCCCTCCTCCCACACAATCTATCCAACAACAACAGCAGCCACCATCATCTATTCAACATTCGAATTTCCCATTACGAACAAACAATAATGAGGCATTATTTTTTCCCGTTTCATCTTCATCAACAACAACATCATCGATAAACAATCAGCAACAGCCACATTCTGCTCCGATTGTACCACCATCATCGATGAATCAATTTCTAACATCATCACCATCAACGACACAATCATCGACGACAACAATCGGTGGTGGTGTTGGTCATCATCGTGGACCATCAATACAACCACCACCAACACAACCACAACCATCACCATCTGTTATATCATCATCATCGACTACAGCAGCAGCATTTCAATTTGATGATAACCTAATGAATTCATTCAATTTATTTCAGAATTTATCGAAAAATATCGATACGAATCAATTAAATGATGATACCTTATTAGGTGCTGATCATCTTATTGAACAATTAATACAACAGCAACGAAATCAACAACAACAAAGGCATGCACCAGTTAACACAAATGTTGGAATTACTCAACAAATACCACCGAATCATCATCAACAACAGCAGCATGCATCCTCATCGACAACAACAACATTATCTGATAATCATCAAATGAGATTATTATTAAATCATCTTATACAACAACCACCGAATCAACCACAACATTATGCAACAACCAAAGATGAATTTCTTGCATTGAATACTCATCAACAAAGGGAACAATATCTATTGGATAGATTTGAACAATTTAATCTTACATCATCAACGGCTAATAATAATCTCACCAGTCCAATGATGAAAGATCAATTACGACAAGTATTGAATGAACAACAACAACAATATCATCCATCACATCATCATCATCAACAACAACCTATACAGCAACAACAACCACCAACATCAATGGGATATCATCATCATCAGCACATTGATGATGATCAATTAAGCACTGCCAGTAGTTCCGGAGGTGGTGGTGGTATTATTGGAACTGGACGTATAACTGCCAAAAAATTATCATTAGATGAAACATCAACAATGACAGCAAACGTTGCTAATGCTAGACAGCAAATGCCACAACCTCAACAACAGCCACAACTTTTACAACGTACACAATCCTATGAACCTGTAAATTTTATTCAGCAGCCACCACAACAGTCCATTCCGAATCATTCATCATATGGATCTGATTCTGTGGTATCACACGGCCAATTATCGCAACCGGTTGAAGATCCATTACAATTGTTGAAGAAATATGCCGCTAGTGGTAATGAGAATTTCGTTCCAGGTGCATTATCCGTAACCGATGTTGAAGAAATACAACGACGTGAAGCTGAAGAACGATATCATCATGAACAGGAACAAAAAAGAAATCAACAACAACGATTACAACAACAAATTGTGAAATCGGATGAATCTACAGCCATTGTAATGGATAAATATCAAATGATGGTCGATACGACTAATGATTCGGTTGCCAATGAAATGGAATTTATTGAAGTTCAACGAAATAAGCATCGAAATCAACAAAAACAACAACCAAATCAAAAATTACAAAAAATTCCATCAACAACACCTTGTAAACAACATGAACAGACACAATCATCACCGCAACCTCCTACGAAAACTCCACCCCCACTACAACAACAGCCGCCAACATCAGTTATCCTACCACAAATGCCACAATTGCCTAAAAAAGCTGTATGGGGTAGTCAAAGTGTTGACAATGTTGAAACACAACAACAGCCTCAACCACAGCTTAGTATTGCTGAAATTCAACGACTTCAAGAGGAAAAGGAAAAAGAAGAACGACGTATCCGTCAAGAACAACAGATGCAAATGAATGCAGCAGCAATTCTTGCTCAACAACAGCAACAACGATCAATGAAGTGGGCAACACAACCATGGCAAGAACAGCAGACACCCGTTCAGATCAAAACATTAACAGAAATTCAAGCGGAAGAAGCAGAAAAACAGGCAGCCTTATTACGTCAGCAGCAGCAACAACAACAAGAAGCAATGGAAGCAGCAATTCGTCGACGACAAGATCCACATTCTCAAGGGGTTTTTACACCTTTATCGGTGATTGTAGCCAAAGGTTCGGGAAATCAACAACAACCACCACCTGGTGTTTGGAACGGATCACCAAAACCTGTACGATCTGGTGCCGCCTGGGATTCTGGAATAGTAGCTGATGATGAATCACAAAATCATCCATCATCACAGATGACAGCGGCATCTTCACAACAAATCAACTATAAAGCTGCTGTTGCAGCCGGACAAAAACCGAAGATTGATAGTTTAGCATTACGACAAGTGCTCAAAACAAATCCCAAAGTGAAGGTATATTTTAGTTCAGTTTTTCAAAACGATTTTTTATGAATTATAATCACTTTTATAGGATCAATCACTTATGATGTTCGTCCGTAATGAAATCGACAATCCTGAGGAATTGTATCGTTCTTCAGTGGAATTGTTGAACAAACATTTCGATAATATTGATGGTATGTCTTTCTAATATATATTTTGTTGTTGTCAATAATCACATTTTTTGTCCATTAGCCATTGGTTTTTTGAACATTGTGAAAGATCTTGGTTCACCAGCTGAAGTATCGGAATATTGTCAATCATATCTTGGTAGTAATAATGTTTCAAAATCATTTGTAAAATTTTTCATCACACGAAAAACGTATCTGATAAAATTGAAACAACAACTGGAACAAGAGGTATAGATTGGAGAAAAAAATAAAAGGTCAATGAAATTGATTCGATAAAATTTTTTTTTACAGAGAAATAAACAATCACAAACCGTGACAAAGAAAATATCCAATTGGAATAATGCACAAGAACACGAAGAACGAGTGATCAATTACAAATCGGCATTATCAGCTAATAATAATAAGACATCAATTCAATCGTCGTCGTCGGGACAATCACCATCAAATAGTAATGGTAACAATCATTCAAGCGCACATATCAAGCCAGCTACACTGAAAGCACAGATTGTCAATAATCTTAATAATAAATCAGCAAACAAAGGAAATGATGTAAGTTATAATTTCAAAATAATCAATTTGTTGTTGACCTCTATCTTTTGTAATAATAATAATCATTATTGTTTCAATATATAGGATATAAATCTAATGACCATACAGGTTGAATCAATGGAAGAATTCGATAAATGGTGTCTAGATGTACTTAGACAAAATTTTGAGCTTACCATTGATGGTAAATTTTTTTTTTATTTGAAAAGTAGATTATTAAAAAATTTGTATTAATAACTTTATTTATTTCGTTTTTTTCCTGGGAACATTAGCTGAAACATTCATTGGTTTCTTGAAGGACATTGCATCGCCTGATGAAATTAATGATTATGTACAAACATATCTGGGCAGTAATAAAATTTCCCGTGATTTTGCCAAAAATTTTATTACTAAACGAAGCTATCTTCGTAATAAAGCCCGACAAATTGAACCATATGAGGTTTGTTAATTTTTTATTTGTTAAGAATTTGACTGATTTTTTTTCTAACAAAAAAAAATAATTTCTTATAATTGTAATTATAAAAATAGGATATGTGTGGTCCAGCACCAGCTTTAACACCTGGTGGTGTGGATAATAATGGCTTCGTTACTGTATCCAGTTCGAATAAAAAGAAACGAAGTAAAAATAAACAATCAACAACATAATCATAAATCAAAAAAAAAAAGATTCATAAATGTGATTTAATTAATTATCCAATTGATCGAAATCGTAGATGTAAAAAACAAATGAATACCTACCAATGATGATGATGATTAATGAAATGAATTTTAATAATCATTTAGCTACGAATACGATCAACAACAAATAACACAAACTACCAATACGAAAATGTAAAATGTTTTTCTCTTCAATAAAAAAAAATAATATGTTTATTACAAAAAGAATTTTTCTATTCAAAAATAATAATCATAATGATGATGATAATAAAAATAAAATGTGAGATTCATAAATCAAAATTATTAGTATAATTAATCTTCAATTATCTTGCAATTATATAATACAATGATGATTATCACAATAATATAAGTTCAATGTTAAAATTTTGTGAAAGTTTTCTTTACTGATGATTAAAGTAATGTTTTCAATGGAAATTTATTCGTTGGTTCATGTATGGTCACCGTTGTTGTTGTCATTGTTTTATTATTTGGTGGCCGTTGTATTGTATTCGAACATATTTGCTGAATTCGTCGTATGGTTCCATATTCACCATAATCATTATTAACATCAACAAAAACGGCATCCGGTGTTGAAATAGCTTTTCGTAATTGATGATAATCTGATGATAATTGTGGTTGATGTTGTTGTTGTTGTTGTTGCGATATGATTGGACATCGTGGTTTTGGTACCTGATAAACACTGACAATATTATCTTTTTCTTTGCGATAACGATGTTTACGTATAAGATCAACTTTAGCATATATTTGACTTTGTGTTACTTGTGGATGTTGTTGTTGTTGGCTATTTGTATTTGCTGGTAATATCTGATGATATTCATGTAATGATGGTGGTAATGATGTACAACCGGATGAATGAGTAAATCTTGGAGGCGTTGAATAGATCCATTGATATTGTTGTTGTTGTTGTGGCTGTTGTTGAGGATAATGATGATGATAATTAGCCGATTTCTGTGTATGATTTTTAATGGCATCTAATTCGGCTGCAATACGAGCTGCTCGAATTAATTTACGATCAGTTTCCTCTATAATAATTTAGAAATTTTTTAATATTGAAAAGAGATTAAATTTAAAAGCAAAAAAAAAAAAAAAAATGATCACTTACCCGAAAACATTTGTTTGGCTGCATTAGTAATCTCTTCATAGAATGTTGCCAATGCTTGATTGAGATCATTTTTATTCCTATTATTGTTATTAGCATTATTACTATTATTATTATTATTATTGGTGTTTGAATTTAATGTTTCTTGATCCACTACAATCGAACAGGACGATGAAGATGGTGAAGATGATGATGACGAAGATTGTGAAGAGGAAATGGCATGATTATCATTTGCATTCTGTTGACGGCTAATTCTACCAGATTCTATATCTAAACTTAATGATGGAGTTATAGTGAATATAGGTGGTGTTAATATAGATTTAGTCAATGATGCTCGTCTTGGTTCTTCCTTTTCTTCTGAATGTTCACGATGATCGCCATCATTATCACTGTTGGATTCTGGTTGAGACGAATGAACATTCGGTGATGATGATGATGATGAATTTATAAGACAATTGCGAAGACGATTGAAAATTGTTAGTAAAAATTTAGCTATCGATTCTCCAGTCAATTTTATTCGACGTTTCATTGCCGAAACAGTGGATGATGACAAAGCAGCTTCAGGCCATTCAATTATATTTCGTTTGAACATAAGAATCACAATAATTAATATGGAAAGGAAAGCAGCAATTACAACGGCAGCCAACAGATGCAAAATATTTACAGATGTTTCACGAATGTAGAAACTTTTATTACGGAAAAAATTTTTTATCGTCGATGATGATCCATAACCGTAGAAATAGAGAAATCCATTATGTCGTTGTCGTACACAACTTGTGGATGATCGATGTCTTGATGATGATGATGATGATATAGTTGTTTCATTTTGATTGATAATTTCTGTCCAAAGCCCGTCTTCACGACAACGAAACCACAAGCTTGAACGTGTCAGATTTGAACGTTGAACATCTTGTGATGAACAAATCAATTCGGCTAATGCTGAAAATTTAGTCGATCCATTGATCAGACGAAACTGTGCACCGGATAGAAAAAATTCCTCTGAATTTACTAATAATGATTCGGGATGACCACAATCGATTGCTGATTATTAAAAAATGTAAATGTAAATTAATTCGATTTGGACCTATGAAAACAAAACATACGTTCACATTGTGGAACATCCAAACTACCGGACCATTGTCCATAACGATCACAGATACGTGTATCATTTGCATTTGGATCGACAAATACGAAACCAGGACGACATTCATAAACGGTTCGTGAACCAACAACCGGTTGATCATAATAATCTTCACCATACATTCGATGAAATCCATTCATAATTGATACTGGTTCCGGACATGTGATTCGTTCACAATATGGTTCTTTATCAATCCATTGTCCTGTACGTTGATCACAATGACGTCGTGATTGTCCGATCAAACGATATCCATCATGACAATGATATTCAACTGAACGAGATCCATCAACTGAAATCTGTTGATCCAATACGAAACCAAAAGCCGGTACCTCAACCTGACCACATTCATAATGGCCACGTTCAACAAATACATCAACTTCACAAAGACCAAAATATTCCAATTGTGGATAATCATCTTCGATTTGTAGATAATTTCCACGAAGACCACCATTATTCGATGAACATTGTACAAATATTGTTTTGGATGAAAACACACCACGAAATGATGCACATTTATGATATTTTGAAGAAGTTGACATTGTTGTCACACTATGACCGTAAGATGTTTGTGTAGAATTCTTTCCCAAAAAAGTATCATTTTCACCATGATTGGTTGTCAATGTTTCTACTTCAATCACATAGATTGAAAAATAAAGTTCAGCATCTATCAGAGATAAAATAAAACAAAAACATTAAGTTTTTTTCCAACCAAAAAACTTTCGAATTCACTTACTTATAGGAGGTAACGTTAACGCAACCGATATAATAGATTGATTATCCATTGCTGCTTTAGGTAATTCAACACGCCACCATCGTGGTTTACGACGATTTGAAAAGAAACATGTACGAAAATTTCCATCCACAGCTAATTGTGGTGGATAATTATTCAATGCTTCCGATGCCGATGTTAAACCTAGATTCCGGATTGATTGATCTGATTGAAAAATTTTTATAATTTAATTATTAATTAATTTTCAAATACAGAAAAAAATAAAACACATACCACAAATGGGCATCCTTCCAGACCATGTATTATTTGATTGACATGTACGTGTCATTGGACCCAATAGAAAATAACCAGGGTCACATTCAAATGTTATGACCATTCCTTCTTCATAACGTTCAAGTAGATGTAATACACGACCATTACGTGGTGATCCTGGATAACCACAGGTTGCTCTTACTAAAGTCATTGATGATGGTGATGGAACAATGGATGGTGATCCAAAATCTGTACCACCTTGATTTCCATAATTGTAATCAACATTGTTGTCGTCGTCTGCAATAAAAATATTTTCCACTGTAGTCGTTAGGTCATTGGTTTCATCGGTAGCAGCAGCTGAAAGAAAAAAAATTTCGATGAAAACAAAAATTTTTAAATGTCCTGTCTGACTGTGAGAAAAAAAATTAAGGCTCAGGTAAATCACCTGAGCCTTTTTTGGTAGATCTGATTATGACAGGCAGTCCCAAGATTTCTATCCATTCACATAATTATTTAAAAGGACCTTCCTGAAGACGACGACAGCTGTGAAGACTTTTTCATGAACGGCAGCAGCTGTCGTCATAAGGTCCTTCTGGTTTTCTTTCCCATCACACAATAATCTTTTGCTTGTCTTGTTCTGTGTCTTGTAACGTATGATACAGGTGAAAGGTAAAAAGAAAAGTAAAATCGTCTGAATGTGGTTATAATGTGTACAGTGTGTGCTGATTTAACACTAAAGCAAAGGTCGTCAAATATCGTGCGTTACAAGGTTAACAAATGGCATATGTGCTAGGACATTTGGTTTCCGCTAGTGCCATATGTTTGGCTTTTGCTAGCACAATTCTTTTTAATTTTCCCAACGGCTAAAAATTGAGAAAACCAAGGGAAAAAATCATTCATATAATGAGGCCATATGGCTTTTCCGTTTGATATTTGGAACAAATAATTATCAATGATCAATTTTTTTTTTTTTGAATCATTTTGGTGTTGATTGAACCAAATCAGAATAATCGAATCGATTATTTAAAAGAGACTTACCATTCATTGATGATGATGATGATGATGATAGAATGATGAAGAGGGTGGCCAACAAAATCAATGGAAAAAATTTAAAAATATTTTTCAAATGAATTGAATCCATTTTACGATACATTTTCATATAAAAAAACAATTTTTCGAGAGATCAACTAATCAATGATGAAAATAAAACTCTGAAATTATGTCGATGATGATGATGATGAATCACATTTCGTTTGATGATGACTTTTTCTCAGTAATCACAAATACGCATCAAATGGTAAAAAAAAATACATAGAAAATTCGTTGAAAAATGAAAAAAATTTCGGTTGGATCTCAAACACACACACACACACATACACACCAGTGGATGATCGAATGGTGATGGTGGTCCAGAGAGATCAAGCATCAGATGAAAATGATTGTAACAGTTTGGGATAGACTGAACGAGAGAAAAAAAAATTTTAAATGGAACTCAGACCGACAAATACAAACACATACACACACACACCCAATAAAATACATCAAAAGACCGAAAGGGTCTCGTGCAAGGGCGGTTCCAAGAAAAAAGTGCAACAGTTGGTACGTACACTAACAGTTAATACAAGCCACACATGTTATATGTCATGTGGAGGTCAAATATACAATAGGTGTAAACGAAAGAAATAGAGACAGGGTCCACAAACAGCCGGCATCAATAAGAACATTTCTCATTCACATCAGATAGTTGTTGTAGTTTTTTTTCTCTGCCAGATTTGATCAAATCAACAATCAAATATGAATCATTCTGTGTTAGTTCCGTTTTTTGATACTTTGTTCATGTTGTTGATCGATATCGTAAACAAAACAAAAAAAAACCGGAACGGAAACGATACACGAACACACATGTCACACGCACAAGGATTTTGGTTTTTTTTAGTTGATTTAATTTCATTTCAAATTGAACCGAAAAACGACAACAACAACAACAACAACAAGGTCCCCACATCACCTTCTGCACTGCTCCACCTCCTCCCAAGTCTTAACGATCATCGTCATCAGCGAAAAAAGTCAACCAAGCAAAACAAGCTAAGTAGCCAGCTAGCCAGAAAAATCCATAACCATAAATATAAGGTCTCGTTTTGGAATGGTGGCATGACAACATTTACAAAATCGGATATTTTTGGTTTCTTATGAATGAATGAAACAAAATACAAGTGAAAAAAATACATATGAAAGCGTTAACCATTACATTCTATCGTTTGTTCGTTCGTTCATTCATTCACTCGTTCAACGGACTATTAAAGATGTCATCATTATAATTATCATACATCATCATCATCATCATCGTTGTATGCAGTAGAAAATTTATTGTATGTCAAAGGCCCTTAAACTTATTGTAAAATAAAAATGGTCATCATAAAATGAACGTGTGCCCATCATCATCATCATCATTAGATGTCATGGTCCAATGATCTACTTTGTTTGTTTGTTTGTTTGTTACATCATTTATACACCCTTTTTTTTTTTCATGACTGATTCTTCGTCTTATTCTTTTTTAGAAATGTAATTTCGTAATTATTTCTTTTCAAATTTTCGAAAATTATCGAATAAACTCATTCATTATCATCAAAACAAAACAAAACAAACTCAACAATCGAAAAAAAAAAAAAAATATAAAATAAAGACTGTTAGAGAAAGAGAATCGTATACGATTGTCGACCAGGTGTGTGTATGATTCTAGGTTTTATTAATAAAGAGTTATATCGTATGTAAGAAAGAAAGAGAAACCAAATGGTCCCTTGTATATGAATACAAGAACAAAAGCTTTTACGATTTTTAAAAAAGTTTCATTCATTCATTATTATATAAAAGGAGTGTGTGTGTGTGTGTGTATCCAATCTTTTATTATTTAAAAGAAAAAAAAATCTAATTGTAAATTCATTCATTCATATACACGACAAGAAAACGGGGCTAACATCTAGCTAAATCATCTATGATCCAAATAATAATAATGATGATGATGATGATGATGATGAAGGCAATGAAAGAAACAAAAAAAAAACACTTAAATATCATAAAGGATAGGGAACCGCACCCAATTTCATATATTTGGATGTCATATATGTGATATATTTTGTGTGTTTGATGAACCATTCAAGCAAACAAAATGAATAAAGATATTGTTGTTGTTTTTGTTTAGAATTTCCGTTTCCTTTAGATTTTGTTTTGTTTACACCAAGAGTTATGAAAGATTACATCATAACATCATCATAGTTTTTTTGTGTACTTTTTTTCGATGTAATACTGGACATAAAAAAACAACAACCATCATAATCGCGATTAATGTTCATTCGTCAACGTTATAATCATCATCGTGCATATTGTAATCGTTGAGTGTGCGCCATTGCGCCTGTCTTTGAGAGTTGTGTTTGAGTGACAGAAATAATCATCATCATTATTGTCACATTGTTGTCATATCATCATTATTGTCACATCGTTGTTAGCATCATCATCGAATTATGTGGCTCACATCGTTTATTTATTGTTTATCATGTATTATTATCATATTTCAATAAAGACCATAAATTATTCTAAAAACCGACCATTCGTGAATTATTTTCTATCTAATACTTTCGTACATGAAATATTGGTAATTTCATATAGTGACACACACACACACACACACAAACACACACATAGATAGATAGACGTCAATAACGATAATGTTCGATGGGAAAGAAAAAAAAAAGAAATTAGCATGATTTTTTGTAGTTTAATCAATTTTATCGATTTGATAATTGATAAACAACAATAATATTGATTGATATTGGTTACACCATTTTGCGATACTATCATAGTTGTTTTTTTGTTGTAATCATTACCATGGAAGACATCTGTACATCATTTTTTCAAATTTTATTTTGTGTGAAATTTTTATTGTAACAAATTGAAAAAAATGTATCAAATTGTTGATCATTCGAAGAATAGAAAAACAATCGTAGTTATTGCATATCCGGCTGTTGGTCATGTAAATGGTTGTCGTAATGCATTAGCAAATAGCCTTATTAAATATGGTCATCGTGTTATATTTATCATTGGTAAAGCATTTCGTGGCAAACTTTTACCGTATGGATTTGAAGAATTAATTTGCGCTGAATTTGATGATGATGATGATGATAATCATAATAGTAATAATGATCCAGCTGCGAAATTAGCTCGACATTTATTAGAATTCGATAATATGTTGGCCATAAAAAATTTGAGTATTGAAAAACGTTTGGAAAATTTAATAAAAATGTTTTCAACACTTTTACCAGATTTCATAATAAAAACAGATGAATATTTGAAGAAAATGATCAAAACAATCGGTAAAATTGATTTATTCATCGTCGATGATGTTCAACAATATCCGGCTATAATGGATGCAAAGGATATACCACTCATACAATGTATAACATCGATGCCAAATACACAGGCGAAAGACACAAGTTTACCACCACCATTTACCGGTTAGTTCATAATAATTCATTCATAAAATTATTTCATTCAATTCAACATAAATGCATGCATGTATTATATAGGATTAGAATCGAATCTTTCCATCAAAGAATATGAGCCATATTATTCGATTATTGAAAAAACATTCAATGAAGATCGTATAAATGAAAGTGTAGCAAAACTTGGCTATAAAAATCTATGGATTTCATCATTGTTTACACCACCCAAATATCCCAATTATCCATTGCGACAATGTTTAACGGTTTATGCATATCCGAAAGAATTAAATCATCCAAAAATCGAATCTCGTCCTGATTGGTTTAATCTTGAAGTTTTTGCAAAAAATTCATACGACAAAACTATCGATTTGGAGAAATTAGTGGGAGCTGAACTTTTTCATGATCAATTAGGAGGACGTTTCAGTGGTAAATGGATATATCTATCTCTTGGATCAATGGGTTCGATCGATATCAATTTAATGTTACGGCTGACCAGAATATTGGCACTTACCGATCATAAATATATCGTATCAAAAGGTTTACGTCATAATGAATATGAATTACCGGGACATAATATGTGGGGTACAAATCATGTACCACAGATAGAAATTCTACCATTAATGGATTTAGTTATCACGCATGGTGGTAATAATACCGTTACGGAAACATTTGCACAAGGTAAACCAATGATTGTAATGCCATTGTTTGGTGATCAACTTGATAATGCACAACGTTTACATGAAACTGGATATGGACGACGATTAGATCCATATGGATTTCAGGATCAACAATTATTGGATACAATAAATGAACTGTTGTATGATGAGATGCTCAATGAAAAATTGAGAAAAGCATCTGAACGTATAAAACAATCAAATTCATTCAAAGAATTTGTTGGAATTGCTGAAAAAATTATGGATAAAAATGAGAAATAATTTTGTCAAAAAGATTTCTGGATTTTAATTATGGAATATTTAGATTCGAATAAATGATGAATTTTTATTGAATAAATAAATAAATATAATGAATGAAATGAATAAGATGGATAGATGGATGAAATTTTTCTCTCATCGTAACAAAATCAATGATGAAAAGAGAAATTTATTCTGCTCCATATTTAGTAGTTGCTATAAAGCACAGAAAATAATACAAATAATAATAATAAACTAGTAGAATTATTATAATGGAAAGAAACGTTTACGAAAATTAAGAAATTTAAATCTAGCCAATTTAGCCTGTTTTGGTGACCAGAATCGACCACGTGATGATAATGGTGATATTAATTCATTATTATTATTATGATTTATTGTTGTTGATTGACGATGCTTATTGTTGTTGTTGTTATTATTATTATTATGCCGATATCTATGATAATGATTAACAACGTTCCATTTAATTAGATTTTTATTATTAACATCACGTGTAGCTTCAATTATTATTGGCATCATTATTGGTTTAGCCAATGATGATGATGATGATGATGGAGGCAATTTAAATGGTTTAGCAATCAATACGATCAGGCCATTATGTAATTTATTATGGCCACCACCACCACCACCATCATCATCATTTTCTGCATTAATACCAAATTCATTATCAAAATCTTTGATTAGATCGATATCATCTTGTGTGGTTCCAAGTTTTGGATTTATAATTATCGTATCATTTCGTTGTTTTGGATCTTGTTCAATTTTACCTAACCAAATTAATCAAATCAAATCAATCGATTAAAAAAAAAAATGAAAAATTAAACATTAAATCGCATACCTCGATTAGTATTATTATTATTAACGACGACAAAACAATCACCAACAATATTGACCAATATAATGAACAATAAACATAATTGTGATGAATAAAATGATGATGATGAAAATTGAATCATATTGAAAATATATTTTCACGCAATAAAAAAAATGATGATGATTTCAAATGATGATGTTTTCTGTTGTTCAATGTTGTTAAACATTTTATCGAATGTGGTGAATGATTTTAATTTGAAAAATTAGAAAAAACCACACTGATTGAATTGAATGAAAATTATTATCAGCATCGCATATACATTAGATTCTATTGTTGTTCCAAATGGAAAAGAGAGAAATCAAAAAAGAGAATTGTCCAATGTTTGATGAGACATTCGATGATGTGTAGTTCCTAGAAATAGGGGAAAAAAATAAGAGACAAATAGGGCTCATTTCATGATGATGATGAAGCAAAAAAAAAATACTCAAACAAATTGGAAATGCCTTGAATTTAATTTCTCACTTTTTATATTTGTTTGTTCCAAAATATCAACAACAACGACATTTGGCCAAGTTTTCACTATTATCATCAGCATCATTAAATTATTTGAACATTCATAAAAACGTCTTTTGTTGAACGACTGTTGTTGTTGTTGTTGTTGTTACTGTTGTATGAATATTGGATACATTCATTCAATATGTATAGGAACGGACATACACAAAAAAAATCAGAAAATTTTCGGGGCCATATTATCATTCGATGAATATATGATTGTGTGATCAAAAAAAAAAACAGGATGAAGCAACGAGTTTTTTCTTTCATTTTCATTTTGGTTTTGTTTAGTTTATTTCACTACCAACTAAGAAGGAAAAAAAAACAAAACGAAAATTTTAGATGCAGATTTTTCCGACAGATGAATGAAATGAATGAATGAAAACAACTGAACGACAACAATTAACAAAAAAAATCAAATGAATGAATTATGTGTGTTTTTCCATTTGTTAAACAATAATGATTCTTTTAGCAGGAACAAACAAACAAACAAACAAACAAAACAAAACATTGATTGAACAACAACAATAACATTAAGGAATTATTTTGTTTGTGTACATTTTTTTTTTTTTGTTTTGAAAAAAAAAGAAAAAATCGGACACATCAGAAAAAAAGGTGGAAATAGTCATATATGATAATAATGATGATGATGTTGGTCGAAATCAACAGCACGTCATCCAAATGGATATGCATTTATCATCTATGAATTTCATTTTTTTTTTTAGAGGTCAACACACATCTTTAAGATTGTCGGGCGCGATCAAAGCAACAACAACAACAACGACAAAAAACGTCGTCATCTTTATTAAATCATCATTTTTCACCGCGTACTGATTTTTATTTTCCATGGTTGGATTGTAAAAAAAAATGGCAAAAAAAAATTCGAATAAAAAGGATTGGTTATCTTTCATTTCATTTTTGTTCATTCAATTGTATTATATACCATATAACAATGATGATGATCTGTGAAAGGAGTGTTGTTTGAAGGATCCTAAGAAATGGAAATATTTATTAAATAGGATGTTGATTATCATTGTTGGTGACATCATTAGACCTTGATTTTTTTTGAATAATAAATATTTTGTTTTTTGTTGTTTACCATCATTTTTTTCTGTTTATATTCTCTTTTGATCTGGATCTTTCTTTCGCTCCATCGTGCCACTATCATCACCTGTTTATTTGATGAGATTATTTATTTAATTATCCTTATCTCAAAAAAAGTGTTGCCATTTTTTCGATTCAATTTCAAGTTGTAGTTATAATTAAAAAAAAAAATTTATTTATTTATCTGACCTGTCGAACGCAATAACATTCTTAAGGTTTTTTTTTTTTTTTTTTTTTGATTGGAGTCATTTGATTGATGATTTAAATGATCACGAAACAAGGTTTACTCAAATCAATCTAAAGAATCTGTCACTGTATATTTGTATATATCGATACTTTGAACTCATTTCATCATTCAATTTTTTTTTTGATTTTCTAGATCACAATTTTGACATGTTTATGATTTGCAAAATTTTCATTTACAAATCAGTCTGTGTGAATTAATTAGTCGTCATTTAATTACGACATAATATGATGTTTTTGAAAATCTTAATCAGTTTTTTTTTCAATGTAACTATGTCAGTTTTAATGTAGTTTTTAATCCAAAAATTTTATGTATTTTTAGAAAATTGCGATTTGCGGAAATCTAACAATCGGGAATTCATTCATGTAATTTTCGACTCGACGAGAAAAAATGAAAACAAATTCCATTACATCCTTTATGAATGGAACCTTACACGCGGTTAACAATTGTTTGTTTTCAAAACAATTTTGGCCAGCTTTTTGCGTTCTTGTTTTTGAATTTAATCGAAATTCATTCATTTAACATGGAAGTTGATGAACAGATCGAAATCAAAGATGATTCGGCTAATGATACAAATATAAATGCAGAAAAAATAGATAAAAAACAACCGATTTGTGTCATCATTCTGGGTATGGCTGGCAGTGGTAAATCATCATTATGTACGAAATTGGTTCAGCATTTATTCGGCAAGAATCGACCACCATATGTGATAAATTGTGATCCAGCATGTCTACGAGTGGATTATCCTTGTAATATCGATATTCGTGATTCAATACATTATAAAAATGTTATGGAAAAATATCGTCTTGGACCTAATGGATCGATTATAACTTCATTAAATTTATTTGTCACACGATTCGATCAGGTATTGGATCTGGTTGATAAACGTAAAGAATCCTATAGGTAGGTGTTTGCATTTCTAATCTGTGGTTTCCAACGATATATTCTATTCTTAAATTTCAACAGCTATGTTTTGCTTGACACACCTGGTCAGGTAGAAGTATTCACATGGTCAGCATCTGGTTCAATTATAACCGAAGCATTAGCATCAAAATATCCGACAGTAATTTTATTCGTGATCGATACTGTAAGAAGCCATAATCCAACAACATTCATGTCAAATATGCTATATGCTTGTTCAATAATGTATAAATATAAATTACCAATTATTGTTGCTTTGAATAAAACCGATATTATTGATCATCAATTTGCAATGGAATGGATGCAAAATTCCGAAATATTTGAAACGGCAATCAATGAAGATCCAACATATATGGCTTGTTTGAATCAATCATTAGTATCAGCATTAGATATATTCTATCAAGATCTTTCTGTCATAGGAATATCATCGAAAACCGGTACAGGTTTTGATCAATTAATCGATGCCATCGATAATGCACGAATTGATTATGAACAAAATTATCGTCCCGAATTAGATCGACAACAACAGCCACAATCATCATCAACATCAACAACAATGGAAGAATTGGAACAAAAAACGAATCAAATATCATTAAAAGATCAAGAACAAGACACCGGAACTAGTAACAACAACAAACAAGCTACCACTACTACTGGTAATGATGATTTAATTACATTCGGAAAGCGCAGAATAAATATGGATTTGTAATACAATACAATACAATATACAATATGATAATAAAGTCATCACAACCTACACACAAACAGACTATTCAAACCAAACAATGTTGAAAAACCAGAAAAAAATTTGTCAAAAAAACAAACATTCATCATCATAATCACCATCTTGTAAAAGAAGATAAAGCAATCAAACTAATGGAATCTCCATTATTCATATGGCACCAACAACATTTTCTTTTTCTCTTTTCTGGTTTGTGTTTTAATTTAATATAATTTTTTGTCGTATACATTTTCATTTTGTTTTTGTTTCGTTCTTTTATTATTATAAAATTCATAGACATTCATCATCATCATCATTTGGAACGCACACACAAGCACATAAGGAGAAAAATGACCTGGGAACGGTGTCAATTTTTATCGATGTGAATTGATTTTCTTTTGTTTGTATATTTAAATAAAAGAAAAAAAATTATGTTGAGTTATATAATATTATGATTGTACGTTTTTTTTAAAAATTATTATCAACCACAAACATATGACTTTTGTAAAATCTTCGGTTTCTCATTGGATATATGAAAGGATGGATCCATGTGCATTATGTATATGCAATATGTATGTAGTCAAGAATTTCAAACCAAAAATAGAAAACTTTTGAATAAAGAGTCTCATCAGGTTGGGTATATATATATGAAAAAAAAGATGATGGTGATGATGGAATCGATTTTTTTTCTCTTGTTCTTTTATTTTCACTTGAATTTTATTCAAGTCATAAAACTTTTTTTTTTGTTTTGTTTTGTGTTGTTTATGACAATGAAATAAACTTTAATTGAATAATCAATCAATCGATACGACAACGACGATGGTGACATGAAATTTCCATTTCCATTTCAATTTTTTTTGAAATAAAAAAAAATTCCTGATGTTTATACTGAAAAGAAAAAAAAACAGGATATCATTTATGTGGAGTGATGGCAAAAAAAAATCAATTTATTTTTTTCATATATTTTTCACGACAAAATTGTATAATAGAAGAATATTTTAAAATTAAAAAAAGAATTTCATTTTACAGAATTACCGAAATGAATCTTGTGTGTGTGTGTGTCTGTGTGTTTTGATCCATCATCATTGGCCCCCCCTAAAATTAGAATCATTTCATTTCCGAATCAATTTATCATGAAAAATCTTTACTAAAACCATCAATTCATTGTTCTTCGTCGTTATCAACATCATCATCATCATCAAGTTAAAATATATACGGAATTAATTACAAATTCATTTTATTTATTCATATGACCCGATAAGGTAATCGTATTGTTACCGAAGATTTATGGATGGATGTTTGTGTGTGTGTTTTTGTTGTTGAGTGCATGTGATTCACATAACAACCGACAGATTGACCGACCGACTGAACAATAAAATGAATAGACATGAAACAAACACATTTACACATACAGTGAAATTGTTCCAAATTGAAAACAAAACAAAACAAAACTAAAAGCAACCACCGCCCAAGAAACAAATTATCATTATTTCTCGATGATGATGATGATGATGATGATGAGAAATTTTGATTGAAATAGAATACAAATGATTATCCGATTGTTATCAGGATTTTTTTGTTGTTGTTGTTGTTGATGAAGCTGATTAACATTATAATGGACAAAACAATGATGATGATTGGCCACAATTGAATGGCCTGAACTTTCTTTGTATCAATCATGTGGTGTGAGATTATTTTATATTCAAACGTGAGATTTATTTGCGAATGGATAGGGCTATGAGAGATGGCCGATTATTATGAACCATAACATAACATAACAGTCGTTGTTGTTCGTGATTTTCGATGCTAATTTTAGAATTTAATTTTTCATTTATAATTCATTTATTTGATGATGCTGCTGCTGCTGTGTGTGTGTGTGTGTGTGTGTAGTGCACACTCTTTCATTTCCTCGCCCGCCACATACATTTCAATAGGTTTTTATCCAGGTTATTCCTTTTTTTTCAATATTACTAGATATAATACAAACTCTTTGGAGTTAGAATTGAACTTTGTTCCGAACATTGGTCTCTTTCATTCAGTGTTTGCTCAATGATGATTTTCGGATATAAAAACAAATGTTTCATTTGGATAGTTTGTCCATTAGTTTTTTGCTGTTTGCTGTTCATATTGATGAAAAAATGTTTCATTTCTTAACTTTTCAATTATGTTTATCAACAATAATATTTTCCATTACAACTTTATCATCATCATTAGCTAATGGTAAACAAGTGGATGTAACCGAAGAGGCAATATTTGATCTATCGATTGGTGGTAAACCTGTTGGCACTATTGTCATCGGATTATTTGGTCGTGATGTGCCGAAAACGGTGGTAAATTTTGCACGTTTATCAAGTGCACAAGGTTTCCAAGGAAAAACTTATCGTAATTCACGTTTTCATCGTATAATACCAAATTTTATGATACAAGGTGGTGATATTATTCGTGGTGATGGCCGTGGTTCATTCTCCATTTATGGTGGTCGATTTGCTGATGAAAATTTTAATATTAAACATACCGAAGCCGGTTTATTATCGATGGCAAATTCTGGCCCAGATACGAATGGATCACAATTCTTCATTACATTAGTACCAACACCATGGTTAGATGGTAAACATGTTGTATTTGGCAAAGTTGTTTCCGGTATGGAAGTTGTTAATCAAATTGCCGCTGTACAACGTGATGCTAATGATCGTCCATTAGAAGATGTTATTATAACTAGATCGGTAACACGGCCAGTTAATGCACGATTAATTATACCGAGTCAATAATTGTATTGTCAATAAATAATAATTATAATTTCATTATATCGATTGATTGATTGATTCTGTGTGTGTGTATATATAAAATGAAAATGATGAATCGTTCATTTTGCCATTTTTGTTTAAGAAAAAAAAGAATTAAATTTCAACAATTTTCATTTTCAATTTTGATAAAAAAATAAATTGAATTATTATTAAATTTCATTTTTAATTTCAAATTCAATATTGACCCGTAGGTTTCTTTTTTTTTTTTTGTATTCTTCCATTTCATTTTCCCATGATGATGGTGATGATGATGATGATGACGAATAGACATGATTGTAGAATTGTGTGGAAATTTGAAATAGAATTCAGATACCCAATTAAAAATAATTGGGTAAGCAGACTTTTGACCAATAATAGCTATTGCTAACTGCTGCCACTGTTGTTGATTGTGTAATCATTCAAAAAAAATCACAATATTGTCATCATTCCATCATTATGTTAATGATTTGGGGTAGAGATATAGACAGATTTTTATTTTCCATAGAATTTTGTGAAAAAAAAATTCTCAAATGATCATCAAAATTTCTAGCTATTCTAGGCATCATTATGGAATGGAAACACTGTTATTTTTTCTCCATTATCATCAATTGTACACATCACTTTGTAAATCCTCATAATCATCATCAATTTGAAAAATAGAATTTCAACAAAAAAAAAATTCATGTTTAACAGTCACATATGTTTTTTTTTCGTCTATTTTCACACACAATATAAATGTGAATTTTTGCATTTGTTGTTAAACATTATCATCATCACTGTGTTTGAAACAAAATTTTTTTTTTTGTATGAAAAATCAGAAAATTCCTTCAAGAGTGATATAGAGAGAGAAGAAACTTATAGAAAAAAAAATCTTTAATCATCATCATCATCATCAGATTTATTTTCGTATGTGCGTGCGTGTAAAATTCTATTGAATTTTTTTTTGTTTTTCTTTTTCACATGACAAATAAACGGTGATAAAAATGAACCTGAAAAGGGAAAATTTTTCAACATTGTCTGATGATGATGGACAAGTGGATAAGATCACACATCGTCAAATAATAAAACAATGTGAAAGAGTGTGATAGAAAGAGAAAAAATTAAACAAAAGACCAAATTTGGATCACCATCATCATCATCATAAAACGACGCATCAAATACACACATTATATGCAGCGAAAATCGACAGAAAAAAAAACGAAATTTTCTCGTTATCGATTACCACACTGCAATATATATGCCAATATATCGAAAAAAAAAACAAATTGTAAACATGAAAATAAAAACCAATATAATCTGACCAAAAACTGAACCAAACCAAATTATACTGACCATATCCATCAAAATTATCATATATGATGAAATGACAATTTCAAATTCATTGTTTGATGACCAACACATACACAAGATAAATAATAAGATTATACATACGTGACCATCATCTTGTTGAAATTTAGAAATTTTTTTTTCAAGTTTGTTTGTTTGTTTATTTGTTTGATCCTAAAGAATCGATTATTTATTATTGTAAATCAAAGAGAAAGAAAAAAAAACCAAACAAAACAAATAAATGTTAATAATAAGCAATTGTTTTGAATCCAGATATAGATGATGATTTGATTGAACATTTTATAGAATTATTCAAGAAAAAAAAACCATTCATAGTGGTGATGAAAAAAAAAAAAAATTTTTTATTTCTTTCTATCGATCAACCAACCAAAAAAATTTTTTTTTTCTTTCAACAAAAATACATCATCACATCATCATTACATATTATTGTTTGTTGTTGTACATTCGATAGGATTTTATCTTCTATGATGTGTACGCCGTACAGTGTGGGTGTATGGTCATCATCATTCAACAACAACAACAACAACAACAATACATGTTGAAGAAATCGATCAAAAAAAAAAAATTTTTTTAAATTTCTGGCTCGTTATATTCAAATTCGATCAATCGGTTAATCAGTCAGTCAGTCAATGGATGTTCATTGTTTGCGTGTATTCATTTCAATTTTATTAACTTGAATCAAATAAAAAATGTGCATTTACAATGAATTTAATTTTTTATTTTTGTTTTGTTTTGTGAAAAAAAATTAAATTCAAATTCGAATCTTTACCTCAAAATTATGACCAAAAAATCATCTTCTTTATCATCAATGATCGAAGATCGTATTCATTCATTCGTTAACTATCACATCATCAATCATCATCATCAAATGCTTACCTCACATTGAATTGATTATATTGAAGGGAAATTTTTTTTTTTTCGTTTTTGTTTTTTCTCATCGAGGATAATAATTCAAAATGGAATTTTTTTTCTTCTCAAATTTCAATTATGAAAATTATTATTATTATTATTATTTACTGGAATTCTACCTGATAATTCAATTTTGACCATAAATATTTTCAAAAAAGTTTTTTTTTTAAACAAAATCAAGGAAACTTTTTGTTGTTGTTGTTATTGATCACATGTTTGTTCATTGATGACGTAATTTGGATATAATAAAAAAAACATTCGAATTCATATTCCTAATAATTGATAAATCAATTGATTAATTGATGATGTCAATAATCAATTGCACAAACTCACACACACACACACACACACTCAATTGTTTGATTCTGTTTATTTTTTTTTTCATTCACACACACACCCACAATAAAAAAAAATTACAAAACAATTAAATGATGATTTCCTCATTTCATTGTGGTTTTTTTTTTACTATATATATATATAAAATTAAAATTTTTGCAAAAAAAAAATCAATCGATTCGTCAATAAATCAAGTTTCGAGTGTGTGTGAATAAGTGAAAAAATTAATAATTGATGAATTGAAAATTTCCGGCAAAACAGACAAAAAAAAAACGTTGTTCGTTTTTCTATACCTTTTCTAACCTAACCTAACCAATACATCCATCGGCTCTGTGTGTGTGTGTGTGTTTTATTATTTAAATTAAAATAACACAACATTTTGGCTGCACACATACACATTTGAATGTCACTTGAACAGTTGTAACCAGTTGTAATATGAATGTTCAATTTCAATCTCCACATCATCATTATCATCATCATTGACTTTGAATGTGTTGATTTTTTGTTTTATTTTTTTATTTTTTATTTTATTTTTGTTTGTTTACAAAAACAACGACGACGACTTTGAACTTGAAAATTTTATTTTATTTTTGTTTAACAACTTTTCCAATTCAATACTTATCGTTGTTCGAATTTTTGATTTTATTGATCATCATCATCATTTTTTTCAGAGAAAAAACTGATGGTTAAATATTTGAAAAATTCAAAAACCCAAAAAAAAAATTGAAATTGAAAAAATCGATCGATTAATCGAAATTCATCATCAATATCAACGATTGTAATTGAAAAAAAAAATTTAAAATGGAATCACCAATACCGATCATCACTACTACCATTACTAACAGTTCTGATACGAATGAAATATTCCATTCATGGACGGAAATGATTCTAACATTATTCTTCGATAATCATCCAATTGATGTACAAAAATTAGTAAGTATATTCATGAATGACTAGAGAAAACCAATCCCAAAAACAACCGTTGCTAAAAAATCCATTCCATTTTATCCAAATCGATAAATTCAATATTCAATCACCAATAAACAGCCAATCATTCAAAATCTTTCCATAATAGCAGTTAAGAATTTTGGCTTTTTCTTTTGTTCCATTTTGCTGTTTCATAAGCTTCTTTTTTTTTCTTTATCTTGCTGCCAAGTTAAAAAATATTCCCTACTATTAATACAATATACGAAAAAAAACAAACAAACAAAAAGCATAGATTCACATTTTAATCAGATTCTTTGGAATTGAATTTCATTTGTTTCTTTAGTTTAGGTTAGTTAAATTCAATTGTTGGTGAAATCATCACATTCATGACTATTGCAAATGTTATTTTATTTTTATTTTTTTTTTTTTTTTTTTTGGTGTAATATTTCCATTTTTTTCGTAGTTACTGTTGTTGTTTAAACTTTATTTCTAATCATAAGAAGATTTTTTCTGGCTTATTTGTCTCGATTCAATTTGTCTCTCTTTTGTCATCATCGATTTTTACTTTCTCTTTCTGTCAGTGTTTCATTTCCATTCCGGTTGATATCTGATTTTTCTTTTTTTTTTCCTGAACAGAATAAAAAACAGAAGATAGAATTAAGTTAGGGCATTATCTTCTATACATCAAAATAATAATAAGCTGTAATAATAATTTTTTCTCAAAGCTAATTCTGAGGTTTAATATATACCTTATTGTTTTGTTTGTTTATTTGTTTCAAACATCTTCATCATGGTGATGGGATCGATTTTTTTCCCTTTTTTCCCGAGAATATTTCTCCGATTTGATTCCAATTCATTCATTCATTCATTGTTTTTTTTTCTCGTGAATATTTTGTGTTTATCTTCATTATTGGATTTTCCGTTTTATTTTATTTTTCTCTCTATTTTTGTATTTGTGTGTTTGTGTGTATGTGCGCATTTAGGCAAAATTTTTTCGAGATAATTGGCAAATAACCCTTTATTATTCAACATTATATATTATATTGGTTATGGCCGGAACCAGATGGATGTTCAATCGACAACCATATAATCTACGTTTATTATTAGCCATATGGAGTGGAACATTATCAATATTTTCCATATTAGGCACAATAAATACATGGCCAGAATTTATTCATTTATTTTGGACAAAAGGATTCGTATCAACATATTGTGATAATTCCTATATCAATGATAATCGTTTAGTATTCTGGTATACAATATTTTCTGTATCAAAAATATTCGAATTATTCGATACGGCATTCATTGTGTTACGTAAACAAAAATTAATTACATTACATTGGATACATCATATACTTACATTGGTTTATACGTTCTATATATTTGGTTTTACTGCCGCTACCGCTCGTTGGATGGTATGTTTTTTTTTTTTTTTGTTTTGTTTTTTATTTCAAATTAACAATTTTTTTTCTTTTTTTTAAAAAAATACAGGTAACAATGAATCTAGTTGTTCATTCTATTATGTATGGTTATTATGCATTACGTGCATTAAAAATATCGATACCAAGACAGATTGCAATGGCAATAACAAGTGCACAGATCATACAGATGATATTCGGTTTAATCATACATAGCCATATAACATGGTTGAAATTTTCTCCAATTAATCATCAACAATGTGATTGTCCACGTGACGGTACCATTTATGGTTTACTTATGTATTTATTATATTTTTATTTTTTCGTTAAATTTTTTATCGATTCATATGGTTTTATGAAAACAAAATCTAAGAATATGACGAAAACAATGAAAAAATCAAACGAAATCCATAATAATGATAAATATGATAATTTGATATCCAATAATATTTATAACAAGAATGGATATATCGGCAATTTTAAACCATTGATGGATGATAATAATAATGACAACAACAACAACAACAACAACAACAACAATAATAATAATAATAATGACGATGACGAAAGAAAAATGAAAAAATCTCAATAAGAAAAAATCAATCAATCAATTCAGTTGTTAATTTTTTATTTTTTATTAATAAATTATTTAAAATTTTAAAATTACAAAATAAAAATAAGATTGTGGTGACGTTACGTACGTCAAGATTATTTTATTTTTTATTTTATTATTATTATTCAAAAGGCTTTATTCAATGGATGGGCGTGTTTGAGTGAGTGGATGTGAAAAACAAACAAACAAAACGGTGCAAAATATAGTATTGTGTGTGTGTGTGTGTGTGTGGACGGATGTGAACACATTTCCATTTATTTCATTTTAACCGGAAGAATGAATTGAAATGTGATTAGATTTTTTTATCCGGCAATATTACTTCGGTGAAATCAGCATTTTCATCATTCAATGAATAATTTGTTTGTTTTGTTGTTGTTGTTGCTGCTGCTGTTTGATGATGATGTCGTTGTTGTTGTATGAATAATTGTAGGTAATTGTACCATACATTTAATCGGTTCATAATCATCATCATTAGTATTGGGTAATTCTGTTTTTCTTAAATTACTATCGATTCTAGTGTTTGGATCATGATTATGATGATGATGATGACGATGATGATGATGAGAATGCTTATGATGATGATGCTGATGTTCGTGATGAGGTTGTTGTTGATTATTTAGAGATGGACATCTTGATGAATTCGATATGGTTGATATATGATCATCATCATCTTCATCATTACCAATAGTATAAATCTCTAATCTTGCACCACCCATTTTTGGTGGTGCAACCATATATGATCGTACACGTGGATTATCTTTTAATGATTGCTGTTGTTGTCGCTGATATCGTCTTTGTTGTTGTTGATCATATAACGAATTAAAATGATAATTTGGATTAGACATTTGTTGATGTTGTAGATTATTTGGACCAATATATTGCCATATACCATCACCACGATTTACTGCACTCCAATAACCATAAGAAAATAATGCAATAGCAAAAAATGTAAATGTTAATGCAACATACATCATTTCATTATGACGGCCACGAATAGCGATGAACATGACTATTAAAATTAGCAATAAAAATATGAGACCCAATAATTTACGCACAGATTTTGTTTGTTCTGTACGAGATTTTGTTCTTGTTGTTATTCGTGATAAACGTGATCGATGATTATGATGACGATTATGATGACGATGATGATGATTATAATTGGCTGTTGTATTCGAAAAAATTTCACAGGTAGGAACTATATCCGGTATCGTCATCGTCGTTGTCGTTTGTTGTTGTTCATTTTTTGATAATGATGAACCAACATCACCACCACCACCACCACAACCACCATCATCATCATCATCTTTATTATTATTATTATTATCACAACCAATGATTGAAATGGCAGTCATTTTATTTTTATTATTATTGTTCATGATTATTTATTTACTTGAGATATTTGTTTGTTTTTTTCGATTAGTTTAAGTATATTTGACCTGTTATCTTTTTCGTCTTCGTTTTCTTCGTGGATTATGATGATGATAATGATTATAGTATCCAATTTTTCTGTATAACATATCGAATAATTTCTTTTGATCTATCGTTTTTTACGCACTCCCCCACACACACACACAAATTCAATTTATGATGATGACACTTAAGAAAATCAAAAAACAAAAAAGATTCGAATTATTTGACAACAGAATATCATAAAAATTATTGAATTAATAATCTTTATTTAGATTTTTTATCATTTCTTAATTATAATGATTACTATACAAATTCAAAATGAAAAATGTGATTGAGAGAAAAAAAAACCATCACATACAACCATCAACAAAATACAAATGATTTTGGTTTGGTTATAAACGATTTGAATCGAATCATAAACAACAACAACAATACGACACAAATACCGTATATATAAATGATATATACCTATTTCCATGCGGATAGTAACCATTTTTCTTTCACGATATACACACAAATAACCCCACTATTCTCTTCTCCATATATATTACATAGATTTGATTCGAGCAAAACAACAACAACAACAAAAAAATTCTGAAAACCTGAATTTGTTTCCTCCTTTTCTTTTTCATTCATTCATTTTTGACGCAAACTCTGAAAATTTTTGAGTCATTCGATTCTATATCTGAATTTTTTTTTGTGTGTGTGTGTATTCTTTGGTTTCAAGTGTTTGTGCGTTGTTGTTGTTATTTTGTTGTATGGGAACCTAAAACCTGGTATAACAAATAATAATGAAGCAAAAAAAAAAGACATAAAAAGGACAATTTTCCCTGAAATGGATATCCATTTGACTACTAAATATTCGACGATAATGTGGACAACAACAACAACAACAAATAATGGATGATGAAAATAAAAAAAATGGCAATGAGAAATGGCTTCCCTCTTCACGATTGTTGTCGTTTTTTGATATAATACCGAATTTATTCTATAATAACAATGATGATTATGATGATGATATCCGGATAAAATCACAAAACGATGGAAGAAGGAATCGTGAGATGAAGTAATAATAAAGGTAACTAAAGTATTACTGTTATATTATTTTTTCTTACGGATAAAATAAACTTGAAAAACATTTATCTTACATGAATGATGAACAAATTTATAATGAAAATAATCGAATCAATGGTTTTTAGATGAAGTGAATGGTGTTTCTACCTATTGCATTTTATATTTCATTTAAAGAAAAAAAAGACGAAAAATTCCCAAAGGAAAATTCATTCCATTCATTCATTCGATGAAATTGTTCTTGGTGTATATATGTGTGTTAACATTATTATCATCTATATATGTAATAATAATAGTATCTATGGTGAAATGGAAATAATGAAAAAAAACGATGACGTTGAAGAAAAAAAAAACCAAATGCATGAAATGAATAAATGTTATTACATGGAACATTTATTATGGCTTATAACCACAACAACAATAACAACCGAAAACGACGACGACGACCACCACCACCATAGTAGATTATTATTCAAATGTCAATTATATACAACCGTTACATTACAATTACAAGTCAATGGCCATGAAACATACAATTGAACATACCACAGAATTGATTTTTTCGTAGCGGAAAATGATTGTTGTGGTTTTTACGGTTACCTTAGGAATTGTTCACACACATATGTGTGCGGTATACATACATTTAAACATTTTCGTACCCGTATCACCATTCATTATGTATATTTAAATATAAAAAAAAAACAGAATTTTTGTTGTTGTGCAGTATAACCACATCAAACACATGTGTTTCGAAAAAGACATCAATTTTGATCATCAACATTATCATGGAATGAAATTTGTTTTTGATTTCAGAATTTTATTTTCATATTTTTTTTTTTGCTTGGTTATGGTGCGTGTGGGGGGCCGAAAAATTTCTTCCAAATTTAACCGGATTTTGTTTTTCAATTCAAAAGAATTTTTTTCTATAATCTGAATTTTTTTTTTTGTTGCCTATCGATTGCAATGATAATTTATCATTTGCGTGCTGTGTGTATGTTTATGTGTATTTGTGTGTGTGTGTGTGTGTGTGTGTGTGTGTGTGTGTGTGTGTGTGTGTGTGTGTGTGTGTGTGTGTGTGTGTGTGTGTGTGTGTGTGTGAAAAATGGCTAATTTGTTTGATTGATCCGATCAAATTGAATTAATCGATTTTCAACTGAAATGAAATCATAATGATGATGATGGAAATTTTGGCCAATCAATCAAATTAAATTAAATTGAATTGTATATAATTTCATCTCGATTTCTCATGATGATGATTAGGGTTTGATGGTACAGTTTTCTTGTTCATTCCTCAACTTTCCATTCCATTGATTTTATTTTCTTTTGATAAAATTTTCATTTTTTTGCCGACAATCATTATCATATTTGGCCATAATATCTTCGATTTTATCGCATACTTGTTCATGTTTATCTATACTCAGTATTCGCTGTGATGCTTGTTTTAAACGTGAATTTAATTCATCATCATAGATTAGGCGATCAATCGATTCAATCAATTGTTCATCAGTAAAATCATATGGTGGTATCTTGATTGCCAATTTTTTCTCTGATAATCTTTGTGCATTATCATGTTGATCACAGAATAATGGCATAATGATCATTGGTTTACCTTGAGCAAATGTTTCTGTTACGCTATTATTACCACCATGTGTTATGACCAAATCAACTATGGGTAGGATTTTTGTTTGTGGCAAATAACGATCACCCCAAAGGTTACGCTTCAATTCATATTCTTCATGACGAGGCCCTTTAGATACAATGTATTTATGGTTAGTTTTTGATAATGCATCAATCAATCGATGCATCAGGTCTAGATCAACTGAACCCATTGAACCCATCGATACATAGATCCATTTACCAGTGAAATTTCCATCAAGATCATTATCATAGAATTCTTTGGGTAAAAATTCTTTCAGATCAACTGTTTCGCCCGAATCGTTTTTGTTGAACACTTCTAAATTAAACCAATCAGGATGATGTTCTTTAATTTCAGGATAATCATATTCTTCTGGATAAGCATAAATGGTCATCGCTTGAGTCAATGGCATAAGAAGATCGTCTTCATATCGTCGATAACCATGTTTTTCATTGAAATCATTGTTTTCTTTACTATAGATGAACCGATTGACTATTTCACGATATTTTGGCCACTCTTTTCGATTCGAATCAAATGATAATCCTATTCAAATCAAAAAACAATCGATAAATTTTGTTTCAAAGCTATAGTTTTTTTTCAAACAAACAGACCTGTCCATGCCGGCGGTAGATGATCAAAGTTATGTAAATAAATCAATGGCGCCACACTCATGATCTTAATCCAAGGTTTATCGGAACAATCAATGACCGGTTCAAGAGTTATATTATCAACAATAAATAGATCCGGTTTGAACAATTCGATCACTTCTTTTAGTCTTTCAAGATCTTCCAAACGTTTATCGTTCAATGAGTCATCAATTTCAGTCAGTTTTTCCAATTGTTTTATTATATCAGTATTACCGATGATACATTTGGCAACTAACCATTGTGCTGCGGATTCACCAGGATTTTTGATATTTTTAATGTCTTTTTTGTCAGCAAAAAATGATGGTTCATAATAATATTCTTCAAAACCAAGTTTTTTTATTTTTCCTTTATAGGTTTTTTCCACAAAAAAAGCGATTCGATGTCCACGCCGAATCATTGGTTTCGCAATACCAATACAGGCATTTACATGGCCAACACCATTAACAGGCACAAATAAAATTCGCTTTTCGATGATTTTCATGTTGTTTTGATTGTTTACAATATATAGTAAACGTTTGTTGATTGATTATTGATCATGCTACAATGTTGAAATTATAAATGATTTTTTGGACTTAAATAGAACTTTATTGATCACAAACGGCAAGATCAGTATTGTCATTATCGGCGGTAACGATAAGATAAAAAGCGTTTTGTATATTTTATGGATTGATAATATTAATAACACTTGTATGCACCTTGTAGATTTTTTTGTTCGATATATTACAATTCGAGAAAATGATTGTGAAAAATGTAAAAACTTTATTTATTATTAATAATTTTTGATTCAAATCAATTTGCCAAAATTTTATCAATCAAATCACAAGCAATTTCGTGTTTATCTATACTCAGTATTCGTTGTGATGCCCGTTTTAAACGTGCATTTAATTCATCATCATAAATGAGACGATCAATCGATTCGATCAATTGTTCATCAGTAAACTCATATGGTGGTATCTTGATTGCCAATTTTTTCTCTGATAATCTTTGTGCATTATCATGTTGATCACAGAATAATGGCATAATGATCATTGGTTTACCTTGAGCAAATGTTTCCGTTACACTATTATTACCACCATGTGTTATGACCAAATCAACTATGGGTAGGATTTTTGTTTGTGGCAAATAACGATCACCCCAAAGGTTACGTTTTAACTCATATTCTTCATGACGAGGCCCTTTAGATACAATGTATTTATGGTTAGTTTTGGTTAATACATCAATCAATCGATGCATCAGGTCTAGATCTACTGAACCCATTGAACCCATCGATACATAGATCCATTTACCAGTGAACTTTCCATCGAGATTGTTGTCATAAAATTCTTTGGGTAAAAATTCTTTCAGATCAACTGTTTCGCCCGAATCGTTTTTGTTGAACACTTCTAAATTGAACCAATCGGGATGATGTTCTTTAATTTCAGGATAATCATATTCTTCTGGATAAGCATAGATGGTCATCGCTTGAGTCAATGGCATTAAACAATCATCTTCATATCGTCGATAACCATATTTTTCATTGAAATCATTGAAATCTTTATTATAAACGAACTTGTTGATTATTTCACGATATTTTGGCCATTCTTTTTGGTCCGAATCAGATGATAATCCTATTCAAATGGAAAAAATTTAATGAATTTCTAAAAAAACAAACTAACCTGTCCATGCCGGTGGTAGGTGATCAAAGTTCTGTAAATAAATCAATGGCACTACACTCATGATCTTAATCCACGGTTTATCGGAACAATCAATGACCGGTTCAAGAGTCATATTATCAATCATAAATAGATCCGGTTTAAACGATTCGATCACTTCTTTTAGTCTTTCAAGATCTTCCAAACGTTTTTCAATGATGTGATCATCGGGTTTTTCTGCCAACTTCTCCAATTGCTTCATAACATCTTGTTTACCGATGATCTTTTTGACTACTAACCATTTTGCTGCTGATTCACCCGGATTTTTACAATTTTCCGTTTCTTTTTTGTCGATAAAAAAATATGGTTCATAATAATATTCTTCAAAACCAAGTTTTTTCATTTTTCCTTCATAGGTTTTTTCCACGAAAAAAGCGATTCTATGTCCACGCCGAATCAGTGATTTCGCAATACCAATACAGGCATTTACATGGCCAACACCATTAACAGGCACAAATAAGATCCGTTTTTCGATGATTTTCATGTTGTTTTCAATATTTAATAAACGTTTTTTGATTGATTATTGGTTGTCTCACGATGTTAAATCTCTAAGCATTTTTCCTACTTAAATATCGACTTTGGTCATTATCAAATTAATCAATTACAAGTTCATCTTTTTAATTGACGCTAATGATAAGATAAGACGCGTTTTGTATATTTTACAGTCTTGATTTGATTACAAACATTTACAGAAACCTTGTAGTGTTTTTTGCTCCATTTTTATGATATATATCAGAAATAAATCAATGATAGATGTTCTCACTCAAATTCACCAATAATAATTATCGTACTTTATTATTCTTTTTAGATTCGTTTATATAGTAATTTCAGAATTACAATTTGTTTTGTTTTATCAATCGAATGTTCAAAGTTTTCGGATGTTCTTCGCATCCTTTGATGTCGGTTATGATTGTTTTGTCTATTTCGTAATAGACAAAACAATTCCCTAAAATGTATCTTTTGTTTGTGTTTTACATTTATTAGAATTTTCTCATAACAATATTAGTTTTACTTTTTTGAATGTTTATCGATGTTTGTCGCATCCTTTGATGCTCGATCATTTCGACTTCGATCGTGGGATTGTTATGATTTTATTAAAACCATAACAATTCCCTGACATATATTATAATTATAATTATCAACACTTTATTAATTAAAATAGTAATTTCATATGAGAACAAAGAAATTTATTAATTTTGCAGAATTTTCTCAATCAAATCACAAGCAATTTCATGTTTATCTATACTCAGTATTCGCTGTGATGCTCGTTTTAAACGTGAATTTAATGCATCATCATAAATGAGACGATCAATCGATTCGATCAATTGTTCATCAGTAAAATTATATGGTTGTATTTTGATTGCCAATTTTTTCTCTGATAATCTTTGTGCATTATCAAGTTGATCACAGAATAATGGCATAATGATCATTGGTTTACCTTGAGCAAATGTTTCCGTTACACTATTATTACCACCATGTGTTATGACCAAATCAACTATGGGTAGAATTTTTGTTTGTGGCAAATAACGATCACCCCAAAGGTTACGTTTCAATTCATATTCTTCATGACGAGGCCCTTTAGATACAATGTATTTATGGTTAGTTTTGGATAATACTTCAATCAATCGATGCATCAGGTCTAGATCTGCTGAACCCATTGAACCCATCGATACATAGATCCATTTACCAGTGAAATTTCCATCGAGATTGTTGTCATAAAATTCTTTGGGTAAAAATTCTTTCAAATCAATCTGTTCTTGTTGTTCATTTTTATTAAAAACGTCTAGATTGAACCAATTTTCACGATATTTTTTTATTTCAGGATAATCATATTCTTCCGGAAAAGCATACAATGTTAATGATTGTGTTTCTGGTATCATAACATTATCTGGATATCGTTTATAGCCAATATTTTCGTTAATATCATTAAATGTTTCATTATAATGAAACTTTTTCGTATATTTTCGTATATCATCCCATTCGGAATATTCCGCATCGGTAAAACCTGACCATGCTGGTGGTAATTCATGAATATCATGTAGATGTAATAGTGGAACAACACTGATCACACGAATCCATGGTTTAGTCGAATAATAAATAGCCGGTTCCAACATTATATTATCAACGATAAAAAGATCGGGTTGAAATTTTTCAATAACCGTTCGTAATTGTTCATCTTCATATTTTCGTTTATCTTCGGACATCATTTTTTTCTCATCAATTTTAGCTAATTGTATACGTGGATCATTAGTGCCCAACATACCGATTTTAAGTAATTTTTTTGCCATCTGTTCACCAGGATTCTTAAATTCTTCAACATTTTCTCCTGGTTCTTTGAATGGTTCGAATAGAAATTCTTCAAATCCATAAGATTTCAATTTACCACTATATGGTGTTTCAACGAAAAATGCAACACGATGTCCACGTCGTAGTAATGGTAATGCAACACCGGTACATGCATTCACGTGACCAACAGCGTTGATTGGTGTGACCAATATTCGTTTTGTTTGATTCTTCATTATTATCACAATCGTTTAAAAAAAAATTTAAAAATCAACATAACTTAATAACGATTACAAATAGACTTTATATCCATTATTAATATAAATTCATCGGAAAGGATAATTATTTATCATAACTATAAATATCATGTGATTGACATGCTTTTAGCAATGATAAAGCAAGACATTATTGTGTGTGTGCGTTTATGCAGATATTTTCCGATTTGAAACAGATAGAGAAAACTTTATTGACAGACAAAATCGAATGGAGTCGAAACAACAAGGGAATTTTTTTTGACGTTGTAAAGACAAACAACCAGTGAAAACCGGAGAGATGATTTGACGTGAAAATCGATCATCATTGATCTGTCGTGGAGAAAAACCAAAGTGCGAGGAACCATATTCAACATATCATCGATAATAAATATCTTCCTTTGAATTATTTCTTGTAATCTTTATGCATAAAACCATCTCAAAAAACTACACAATAAAGATTATTTGACACACAGATAATGAAAACCAGAAATAACCAATTGTAGATAATTGTTTGTACTTGAGATTTGTACTTCTTGGAGATTGAAAATTAAAATTTAATACGAAATTATTTCTGCACTAACCCTAATTTAATTTTTGAAAAATTATAGTCAATTTCTTCGACAAAAATGATCATTATTTTTATCAAGTGCAATTTATTTCATCAGAAAAATCATCAACAACAATCATATCGTTCATGAAAATAAGATGATAAAAAAAGACATTTTGCGTATGTGTGAGTATGTGAACTTAAACTTTTTTGGGACATTTTTTTTGTCATCATCAACTTTTCGATAAAATTTCCTCAATTTTATCACATAACTGTTCATGCCTAGGCGAATTTTGTATACGATTTGATGCACTCAAAAGACGGCGTTTCAATTGTTCATCATTGAGAATTTGATCGATTGCTTTGATTAATTGTTCATCATTAAAATCATATGGATCGATTTTAATGGCCAACTTTTTTTCCGATAATCGTTGTGCATTATCATGTTGATCAACAAACATTGGCATTACGATCATTGGTTTACCGTAGGCAAATGTTTCCGTTACTGTATTATTACCACCATGTGTAATTACCAAATCAACTACGGTTAAGATTTTCATTTGTGGCAGATAACGATCACCCCAAAGGTTACGTTTCAATTCATATTCTTCATGACGTGGCCCTTTAGATACAATGTATTTATGGTTAGTTTTTGATAATGCATCAATCAATCGATGCATCAGGTCTAGATCTACTGAACCCATTGAACCCATCGATACATAGATCCATTTACCAGTAAAATATCCATCCAGATCATCATCATAGAATTCTTTTGGTACCAATTCTTTAATATCAATGTTATCATGTTTTTTAATTTTGTTAAATACTTCAATGTTAAACCAATCAGGATGGCATTGTTTGATCTCAGGATAATCATATTCTTCGGGAAATGAATAAATTGTAAGTGATTCAGTTTTTGGCATTAAAAAATCATTCGGATATCGTTTATAACCCATTTTTTCGATAAGATCATTCAATTTTTTATCATAAAAAATATGATTTAGAACTTCTCGATATTTAGGCCATTGTTTTCGATCAGAATCAGTGGATAACCCTAGAAAGTGATAACAATTGATTTTTTATAGTAGAAACTTATAACTTCAATTGGTTCATCATACCTGACCATGCTGGTGGCAAGCTCTCAATATCATTTAGATACAATAATGGGACAATGCTAATCACATTAATCCAAGGTTTACCCGAATAAAAAATAGCCGGTTGAAGTTTATGATTATCGACGATAAACAAATCTGGTTTGAATGTTTGTATAGCATTGCGTAGATGACGATCAATCTGAATTCTTTTACTATCCGAATCCCACGGTATATCGGCTAGTCTTTCAATCTGTGATAATCGATTTTTATTGCCAAGTACGCCTTTTGTCAGAAGAAAATGAGCCGTTTGTTCACCAGGTGTTTTATTGTTCGTTCCAGCCGTATCATCGGGTTCATAATCAATTTCGTAGACAATTTCTTCGAATCCAAGTTCCGAAATTTTACCGGCAAATTGTTTTTCCAGAAAAAATACAACACGATGACCACGTTTTAATAATGGTAAAGAAACGCCGGCACAAGCATTTACATGACCAACGCCCAATACCGGCACGGCAAGAATTCGTTTCGATGAAATCGACATATTTTTTGATTAAAGTTTAAAACCTTAAAAAAAACAACGATGCAAAATAGAAAAAGTCTCTTTTTATTATGAATTAAATCAAATTCATAAAAGTCTTTTATAGATAATAATTAAACTACAAAGTATGAAAGAAAGCATTCTGAATGAATAACAAATTAAAAAAAATAAGAAACAAATCTTTATCAACAAATTGTCAAACAGTTTTTTATGTAAATGTGTATGTACAGTCAGTTAGCCTGTCAAGGAGATCACATGAGATTAGGTTTTTTGGATATCGTAATCGTAATATTGATATATTTTGATTATGGCAATAACGACGACGATGATGATGACGATGACTAGTTTGGAAAATAACATTGAATAGAAACAAAACAAAAAAAAAAATATTTGATATAATAATCAAGCTTCATTAATTTTTTCATTCGTAATTAAATGTGAATTTCTATCATTATCATCATTATCATTTTCATTATTCATTGAAACTTTTATTTCATCAGAATAATATTTAGGAAATGGACAATCAAGTGCTTCTTGATATGTTGGTGGTAAATCATTCGGTCTTGATGTAGATGTAATCAATTCTCTATTATTATTACGATTTGTAATGGCTAATTGATGAAGACGACGTTCCTGATCTGAATAGATTGTATCGGTTGATGATGAAGATGTTGTCATTGTAGTTGGTATCGGTGTTGTTGTTGTGGGAAATAATGTTTCATAATATTTGATTAGATAATCCAATTGAATTAGATATATTAATGAAACAATTATAATAATAATTGGTATGATTAACTGGAAAATATTCCACCATATTATGATCGGATCAAACAGTATTAGATATAATTTGATTACTATTAAAAGAGAAAAATGAATAATTAATTAATTTTTCAAACAAAATCAATTAATATCAAACATACCAATCATAAAAATCATCGATATTGTTGTTGTCGAGGATAGTGTATAATTTTCATTATAAACACTATATAATGACATTAGATAAAGAAATAATGTTGCACAATCGATTATATTCGATTGTTGAACAATTTGTCGTTGTAATGCTATTTCCCATTTAGGTTCGGATTGTTGTTTTTGTTGCTGTTGCTGTTGCTTCTGATTCTGTTGAGTTTTATTTTTTGCATTATCATTATTATGATTATTATCTATTGTTATATTATTTCGAAGATTCGATGATTTTTCATCATTATTTTGATTATTTTTATAAAAATTTTGATATTGTTGTATATATTGTCGATGATGATCTTTGATTGTTAATAATTTTGGATTATTTATAAAATTATGATGTCGACGATGATGGTGATTAGAATTGTCACCAATCCAGGTTGTTAGCCGTATTAATGTCAAAATGATGGCCATCATTAATAATATTGAATAAAATTGTTTAATACGTTCAAATAATATACATCGTTGTTGTTGTGATGATGTTATGTTCATTGTTGTTGATTGTCGATGAATAATAATCGATTGATTCGATGATGATCGTCTTCGTGATATATTTGATGATGAATGTTGTATTGTTGATGATGATGTACCAGATAAACATTGAAAATTCAAATTAACACCAGCCGAATTATGGTGTCGTTGTTCTTCTTCCGGCGAACAATTTTCTATATCAAAAATCATTTTTCAATCATATGAGAGAGAAAGAGAGATTTCAAAAAAAAATCTTTAGAATTGAAAACAATTAAAAATATCTATAAATATCCATATGCAACTTGTTTGTTTGTTTTTTTTGGTTCAATATGTTACTTTTTGGCTTTAGTATTTGTTTTTGACGAATGAAACAAAAATTTTCAAACATCGAATCTATTTATTTATTTAAAGGAAAAAAATGAAAAAATATATATACACTTGTATTACATGTTCACCATTACATTTATATACATGCATATAACAGATTATCTTTTCATCGGAATCAAACAAGTTTGTTTTTATGGCAAATCCATTTAGATTTCGTCATATATCAAAAATAATATCGATATATCGATATTAACAACAATAAAATTTCGTCATTTTCATTACTATATATTATGAATAAATTTTGTAATGCTGACGTCATTAAATTTAAAGGAATGAAGACGAAGAAAGGGTGAATTTATTTTTTTATATATTTTAAATTATAATTCATTAATATCGAACTTACATCAATCAATGTGATGATGATAATGTTGATGATGATGATGATGATGACAATGAAATGAAGAAAATCACCGCCCTACATATTATTACTACAAACGACGTTGAAAATTTATTTGATCATTTGATTCAATGAGGAAATTTTAATCAATGTGTGTTGATTATGTATGTATGTTGGAATAAAAAAAAAAACACACACACACACTCACACATATACAAGGTCATCCAAGATTTTTCAAAAAAAAAACTTGAACTTGAAAAATGAATGTACATGGCTTGAAGCAATATATTTTAGTGATTCGAATGAAGATGATGATCGATGAATGAATGAATATCACGTGTGTGTGTGTGTTTATTATATGGAATCTAATCAATTTATTTTTATCATCAATAATCAATTATTATTATTATTCGAATTTTATAAATTATAACCGATTCGAATGAATTCTTTATTTCATTTCATTATTATTATCACAATCGAAAATATAATAAGACTTTATTATTTCCAATAATATTTCTTGTTTGTGTATGAATCCAGATTTTCTGTTGAGTTCATTTTTTTTTGAGAAATGCGAAATATTCATTCCCATTGAATGTTTAATTGGTTCTATTTTAACAACAACAACAACAACAACAACATTGATGTAATTATTTGTCACTACTATTGATTCATGCATTCGAATACACGCAATACATTCGTTTTTTTTTATCATAAAATCCAATTGAACAAAAATATTTATCATCTTTAATGAACTTGGAAAAAAATAAACATGTTTATCAAATGGTATATTATGATCATTTCATTCATTCATTCATTCACATTCCTTTTTTTCTTTGAAAAAAAAAATTTATTGACAGAAAATTGTTGGCTATCTATTCGAGATATGATGATTAAAAAAAAACCACCATCATCAAATTTAGAAACGGTTTTTGTTTTCATATCTATAGAAAAGAAATCAGAAGAAAAAAAAATGCAAAGATGGCTATCAAGTTTGATTTCTAGGTAAAAAAAAAGAGTAGAAAAAAATCCAGCCGGAAGCAACAAAAAACAAGTTTTTTTTTACAATGAACAATTTTGAATCATCGTGTTCGTTTACAAATGCGACCAAGATCACGTATTCCATTCATTCATCATGCATGATCATTATCATATCCACACACACACACACACACCATATTTGAATTCGAATGTTGTTTATCGAACGATTGTTGTGTGACGATAATGACGTGGGTCCATTATTATTATCATTTTTTTCCAAGTTTTTTTTCTTCTTTAATCATCATCATGATCATGGAAATTTTGAAAATTGAATTTTTACCTCGAGGATAATAAAAAAAAATTTTTGGAAATAATAAAAAAAAACATGGATGTTATATTCATAATATAGAATCATTTTCAATGAAAAAAATTAAATTTTTTTTCATAAATTAATTCAGAATGAAGAACTAAAGAAATTTCCGATACTTTGATAAGCTTTAGGTAAATGTTGTCGTCATCGTCATCATCGTCATCAAATCATTGAAGGACAGTTTTTGGAGAAAACGATCGATATTTTTTTTTTTTTTTTTGAATTTATAATCGATTTGTTTTTCTCCCATTCACTCACTTACTCCGCATAATCAGATAATAATAATGTCAAGTAGTAGTGGATTTTTTTTTCTTTTGGTTGGTTACTTATTTCTCATTAAAAAAAAATCCAGACATTTTTTTAATTTTTTGTCAAATATTTGAAATGTGGAGTGGTGGGTTTGGGGAACAAATACACACAATCGATTGATTATTATACAATGAAATCGATTTATCACTCTTTTTATTTATTGAAATTTGATTTAATTGGCACACAACCCAATCCAAATTTTTTTTATTTATTGGATCCGTATGCTAAGCACAATGGAAAATTATCAGGAAAATTAAGGATTTTTTTCCTGGATTTCAATTAAGATAAATGTTATTGTATTGGCATTTTTTTGGAACATTTTCTTTTGTTTTATCATTATCTTAATTGAACAAATTGATAAAATAATCTCACTTTATTGCTTTTATGGATTTTGAATAAAAGCCAATGGATATCCGTTGATAACCATGATTATTTTAAATTTTTTTCTTCTCTCTTTTTTAATTTGTAAATCTGAAAAAAACAATTATTTGTTCGAACAAAATGGCAAATTCCATACGAATGATAATAGTAGGTTTGATTGGTTTATTTGTCTTGATTAATAACGGTATGTTACATTATATTGAATGCATAATGATTAATAATTTTGACTTTTCTTAATTCTCATATTCAAACATTTATAGTCAATATAGCCCAGGCCAGAAATCTTGTCATAATGGCTGCACCAACAACAAAGCCACCACCACATCCGACAACAAAACCACCATCACATCCGACAACAAAGCCACCACCACATCCGACAACAAAGCCACCACCACCAACAACCCAACCACCGACACAACCACCGACAACATTAATGAATCCTGCTGAACTTTTACGTCGATTAATAACCAGAGCTGATCAATTGATTAGTGAAACAAAAACAGCATTAGAACAATATCGTTTGGATCGAAATTATTTTGCCGGATCATTGGAAAAAGAATTAACATCATTGATAAAATATACTGAACATTTGAAAAAAGAATCTGATGATGTTGATAGTTCAAATCCATTTTTTCGTGAATTTGTTTATCATGCTGAAATGCAAGTTGGTAAAACAATGGGACGTATACATGAATTATTGTATCTAGGTGAAAAAGGTACCGATCCAGAATATGTACAATTATTACATCTAATGGATGCATTGAAAACACGTGCATATGCTGATATTGGATATCTATTCATGCATGGTAAAAGTGATCAAGCACAAAGTATTAAGGATGAAATATTACAGATTGAACAATTGGAACGTGAATTAAAATCAACCGATTTTAAGCTATCCCCACAGATTTCTGAACAAATTGTTGAAAAAATTTTAGAACACGAACGTCGTCTTGAAGAGGAATTATATAAAATTGAAGAGGATAATCTTTGAATCCAGAAATCGACAACACAATCTCACAATTAAAATAAAATCAATTAGAAATAAATCCTTTTATTTTTATTGTTTATTTAATTTTCAATTAATTGTCAAATGACGAAAAAAATAAATCAACAATCACGATTTATATTAACAACATGATTAACTGATCAAAATAAATCACAAATTGGTTATCGATGATTAAATAAAATGTTTCATATAATTATGATTATTATAAAGATCTAAAAGCCATCGTTGTATTAGATGAAAACGTTGTTGTTGATGTTGTGAAAGTCTTATATAATAACGAAGCCATTGTTTTGTCAATAATTCCATTTGATTATTATTCATTTGTCCACCATTACCATCATCATTATTATTATCATTTGGATTAATTAAATTATTAATTGCCGTATCAATTATTGGCGATGTTGGTTCACTGCTACCATCATAATCATCATCATCATCACCGATTAAAAATATTGGTATTTCAGGATTATGATGATGATTATCAATTTCATTATTAAGTTCAATAATATTTTTTCGATTATTATTATTATTCGATTGTTGATGAATATTATGCTGTTCTTGTTGATGATGATGATATTCATTACTACATTGTACCGATATGACCATTGGTTTAGTATAATCAAGTAACTTATCAATCAATGACCATATATCTTGAAATGATTTATTTTTACGCCAACTACGTATACGTTGATGAGATGTACGTATCAATTCGTTTAGATCAGTTTGTAATCGTTGACGAATTGTATCAACATTTGCAATTTTTGCTTGTGATTGTTCATCATGATCTGTTGTAGTAGATGATGATGATGTTTGATGGTAATCAAATTCAGGAAAAAATGTTTCCATCATTGTACAGGCACCATGTAGTACTAATGATTGTAATAGAAATAAACATTGATTTGATGGTGGTTTTTGTGTACGAAATAGGCCAAAAAATCCACGATTTAATGAATCAGAAATGGATGAATTAAGTGATTGACATAATAATAATAATGTATGAATAGCTTGTGACACCTCTTCCTGATGTATATCCAATGAAAGTTGATTCGGATCCATAAATCCTGTCTTTCGGGTATGTGATAATGGTGATGATGTTGATGATTGAGGTGGTAATGATAATAGTGATGATGATGATGAATTTTGTGCAATCTTTGCCGTATACACTATTGGCATATCCATCAATGATCGACTAGTTGATAGTATAGAAGAATTACTTTTGGTCATCATAATATTGGTCGTCTTCAATGATGATAGATGATGTATAGAAATATTTAAACCATCACTAATTGAACTATGATCAAATGTAAGCAGATCAAATAATCTGCACCAAAAAAAACATTGTTTTGGTTCATCGAAAAATTTGCCATACAGCTGTTGGGAATGTTGCGGTTGAGTACCAAATTTGAAATGTTGTGCACATTGCATCATTATACTGTATACATAACGACGTGTACAAATATCTGGCACGGTTCGATGCTTTAATCGGCGATGAATATAAATCAATAATAAAAGACAGCTACGAGTTTTGATGGATTCAAGCATAAAATCTTCAATATGATTCCCACTTGTTGTGATTGTAATTGGATCGCTATTATTACCATCACAATTCGTTGATGATTGTTGTAATAAATTTGTCTGTGAATTATTCAAAGTATTTAGATGTTTATTCAGATGAACAATTTCAAGGTTATCAATCAGATATTGTAGATCACCAGCAAGATCAAAATAATTTTCCAATAAACATTCGAGTAGAAAGATTGCCGTTTTAATTGAATAGATAATCTTTCCAATTGCAAATATAATTTCGGCAAATAATTGACTTGAAGTCATATAAGAAAATAAGGTAACAAAATGTGTAGCCAATCGATCACGAATAAATGAATCTTGAATTTCATTCAATGATTGTAACAGCTCACAAAATATCGACACACGATCAGTCATATCAAATGAATCAATTGTCGGTCTTAATGATTCGATCGAATCTTTTAGGAATGAGCGCATAGAATCTGGATTTTTGGCAATATAATCAACATTTTGATTAGCCAGATATGATATAAACGATCCGATAGAATGAGCATAATATATAACTTTTGCTGCATTTTGTTGTTGTCGAATTGGATCCGTTTCTGATTCGGTAACGGTGTCAACATTATGAAGTTGTACCAATGCTTTCAACAATCGCATAATGATCAACAATTGATTATCGCTATCCGAATCTGTAGATTTCTGTTTGGTACTCAAATTTTTATCAACCATATCGATAGATACGCGTTTTTTCATCACTTCCAACAATGTTATGACAATTTTTTTGATTTTTTGACTTGGTAATAGCCAAAATGGAATGGTAGGAAAATCTACCTGTCCAATGTAAGGTTGATCGACTAACGATATGATTGTATAGGTAAGATTTTCCAAAATCTCAACAGCATTATCGATCGAAATATGTTGTGGTGAATTAAGTAACGCTTGATTCCATTGTATTCTGGATATGACAAATGAATTAAGCCGTTCCACGGAATAACGTTCCATTACAATTGATTCATACATAAGTTTTATATCGGTAATGGATGGATAGAATTGTGACCAATTTTTTAGTTGTAATAATTTTGATTCAAACATTTCAACATCGGTACGTTCGACTGATCGTGTTTCCAATATGAATGTCATAAATGGTTGCCATATACAGGAAAGTATCTGTGATTGGCCATCTGTTTTTTTCCAAATGAATACAAAAATAAAAAACAATTAAATTCAAACAATAGAAACCTAAAAATATTTACCATAAAATGAATCCAACATAAATTGAACGGAAATGATAAACAATTGCCAAGCAAAACAAAAATGCTCCCATTGTATGAATTTAGTATTATGGCGGGGAAAGATCCAGGATCGCCAATTTTCAAAAAATGGCAGCCATATTATAGAAATGTCGTCTGGCAATGTGGTAGCATTCGAATTGATCCAACAATATGATATGAATGTTAGAAATTGTAAGAATTTTACATTATAAATCTTGAAATGATCTAAAAATTCTGGCTGTTGTTGTTGCTGATGTTGTGGATTATGGAGATTATGTTTAAATTCCAACATTAATTTAAGTAGATTATAAAGTTCATGTGATGTGAATAATTTTTGTCGCATAACATACATACGTAGATCATCATCGAATGTTTGATAATCAAAATCAATGATCGACAATTCACGTTCACAATCATCAATATAACTACTATTTTCATTCAATTTTGGTCGTGTATATTTCGTTAACGATGAAAATGATGATAAACTTTTTGTATAAAAACCAAACGTATGTAGAATACTATTCCATAATGTCGGCGCTAATTGTTGTTCATTCATTCCTTGTAGCATATAGGCCAGAATATTTGTCATAAATATTGGAAAACGATATAATATCATATCCTGTAAATGTTTACGATAAAGATCATAGATAACAAGATAATCATCACTTGGATTTGGACCGAAAAATGTAAAACATTGAAATAAACATTCAAGAAGATCGAGACGTTGTTCATCCTTTAGATGTGATAATTGTAACCATGTAGCAACATCGAATTTACTTAATAATACGAAAATACTCTGCGGAGGTGATGTTAAATGCTGTTGTTGTTGTTGTTGTTGATGTTGTTGATTTAATCGTGATCCAATCAATTTATACATCTGTATAAACATTTTTGGCGATGTTTTCGATGGTGTTAAACATGGTGCTAATTGTTGTGTCAATGACATTGAAACACTTCGTTGTAATGCTGTATTTAGATAAAAATGATTAATTTCATCCACATAATTAGTGGATAATTTCTGTAACATATCTAGAAAAATGTCCAATAATTGTCCAGTTAAATGATATTTAATACCAATTAGATTGATTGAATTTATCCAACCGGACATTGTTTCGAATAGACGTTGAATTCGTTGTTGTTGGTTATTATTTTCCGATCGTTGAGGATATGAACCATCGATATAGAAACGTAGAAGATAATTGGCAATTTTTTGCATAAAATATATGGATGCAACTACTTTTTGTCCAGGTACATCTTCAATTAAGGATGTTATAATTGTATCCATTTCGGCGCGATTACGATCCAATTTTTGTTTAATATAATTATTCAATAATGATTCAATGAATTCAAATTTAATTGCAGCAGGTTTTGTACAACCACTTGGATCAAATTCTGATCGATCACAGCTAATTCTTTGTATAAGATCACGACTAACATCATGATATAATTTCGGTAGAATATCTTTACAGAATTCAACATTTAATGTATTAAATTTTTCCAATTGATTTTCAACAAAACGTGCTTCTTCAACAATATTATCGACAATCTGATGAATGATAACAAATACGATGGATATATCTTGTTCGGATTTTTGTCCATCAAAATCAACGGTAAATTGATTATTATCATCAAGTACATAGCCTAAATTATATCCAATATCACTGTCCAGGAATAGAATATTACAATTAAGTGATGCGGTAAGTTTGGTAAAATATTCAATAATTTGTCCAAAACGATCACTCTGATTATATTCAACAGATTGCCTAATAGATTGCCTCGATGCGGCGGTATCGATAAATTGAATTTCATTTGATGATGATTCTGGAAGTTTGAGTAATTTTCGATCAATATTATTATTATCATTGTCATCGCCATTATCATTATCATCAAAATCGTCATTGAAATGCTTCAATGATTCAAGAATTGGTTTCACTAATCGAATCCATGATTGTTCATGTAACAATATATACGATTGTAACGGTATTTTATGAACATAGTTGAGCATGAAAAATGTATTTAAATGATCAAATTCGGGCCAAAAATTTTCCTGAATGAAATGATAATTATGGCCAACGATGATTTGTCGGCCACATGAAACCGATACAACTGAATTGAGTAATTTTATCTGAATTTCTGGTTTAGCAAATTGTTCATCATCTAAATCGGCATATTGTAGAAAACGATTATCCTTGAGCCATATTCGATATGCACGGTATAATTTTACTAAACGATCTTCAAATAATAAAGCCGATATTGAATCACTTTGTTGTTGCTGTTGCAGTTCATTTTGAACTAATTCAGAATCAATAGAAATTGAGTCATTCGTTGGTCGTTCATTATTCAATCGAATCCATCGTTGATTATGATAATCGAATAACGAATTCAATCGATCATTCAATTGTTTTAATCTTGTCGTATCAATAAATCGATTACCAATCGTTGACAATGAATCAGTATAGAGAAAATAATTGGAGAAAAATTGTCGCCATAATAATGGTATCATTGGATGTGGATGACGATCAGATGATGATTGTGAATCTGCTGTTGGAATCAATTTCAATAGATAAACTGTAAGTAAATTTAACGGTAATAACTGACATGGAAGCGGTGCCTTTTCATATATCGTACATGCTTGTGTTAATTCTGTTTCAATCATCGTATAATCGATATGTGTTTCATTCGAGTTCCACTGTGTTTTCCGTAATTCAAAAACCAAATAATTCCATATATTAAACGTACGACGAATATCAATTTCGGTTAGCAAAAAAATCAGATACACTGGTTGTCGGATTCGAATTGATTGTTTTGAATTTAAACAATGTCGAAGTAATAGATGAAATGGTGTCATCCATGGTGATCGTATTAATGTTTTATCAGGTAGATATGCTGGTACATTTATTTCGTTTGAATACCAATACAATGATAGCCATGATGCTGGTGATGATGAAGATGATAATACACCAGAACCGGAATTACCGGCAGACGATAATCCAGAAACGGAATCCAATTGTGTTAGTTTCCAATTCATCATTCGACCATATAATTTTCGGCATAAATATTGTTGATATAATTTTAGACAATCACCATTTTCAAGAAGTAATTCCATCGATAATTGATCAAATATTATCGTAATTTTTCCAAGTATCATATCGATAACATTCAGTGTACTTGATGATGATTGTAAAAATTGTGGCATAAATGATGATAACCATGATGATGTTTTCATATTTAAGCAACGATTCATTGTTTCAAATAAACATTCAGTCCATGCTTGACATGTTTGTTGAGAATATTCTGTGCGGGAAAAATGTTTCCGTTGTAATAGAATTATGCTTGACAATTGTTCAGCTGTCATATCATTTTGTAGCAATGTTAAAATCGATAAAATGAATGAAGAATTCGCACGAAGTTCGCCATCATTTTCAAAACAAAATGGAAGAAAATGATAAAGTATATGAAGCATAGGAATTAGATGGCCACCACGAATTAATTGATCATTCAATTCAGTCATTCGTTTAAGATCGATCGATGAATGACCAGCATTGAATAATAAATCACTCATCATAGCTGCAATATAAATAGCATATGGATTATCCATTTCGATACCACGAGCAATCTGTATCATTTCAGAATCATAATTAAATTTCATCATATATTGCATTGTCCAATGTTTTCGTCTTGAAGATGAATATTTATTTTTATGTTCCGAACCATAAATAATATCATCCCAACATGATTCATCCGGTATTAGATCTAATGGATGAAGACGTAATGAAAGTAACATTGACCAACACCAACAACCATAATCGTTAGGATTATGGGATTGAGCTATATGTAAACGATGTTCTTCATTAGATAGATGTTCATTTTGAATTATAGGGTATTCGATCATAATCTTTGTTTTCGTGTCATTATTATTAGAATTGATAGCATCAGCACGATTAATAGATTTAAAATGTTGTTCCATTGCTTGATATAATTTCAATGCAAATTGTTGTTGCTGTTGTATCGGTATCATTAAACATTGATCATTTTGCACCAGTATACGATTCCAGCCAATTTTTGTCAATAAAATTCTTGCAAAACGATTATGAACATGATCATATGGACGTTCGGTGAGCCATTTATAAAGTAATGAAAATAATCGTATTTCAGGTTTCCAATCATTGATAACGATCGATGTGAATAGATCTAAACATGGTTGTATCAAAAGATTTGATTCATCATTGATTGATTGAAGAAATTGTAACAATACGAATAACATTGATTTATAACGTGTGAGCAATTTGATTAGACAAGCAACACCTTTCGTACTATAGAATTCTTGATTATTCAATATTAAATATTGATTGGGATTAATTTGTGACATTTGATTTTCAAAATCCAATGGATATGAATATAATTTACGTAATAGACAAATTTCAGCAAAACGTTCGATAATTTCACGAAGAAAATCATCAACATGTTGTATGTTATCGAATGATAAATCATTAAACATTGTTGTTGTTGATGATGATGATAATTCCATTAATGATTCAAATTTTGATCTTGATATTGCCATATTGTAGAAAAAATCTAACAGACCACTTGCCTCTTCCAATGATAGGATGGCTAATTTTTCAATGAAAACAAATTTCCAATGTACATGACTACGGAATTTATCTTTCCAATAATTCGAACTCATATATGGACAAAGACCACTAGCAATTTCATTCTGTTCATTACGGCCATTCTGATATACTACCCATAATATGTTCCAGAGCATTGGTTCGGAAATTCCTTCGAAATCAATTTTAGCCAATAATGGCCATACACCACGACGATTTGTTGAAAGTATTGCCGTAATGGATCGTAACATAAAATGATCAAATTCCACTTGTAATCGAATCAATAATGCTTGATCTTTGGTCGTAAATTTTTCCTTACACCATCGCCAATTATCCGATATAGTTTTGATAATCTGTTTGATCATCGATGCTAGATACAATGTTAATCGTTTAAAACGTAAACAATTAAAATTCTGCAAACCATGGCGAAATATTTGTATCAAACGAGTACTAAATGCAAACAAACGTATCATTGATGTTTCTGTTGATGAATTGATCGTATCATTATCTTCGTTGTTTTCAAAGTTTTGGCCATCATTATCATCAGTGATTAGCGACATGAAATGAAGCATTTCACGGAATGGAACTCGTGAAAGATAACAGATTATATCATTTTCAGTCAATTCTGCTATAGGAGATGGCGATTGATCTAGACAGAATTCTTCATCATCTAAATCATTATCTACCATTAGCCATAATGATTCTTTATTCGATTTATCTTGTTCTCCAGCATTGTTGTTTGAAGTAATCATTTTTGAATGATGTTCACTTTTACAGGATTTTATCGGTGATAATATCGTTGCAATAGTTACAACACCATAATCAACATATTGTTTAGCTAATTCAAATTGTTGTCCATTTGATTTTAATGGTAAAGGATCCAATGGTTCTAAGAGATTGGAAAATTCACTAGAAGAACCTGCAGGACATCTCAGTATCTGATTGAGTAGAAATAATCGATCAGAATATTTAGCTAATTTATTTAAAAATTTTCGACATAAATGCATTATTGCTTGATAACAATGTAGTTTGAGTTTTTCATTCGAATTGTTGTTGTCCGCCATTGTACGACGATAATAAGCGAATAAAGCGGCAAATAGATCCAAAAGTTGTTCATGAAGTAATCGTGTTGATGGTTCTAATTGATATATCTGTGTGACAACATCAATTTCGGTTTGATCAAAAATACTTGAACTACAATTCGTAGAAGTCTGATCATCAATAACAGTACCAATGGATAAATGTGAATCAAAATTCTGATTGATTGGCTGTTGATTTGAATAATTGTAATTCGTAATTTTTCGTTCTAAACGTTGAATAATGTCGTCCGCTTCATAGATGACTAATTCGAATCGTAATTGAAAATATTTATGAAAATATGAATGTACAACATGTTCATTAACAAGACGTTCACGTAATAGATAATGGTAACGATCTAATGTATTGTTAACATAATCCTGATCAAAATGATAACGTTGATAATCATGTTGTGCTTCAACTAATTGGCCATCACCACAACGATCACTTTGATGTAGATGATGTTCACTACGATTCCAACATTTTTCCTGTTCAGCTTGATTAATCTGTTCGATATACTCATCAATATTTTTTCTTATATCCTGAAATCGTTCAACAGATTTATCTAATCGTATGATTAGATCATAATAATCATTAGTGGCACTAGTGGAACGTGAAAAATAACGTTCCTGAAAATGTTGTATAAATTTTTCATTCGAATCCAATAATGGATTACGATAAAATTCTAATAGTTGTCGTTCATCAAAAGGTTTGATAATGCGAAGTTTTTCCAATTTTTGGCACGATGATGATGTTGTGGTTGTTATTTGTTGCGTACGATTCGTTCCAGATAATGACATAGATGACAACATTGAAGATGTCATAATCATTGATTGTGATGGAATCTGAGCCGAAGATAATGTTAAAGTAGATGATGATGGTTGTGACAATGACTGAGGTGGTGAATGAATATTTGGATACAATGATTTTGTTTGACCGTCAGAATCATCATTGGACATATGGATCGTATCCATTTCATCATTAGTGGATGTTGTTGAATGAAGATTTTCCGACATGATTTGATCATACAATAATCAAAAATCACCAACAACTATATTCTGTATGACATGAAAAGAAAATGGGAAAATTTTTAATAAAAAAAATATTAATTTCATTTATTATTTATTGAGCCCAATCGAATGGAATCAACATTGCTCATCAAAAAAACAACAACAATAACAGGACACATACGTTTTATCACAAATAAAGAAAAAAAATTTCTTGTTTTCACTTATATATTTGGTTTAGCGATTGCAATTGATAAACGGTAATTATCAACGATGAATCAATCGAAAGACATTGTTATTTTGATAAAAATATTTATTTATTGCTGATGATCTAAATTTAATAAATTTATCACCATTTGTAGCTATAGGTATGTGTGTTTGTGCGTTTATGCAAATTCAATCATATCAATTATCAATCGTTTTTTCGCAGTTGTTGATCAAGAAACAAAATCGAAATACAAAGACGCAATTTAACGATCATTTAAAAGTGATGATTATCATCATGCATAAATAGCATGAGAAAATAAAAAAAAATTTTTTTTTTTTTGTAAACAAATGCAAAAAAAAAATCCCTATACGTCCTATTAGAACGGTCATGAATTTTTTACTCTGGACTTTTAAAAATTTGGATGGGGGGTTTATGGAATAATTTTTCAAGAAAATTTTAAAATTTTTATTTCGATTTTTTTTGATTTCATGATTTTTTTTCATGTATACAATTGTACCAACATATCACAAACGGCAGCCGTTGTTAATGGACCAAGATCAGTCAATAATAATGTTATATAATTGGGTGGTGTATAATCAACACATGGATGACATTCATGTTTGGCACGATTCATACTGGTCAATGGTAATGTTCGAAATCTAATACGATCAGGTATATCCGATTGTGAGAGTGGATAAAGGCGAATAAATTTATAATTTTCAGCAAGTACATAAAATGTTTTATTATGTGCTTTAGCACATATGGCTATCTGATAGGTTCCAATCTGCGAATTAGATGGCCCAAAAAATTAATTAATTGATTAATCAAAAAAAAAAGATTCAATCGACAATACCTTGTTAATAATACCACCACTTTCTGTAACACCTTCAGCACCAACTAACACAAGATCTACACAGTCCATCATAGAACCAACGGCTGAATCCAAAATCAATGTTACCTGCTCGAAACCTTCTAATTTTAATTGGGCACAAAGTTCACGACCACGATTATCTGGTGCCGATTCGGTAACAAAAATTCTTAGGCATTTATTCTGATTTCGACATTCCAATAATGTTTCCAATACAGCTCTTGAAAATGAATGAACAAGTATGGTCGAATCATTGGTTATGAATTTTTGTGCAACTTTTGCCAATTGTTGACGACTTTTTGATACTTTATCCATATATAATTTACTTCGACGTGATAGTTCTTCTTTGAGTTCTTGAAAATCCTTTAATAGAAAACAGAAAATATATTGTTATATCAAAAACAAAAGAAAATAAAAACTCACATCAAATTTAGCAGCACTTAACGTAATGAAACGAAAATAAATTTCAGCTACCGATTCAACTTCAATTACTGGATCAATTTTTTTAAGTTGATCAATAGCATCGCGAAGATTACGAGATAATTCATTAGCCGTACGTGATGTATCCATACGAAGAAATTCCATCAATGTTTGCAACGTTAATATGGCCGATGATTTTTCATCATCATTTATAGATTTATAAAATTTTTCCAAATCAAAATCAGCCATTTTAATATAAAATAATAATAAAATTAATTGATTATTTTAAAAAAATTTAATTCGAATAAACAATCGAATCACAGACACGTTGCATCATCGATCAATCATCATGTGTCATGTCATTTATTGATGGTTTGAAATTTTTTTTTTCACGTGTTATTGTGTGTTTAACGTTCAAATATCGAATAAGAATGACATTTGATTAAAATCTTTTTTTTTGAAAAAAAAATTCAAAATGGTTGTTCCAAAAAGATATGTCATCCGTTTTGCTAATGAATTGAATAATTTCCGTTCGATGGTAAATAAAAGAAAATTGTATTAGAATTTTATGAATAATGAGTTTTTTCTAATAAATCCAAGGAATTCAATGCATTGGCTTCTTTGTATAAATTGAATTTTAAATTCATTGAACCAATATCGGAAAAGGTATTTATTATCATTTGTGATGATTCAATTGAAATCGATTTTGATTTTTTTTCTCATCAATCAAAAGCCATTCATGATCATTGAAACTAGTGATGAGGATACACTTCGTAAGGTATTCAATCGAATCATTTTAGCTACTAGTCTATTCGAATGTTGGATTTCATCAAACGATTTGAATCAATTTATTAACGAAATAAATAATTGCTTACAAATTAAAAATGATGAATATTATCAAAATTGCTCATTTCGAATACAAGTTGAAGCATTTGGTAGGAAAATTTCACAATCACAAAAAATTGAACGTATCGAACGGCTATCTGGTTTGTCATTGAAAGGACCAATTCGAATGACCAATCCCGATGTAACATTCTATTATATGGAATATTATGGACTCAATCCTAATATACAACCTGAACTGCCATATCAAATTTTATTTGGAAAATGGATCGCTAACAGTAATCGAAAATTGTTATCAACATTTTCATTGAAAAATAGAAAATTCATCGCCAACACATCGATGGATGCGACATTAGCATTTCTGATGGCTAATATTGCCCGTGTCAATGTGGATGATATTGTTTATGACCCATTTGTTGGTTCCGGTAGTTTACTTGTATCTGCTGCATATTATGGTGCCTATGTTTGCGGTACAGATATTGATTATCCATTATTACATGGAATGATAAAACCAACAAGAGTTGGTGCCAAAAAACGTGAGGACGATGAATCTGTACAAGGAAATCTAAAACAATATGGACTTGAATCTAGATATCTTAATGTTATTGCCGGTGATTCATCATTACAATTATTTCGAAATAATATCGAATTCGATGCAATCATAACTGATCCACCATATGGTATACGAGAATCACGTGAACGTATTGGTTCAAAAAAATCTGATCCAACCATACCAATTGAATATCTTGATCGACATCTACCAGCTAAATTACAATATAAACTTGATGATATATATCATGATTTATTGAATTTTTCTGCACAACATTTAAAACCTAATGGTATTGTTACATTTTGGGCACCATATTTTAAACGTTTCTATAATAATGAAACAACGAAACAATTTCAAACATTGTCACAGATAGATTCATTACCTAAATATGATCATCATAATGATCCGTCCTTACGTTTTCAACATCAACGTTTACGTTTATTATCATTTGGTGAACAAAAATTGACGAAAAATTGTTCAAGAATATTGGTTACAATGCAAAAAATTTTATAATTTCTTTTTAAATGTAATAAATTTTTCAATTTTTTTGTGATATTCCATATTAACGTAATCTATGAATATGGTGCTTCAGCCAATATTTTTATATCTGCTTTTTTTTTTCATTTTTACATTCAATCATGTGATTAAAAGAAAAATTCAATTCAATTTTTTAATTTGATAAATATCACCTGTATTATGTAAAACTTGTCAACATCAAATGGCCATGGAAAAATCTGATAAACAAGATCATGACGATGATGATTTATATGAGAAAGGCCGATCTTATTGGGAACGTATTGCACCGAATATTGATGGAATGTTAGGTGGTTGGACCAATATCAATACCAGCGATGTAGATGAATCCAGAAAATTACTTAGGATTCTATTGAAACCAATCAAAATGATCGAATCATTGAAACGTCCACTTAGATGTTTAGATTGTGGCGCCGGTATTGGCCGTGTTAGTAAATATGTTTTGTCAAAATTTTTCGATGAAATCGATCTACTCGAACAAAATGAAACATTCGTTTTGAAAGCCAAAGATTTTCTTGGTGATGGTTATCATCGTGTGAAACATACTTATATACAAGGAATGCAAGAATTTGCTCCTATCGATGGTATAATCTATGATTGCATTTGGGGTCAATGGGTTTATGGATATCTGACCGATGAGGATCTGATTTTATTTCTTGAAAAATGCCTTCGAATCCTTGATAAACAGCATGGATTTATTGTGGTAAAAGATAATGTATCTAAAGATGAAGATTCATACGTTGACGATGAGGATGGTTTTGTAACAAGAACAGAGGCTCAATTTTTGAGTTTATTTTCTAAAGTACCAAATTTAATTGTTAAAGATATTTTTCGACAAAAAAGAATGCCAAAAGAATTATTGCCTGTTAAAATGTTTGTCCTAGTTCATGCAAAAACCCGTCAATAATATAGTAATGATTTTGTAAAAATATAATTTTTTGAAAATTGATTTTTTACCAATAAAATAAAATTCAATAATAAATACATCGTGCATGATTTAATCATTTTCATCGATATTGCCACACAAATGGTCGATCAATGTGGTAACAGTTGTTCCGAATGTTTTTGTATTGTGCAATATAATTTGTTGATCAATTTATTTCAAGAATTACAGAATCGTTTATATTATGAATCTTACAGAGTCATCATCATTGTTATCCGGATAAAATGGCACATATTGAAAAATTTAAACGTAGTTTTGAGTTATTGAAACTTTATACAACACAATCACCGAAAATATCAGCACCATTACCGGTGGAGAAATCATTGATTTCACCCAAGTATTTGTATGTAATTTTTATATTTTATAATGATCTGATCATTTTCTATTTATTCAAGACGTCAAGACAATATCATTGATAAAAAGGAATGTTTAAAACAATGCGATTATCTTGTCAATGTTCTCATATCCATTGGTTTTCGGTAATTTTTTATTTCATTTTGAAATTATTCAAATTTAATTTACTAGGCGTTTACCGTTGATCATATAGAAATCATCCGGATTTTAATAAATTTTTATCACAATCCATTGAACTTTTATTTCATCTCTGCAATAATGATGATACCGATATTCGTAATGTAGTCAATGAAACTTTTGATAAACTTATTGGTAATCTTATTGAATTCAATTCCAATCGATTGTTGAGCGAACTATGTAAAGGTATAACGAAATTTTCATCAAATCGTGCTTTACGTTTATCATTGACAAAGTTTTCCGAAATATGTCATCGTATTCGTTCGAACAAATATCGTGCATTCACAACGAATCTTTACTCAAGTTTTGTAACAATATTGATCGATTCACCTAAAGATGAGCTCATACAAGAAGCCTTATATACAGCCATCTGTAAGATCTATCCATTGCTTACACCTTATGCAACCGAAAGAGAAATATTTGATTTGATGAATGCTTATTTGATTAATCTATCATCATCATTGAATTCGATTCGACGATATTCTTCCCTTTCAATCGTTATTTTATGTGATAGTGCAAGGAAACCAGATCATTATTTTAATGTTGCTTTGAATCATGTCGCCAATCTTATGTCAACGTCGACAAAATCTATCATTACAGAAAATAAAGATTATCTACTTACTGGCATATTCATGTTGGCAAAATGTTCATTTTCAAAATTGGCCAAATATCTTGATCCAAATGAACATCCAAAATTGTTTGATTCATTATTGAAAAACTTATCATACATTTATCAGCAGATGATATTGACGATAAAATATGCAATCAATAACATTCTTATTATTGCCACACTCGAAGCTTTGGTTGAATTTTTCAATGCATTACCAGAGAAAATATTTCAAATGTTCACCGATCTTTGTGAAGAAGAAATGGAGTTCAAACACATTAGTTCATTCCGATCATCGGCGATGAAAAGTGTCATTAATGATTCATTAATGAATCTTGAGAATCTTAACGATGAATTTGAAGATGAAACATTTGAAAAAGCAGGTATATTTTTCAGTAATGCTGGATCTAGTTTGGATTTACCCGATGATGTATCTGAAGCAAGCGAAAGTTTATTTGCCAATTCTTTAATTGAAAATACTGGATCTATTTTTGACCATGAAAGTGAAATTGATACGAAATCCATTGAAAACAAAACACCTGAGTTCGATCTATCATCTGAAGCATCATCATTGAATACGACAAGCCATAAATGTCCAAATTCACCATTTGATATATCATCATCATTCGATTTGATCATAACCGAAAATCATTTACATTCAATTGATTTCGATGATTATAATCTTGGTCCATTGTTTTCATTCGAATATGCAGGCAAATTAATTTGTCTGAAATATCTTCTCAAAGTTCGACCCGGACAATTAATGACCGATGCCGAAGTTCGAGTGGCCATTAAAGGTCTATCATTATCTTGTATAGCATCGATTGTTCAACATTGTCCGAGAATTTTATTTGAAAAACTTGCATACAAAAAAACTGCCACACAATTAATCAGAGATATATTCTCATTTTCAACACATTCAGATCCAAATATTCGTGGTCATATGGCAATGATTGTGGGAAAATATCTAAAACGAGCTCTATCATATTCATTTTCATATGATGAATTTCTCGCACAAAACAATCCGGTTGGCAATAATAATAATGAGCTTTCACTTGATTTTTTGCTAAATTTATTGGAAAAATTTTTATTCGACTCATCATCGATAACCATTCGTCAGACATTGATAAGTTTACAACAATTTCTACCGATATTAATCTCACATAACGAAATCAGAATTATTCAAATATTCAATCTAATACATCAATTAATTCGTTTGAAAGATAATTCCTATTGGCTAATCAAAATCGAACTAATAACTTTATTCGCTCGAATTTCATTTCCACATTTGAAACATATGGAATTTATGCTTAATTCAATCACTATAGAAAAGCCATTATTAAGAATTCATAATCATCTTTTAAAACATGTTCCCATTTCAAAATTGATCATTGAAGAAATTCTTTTCCATTTTCTATTCGATTCCGATCATCGTGTAAGACAGGCTACATTGAATTTGCTTACAAATTTTATTGATAATATCTGTCTAAATAATTATGTCTTCCAAAATGATTGCATCAATTTACTAGTAATGAATTCAATTCTATCGAATGATGATTATTTGAATGAAAAATCAAAATATTTTAATGGTAAATTTCCATCACTTGATCTGTTTCAGCATTCATTGGATGGGAATCCTATTCCAAATTCACATACACAATCCAATAATGATGATGATAATGTTGAATTTGTTAATTTCAAAAAATTAATTATCGAATCAAATGTTGCTTATTTTGTTAAGAGATTTTTCTACGAATTACGCCATCGTTATTATTGTAAACAATCATTGTCCATTTGTTTGAATTCGTTGAATACGTTAGCGAGATTATATCCACCGGATAAACATCCGAATGGTTGGCTTATTGAACCGATTGATTCATCACAACACAATTCAGTCGAAATGATCATGTTTCTCATTGAAATTTTAACGAAAAATCCTATGATGCTAAATGACTTATCATTACAACAGAATCTTGCCGAATTGATCATGTGCCTAATTGAAAGTGTCTGTCTTGCTTGTTTTCAACAACTTCAGCTACAAAATCAACCCAATGACTCACGTATCGAATCAACTGGTGATCTTTATCGAATGATTTCTTCGGATTTTGCCCATTGCATTGAAACATTTTTCCTATATCTATACAAGATTATTGTCATATATAGTGCTATTAATGAGGATAATCCATTGATATTCACAACATTTATCCATAATCTTTACACTCGTAATGAATCGATATCGGCAATGATTAAGAAACATTCGACCAGTTTTTTTGATATGAATAAAGATAAGAATCTTAAAGAATCAGCGACTGTTTCATCATCATCATTACCATTTGGTGGAAATAAAGCAACCCGTCGTCGTGAAACTTATGCATATGATTCAATGTCATTTCGACTGTTTGAAATTCTTAAAAATCATCGTCACCATCATCGGAAATCAATAACAATAATGGGTCGAAGTGATAAATCATCATATCTTAATACAATGCTAACAATGTTGGCAAAATTATTAGAATTTACTAGCTCATCATTTTTATGTAATCATCTGGAAGATATGCTCATCTATTTAAAAATGATATTCTATATGAATCCATCGGCTACGATTGCATCGATTAATCAATTAATTAAATGTATATTTGAAATAAATTATATTTCATTATTTATTGAAATATTTAATCACAATGGTGGCTTTCGAATTATTGATTATCATCATCATCAACAACAATCATGTCATTATCACCATCATCATCGTCGAGATACAAAATCAAAATTATCGATTGATTTGAATAGTTTACATAATATCTGTTTTGTCATACCGTATATGAAATTTAATGATTTACCATCAATTGGTGGCAGTGGTGATGAATCAAGAATAGATTATTCATCATCATCATCATCGTTATCCTCATCATTATCATATCTAAATTGGCTACGAAAATGGATCGAATATAAATATATAAAAATAATGAATTCAGATGTAACACGTGGAACTTTAGAGAAAAATTCTGGTTTTTGTTTGAAAAAATTTCTTACAACAAAAATTCAATGTTTCGAACCATTAGTTATACAATCAATGAAACATTATGCAATGAGTAATGATACCAAATGTCAATCAATCATATTGGATCTTTTCGTACAATTGATTCAATTCCATATAAATTATTCATTACTTGATTCGGAAAAACTTTTCGTCGGATTTATAATGAAACAATTTGAACATTTAGAAACGATTTATGATTCCGGTCCATTCGAAATATTAATGAAACATGTATTCCATTTTCTTGCAACACTTTCAACTGAACATTATATTATCGATGAAGATATGGTTAGCATACCCAAAATTATTCAATTATGTGATAATTTAATTGCCAATGGTCATCAATGTTTAGCTATTGATGGTCTTCGTATACTTATTGAACATATTTTCTATTCAGATTTATCACGATTATCATCAGATAATATTAATTCATCAACATTAATAAATGCAGATGCAGAACACTTACAATTGGCTATTGAAACACAAAAAGAAGTAATTGTAGCATATTGTTTTAAATTACTAAATCAAAATGGTACATTCCATCTATTGGCATTAATATTACAACATTATAAACATCGTGATCCGATTAAATGGAATGATCTTTCACAGCAGATATTAGATATTATAATTGGAAAATTGTTATCGAATCAGATTCGAATCGATTCAAGAGAATATTTTGATTCATTACAATCCTTATTAGCTATATTGTGTCCAAATGTATTATCTCATTTGACATCATCATCATCATCGTCATCATCATTGGAGATAATGTTGAATGAATATAGTTCTTATCAGAATTCACAAATTCTTTTTAAACATTGGCTACCAAAAATATTGGTATATTTGAAAATAATACTAATGGATATGAATGAAACAGTTATTATGAAAGAAATGGATCGTATTAAGACACGAATGAACATTATTATATTGAATCCCATAAACAATTGTCCCGGTGATTGTGTTGATAAAATTGATTCTGAAGATGTAGTTGCATATTTTCTTTTAAATCTTTTGCAGAAAATCATTATGGAAATTGATCTTGATGTTTCTAATGGGAATTATCATTCAATCACCCTTAATGATAATCATGATCATCAACTAGTTGTACATTTTCTTCGCTATTATCATATGATTTTAGTTTCAATTTTTCAATCGGGTTTCTATCCAAGATTAACTCGATCCGCAACGATTCTATTACGACAACAACCAAAATCCGAACTATCATTAAATAATGAGACATTTGATCTAAAAATGGTCAATGAAATTTTTCTTAAAATAACTAAATTTTATCCACTCCTTACAATTTCATGGCTAAATTTTCTTTATATTCTTAACTACGATAAATTGGCTAAAATTCTGTCCAAATGTATTGATAGAAATAAAGTCATAGATTCCAATGGGAATAATCAAAAATCAAAACAAACATCAACAACAATAATCAACTGGGAAATCTTGAAACGAAGTTCATTAATATTACTTTGTGATTATCTATCCGAAAATCTTGAAAATGTTGAATTCTTATCATGGTTCATTATAAATTATTTACATGAAATAATTGAACATTGCCATGAGATGCCAATCAAAGAGTTTATTAATGGATTACATCGTAAACCAGTGTCGAGTGGTTTATTATTACAAGTTATTAGTTCAAAATTTGATGATGAACTTGTAATGAATACAAATGGTGATGATGATGTTGGTGGTCCATTAATGGCACAGAAAATTCTTTATTGCCTTGAACGTTCACATAATCGACAGAATATAGCATTGATTATGTTTTTACTTGAACGATATATATGCAACATACGTTTATCATTATATTATAAATGTTGTAAATATGCCGAATCAATCATAATAAATCGTTTGAATCTAATTTATGATTATAAATCAAGAAAATCAACTAAACAACCATTATTATTTAGTTTTGAAGATTTTGATAATCTATTGCGAATTGTTAAACATACATCATATAATAAATTATATTTTACATTAAAAATGATACGTGTACGTTTCTATGATTCAATGATTGATCATAATAACGTACATAATCAACAACAACAACAACAACAGCAGCAGCAACGATTATCAAGAAAAAAACGTCATCATCAAAAAAATATTAAAGATCCATTAAGATTGAAACGGATATCCATACCGGATATGGATAAAAATTGGTTTACAATAATGATCAATAATCAATTATCACAACGACAGCCTATCAACAATACGGCAAACATATTGAATTCAATCGATCGTCTTACCAACAATGATATTATTGATCTAATATTTTCGTCAAAGTTTTCTTTGAAAAATTTTATCATTATATTAAAATTGATTGTTGAAAAGCAGCTGGATAATAATAGTAACAGTATCAGCAGCAGCATTGGTAGTAATAAATTCCATAAACATCAATCGTTTACTAGGCCATTGGAATTGGCCAAATTTATTGTACCAATTTATTGCCAATTTTTACAATCAATTCTTGAAAGATTTCCTTTGATTTATTATTTCAATAACAACGGCAACAACAATGTTCAAAATAATCAAAATATTCGTACCATCTATTATGATGATGTTCGAACAAAACTTTTAACACATAATGATTTTCCATTTTATACTAATCTACTACAATCATTTAGTTCATCATTTGCCTATTTTATTGAACATTTATCATTATTTGATAATTATTCAGTTGTTGGTAATGATTTTCAGGAAGAAGAATCGTCAACCACTACTACCACTAGCACAGCATCATTACAATCAATAATCATACATTTAACTATCGTATATTCAACATTATTATATGATGAACAGAATCGACAGAATTATCAGAATGCATTAAATATTCTTCTTGTGATTGAAAATTTTCTCGATAATCGAAATCTGTTTGTCGATTTTGGACAGGAAAAATATTTATATCTACAATTAACATTGATCAATGCGATTCATTATACGTTTAAACATCGTAAGTTTTTTGTTTTGTTTAATTTTTTCATTGAATTCTTTCACTGGAATGATTTGATCATAATGATAATCATAATAATTACCATTTTTTTATTTTTTCAACATTTTGAACAACATTCATAACTAGATTATTCATTGTCAATGGCCGATATTTTTATCAATGTTGATTTAACTAATTTAACTACAGAATTCGATATCACTGTGGATGATTACGAAAAACTGATTACAATGTTTCATTCATTGGAAAATAATTTTGACCAGAATTTAGATGAAGGAAAAATTCCACCTTTATATCATCGAATGATACAACGAATAGTATTGAATCTATGTCGTCTACCGAATTTTAATTCATTAATTTACATTCCATATAATCTATTGAATTCACAAAATCCGAATATCTGGAATGGAATACAATCATTAACAAATATATCGATAATGGCTTCACAATTTCTATGTGAAACAGAAACATTTAAACAATTCTTATTCCGCATTGCAAACATTGGTTTCGTGAATCGTCGACAATTTGAAGAGATATGGATGACATTATTGGGTGTATTTTCTGAATCATTTTCACTCATTTCACAATATTCTCGTCAAGGTTATGGGAGTGGTAGTATGGAAGAATTGAGTGAATACATTATACTCACGAAATTAGTAATAATGGCCATTACAAATCTATTATATAATGCAAATACAATTCTATCAAATAATCATTATCATTCTGATTATTCAATATCCGATTTATATGATAATAATATTGATGTCGATAAAGAACATATTGTTTCATTTGGTGAGAAATATGAACAAATTCATCATATTATTCATCGAAAATTTCATACGGATGAACAAACCATAAAGCTATATAATGATCCAATATTGAATCGTTCATTTTATTATAAATTCAAATCAATTCATGAATTCCATTTCGATTCAGTCGGCCGTAATCAATCGGAATCAACATCATCATCACCTATATCATCGCCATCAACATCGACGATACCTATCAATAATAATGTTCAAACATCGATTGATCTATATTCATGTATACAATTTTTGATCGATTTTTACGCACAACAGATTCAACCATATTTAAGTAAAAATGCCATATATTTTCCTATCGTAACCGAAATGGCTAAATCAACATTAATTTTATCCGAATTATTTGTCGATCGTAATCAATATCGTCGTGTATTAGAATTGTTTATTGATCTACAAAAAATTGTCGATAATTATGATGATGAAATTCTTGGTCAATTTATTGGAACCGGTTTCTGTAAATTTTATGCCATTTTAGGCAATTCTGATGAACAACTTGAACGACAAAAGAAGCATATGTTTGAAAGAAATTTTAAAGAATTTTTTCTACCCACACGAATACATTCGATTAATGCCATTGAATATCTCATTGATGGACAAATTGTCAAATCAAAAGATTTACAACCTTTATTGGATTATATTGCCAAACATTTAAGTACCGAACACATCATGTGAGTATAATAATAATTCCTATTTTTATCTAGAAGCGAAGAATGAAGCGAATTGAAACAAGTACATCTTATTTTTGTACGGTTTTTTCTATTCCTTATTAATTTATTTATTTCCTTCTAGACCGAGTAGCTATTGTCGAGAATATGTTGATAAATTGGTACGAATTTCATTCAAATTGATTGATTCATATTCGGATATTGTTGTTGTACCCAATAATCAATGTGATTATCATCGTGAAAAGATTATGAAGGTAATGATTGCTTTCTATATCTATGCATTATTATTATTATTATTATTTTTTCGTTTGTACTCTTTTTATATTATTATCCCCCAAAATGATCCAATTTCATAAATTTATAGGGCTTGATCAAATTAATTGCGAAAGATATTAATATACGTGTATTGAACACATTGATACATTGTTTGGAAAAATTAATACGACATAAAAAATTGAATATGGATGAAGCTAATCTATTAAGAAATCTATGCCTAAAACGTATGAACAATTCAACGACTAATACATCAACAACAATAACAACTAATCGATCATGTCAGATACAAATGTTAAGTATGATTGTCAATACTACTTATCTAGGTAAAGATTTTTATCCATCAATAGCCGTTCCAAATAATGTTCTAAGTAATCATTCATTTTTCTTTTTTATATTTACCAACAATTATATCCTTATTTCATCACACAAGTTGGAACAACAAATTTTGATCTAGAAACCAATGATGATAATGATGATGGTGATGAATTATTTAAAACAATGGAAAAATTATCAATCATATTTGAACCATTACGTTGGTGTAATTCATTAGATGCAAGAATTATATGTCAAGTATTCGGATATTTTTTAGCCGAATTTTTTCCCGCACAAGATATATTGAATAAATGTATTGGTGAATTTCTTTCGAAACAACAGAATCATTACAAATATTTGATTGAAATACTTTATATGGTAAGTATATGAATCGATCACACATACAATCAAATCAAATTAAATATAACTGAAAATTTGCCACAATTTTATTGAAAATATTTGTTTACTTTGTTTTTCTATTCCATTATAGATTTACAGTAAACTACAAATAGATTGTCAACAAAATGATACGGCCGAAGATTGGGTCATATTATCATTGTCCAGTTTTACACAATTGGTGCCAATATCACATGCATTATGGGCATTAACTTGTTTTCTAATCTGTGCATCACATAATCATTGGATACGATCATGGTATGTGCAAAGAATTGGATTGACATTGAGAAAAATTTGGAGAAAAAAAAATATTTTTATTCGATTTTTTCAAAATTCATACTTTCTCACATTTTTTTTTTGTTTTTTTTCCTTTTTTGTTACAAAATATTATTCATCGAAAATACTTTCGTCGCTCCATAATTGATCGAAATAATATTATTATTATATTAATAGTTATTATTATTTCCAAAATCGATTTGGTAAATTTAGCGAACACGATAAAAGAGCTTTTTTCACCATCTGTAATAATTTCTACAATGAGGTAACTGTTTTATATATTTTTGCCTATATCTTTAGTATATGTGATTTGAACTTGCAAATTGTGCTGGAATAATAACCATGCACACACACACACACACACAAAACACACAGAGTTGGGCAAAACAGAATAAATTCTTTTGTGCCCTCTTTGTTTTTTTCTCTTTCTTGATTTCTCACAACTTTACTATTGAGTTCGGTTCCATTATTTTGTTCAATTCTCAATTCTCTAGACATTTCAATTTTACTTTTTTTTTCTCTCTCTCTCCAACAACCGTACAACTGTGTATTTGTATGTGTGTGTGATTTTTTCAGCGAATCAGAAAATTTAGAACTGAGAAAACAATTTGCAAATAGTGGAGTGAATCTTTTTTCTCTCGGCGAACCAACAGGAAAAAAATAATTTCTTAATTAGACATTTTTTCTCTTTTTCATTTAACATTTATTTTTTTACATTTTCTTGCTTTTTTTCTTTATTCTTCTTTTTTTGTCTTCCATTTTCATTTTCAAAATGAAATCATCTTCATCTTCATCATCGTGGATAAAATGTAATTCTATAATGCAAAAATAATCGTGGTCGTGTTGGTGGTGGCGGTAAAAAAATAAAATTTTCTTCTGGCCAAAAAAAATAGATCAAATCGGATGATAATAAAATGTCGTTCATAAAAACATTCCAGAAAGCGGCATGTGTGCCGAATTCACCATATATTGAAGTTTTACAATATTTATGTGATGATAATCTGTGATTAATGATAAGAATAATAATAATCGAATTCACTTGCTAAATTCATTTCTTTTTCGTTTAATTATGATGATCCAATTGTCAATGTGTATCCATTGAGATGAATTCAACTGTATAATGAGAGCAAGAAAAAAAAACCTAATGAAATCCTTAATCCTATCATCATCATCATCATCATTTTTTGATTCACACACAAAAATAGATTCTTTCACATTTAGATGGCCTATGTACATCGATAGCTAGTATGAAAAAAAAACAAAGAAAGATTTTATTAATAATAATATTAATACCGATATAATAATAATAAATTTAATTGTTTCAAATGCAAAAGTTGTTGTTGCCATTATCATTATTATTGGATAGAAAATGAATGCTATGTCTGTGTATAAGGCCAAATGATGTTGATAGGCGGATCATCATCATCATCATCATGACGACGATGAATAATATCGTTTGGACAAATTTTGATGATGATAATGGAAAAACACAAACACACACACACTTAACTAAATTTTCTTGGCTACCGCACACACACACACACACACACATATCGCAAGAATCAGAAAACCGAAGAGAAACAATTTCATTGTAATGTTTCTTGTTTTAACAATCACTCCTTTTCTCTTCCTTTCTCTCTCTCTCTCTCCCTCCAAAGAATTCTTTTTATTGTTTATACTATTACCCGAATTGATATCATCAAATACAACGTGACTGACTGACTGACTGACTATTCTATACGGTAATGATGATGATGATGATGATAGATTCCAACAACAACCGATTCTTTTGGGACCAAAGAAAAAAAAATGGATCCAGAATAAAAAATGAAAACCCAATAATTTTAATTACAATAAAAATATTTTTTTTTCGTTTGTTTTGAGAACAAAGTTTTCTACATTTTTGAAAGTTATCATTTTCCATTACGACCAATTTATATGATGATGATATTGGTGGCGGTTATGTGGTGTATATGGGATTTTTTACTTTTTTCATCCAAAAAAGAAAAAGTTTCATTAATTGTATAAGGAACAAATACACACAAAACAAAACGTTATTTCATGTATAAAATAACATGTATCGAATTCGTCCGGGAGAAGAAGAAAAAAATTCTGGAACCAAAATATTTCATATAGACATACATATGAAATCATAATTATTCGAAAATTAAAAATAAGATAAAAAAAACAAAATTGAAATTGCTGTTTTAAACATCCGATCATCGAATAGCGAAATTGGAAAATTTTAAAAATGCAAAAACATCCTATCATGAACACATTACCAGAATGTTGATGTAAATTTGAATATCCGATTGATTGTGAAAACAAAAACAATTTATAAATCTGAAAATTTATTATAAAAGCAAATAAAAAAAAGAATAATAAAGCATGATAATTTTATGTGAAAATTCTGTCAATTTTATATAATTTTATAACATTATCATAAACACACACACACACACACACGGTGAAAATAAACGGACAAAATGCATCTGCTATTGCTGCTATAATTTCCGCTACTGATGATGATGATACTTTGGTTACCGGGTATTTTTTTTTTGTTTAATTCTTATCTTTTTTATTATTCACCATCCATTCCCAACTGACAAAATATTTTTTGCAGAAAATTTCCGAGAAAAAAAAGCATACCATTCTTTCACATAGAAAAATTGAAAACAAAATAAAAGTTGAAGTTATAAAAGCTCCGGTTTTATCCATCTACCTACCTGCCTAATCTTGGGTGTATTATATAAACATCATCATCTTCATCGTTGTTTTTTTTTTTTTTTTGGTTAAAAAAGAGAGAATATAACTAATTTAAAAAACAAAACAAAAACTTTTTTTTTGTAAAAAAAAATTGAATAACCTCTTTTTTCAACGAAATAAAAGAACTTCATATTAAATGATTAAAGATTTTTGTTTCATATTGTGATGAAAATGTAAAACGAAAACATGTCAGCAACTTTCTCGCTTAACAAAAAAAAAATTTTAACCGATATAAAACTATATATATGATGATTGAGCGAGTTTTTCAATTTCAAAAAATTGTCCTCCTCGACCTCTTTTCCAATCTGGCAACCTTAAGCAGAATGATAAAACAGAGACCGTCCAAACAGTTTTTGGCGGCGGTCGCCACCGGGAACTTGAACGAATTTTTTTTTCTTTTTCTCCCAACATATGTCCAAGATTGGATAAAAAAACTAAGCTATTGAAACGAACGTCACGGCTATATATATTATCTTTTTTCAAATAAAAGGATGTGTATTTTTGGTTGTCGTTTTTTTTTCATTTCCATTTTATTTCATTTCTTTCTAGTGATGTCATTTGTTTCACAAACAATAATGTCATGAAGAAGAAACCTAAGAAAGTAATGTGATGTTTTTTTCCCGTCAAAAGCCTATAGATATCAGACACAAATACAAATGAAAATAAAAGCTCATTAACCTAACCAAAATTTCATTGACAATTTTTCCATTTCAAAAGGATCATTATTATTGTTTGGACAGCTATGATGAATCTATCTATCTGTTTATTGTCATGAAAGATGAAAAAGAAAGAGAATAAAAATCTAAATTTAAAACCCCCCATTTCAACGTATATTCGATGTGATATAGTATTGATCAAAAATCCATAAATTAAGATTTGTCAAATAAAAAATCTCTGAATAACATCAAATCGCAGAATCAATATCTTTTCTCATCATGGGATATATTGGTTTTTACATAATAATACATCAAATATATTACGATGAATGTCTTTCGTATGATGCATGCGGATGAATGAATGAATGAGTGAGTGAGTGTGATCGATAACAACAAAAACAGAACAAGGATTCTCCATCAATATATGGGTATGTTATTATGGCTGGTTATATATAAAAAATGGTGAGGTTGTATAATGCATTGTATGGTATGTTTTGTGTGCGTACATACATACAAGATGAATATCCCTTGTGTGATGATGATGATGATGATCGTATACGACAACACAAAATGAGCCCGTTTTGTGTGTTTTCTCTGTGATATATATAAAAAAAAATAATGGCTATAGTGTGCGTGTTTTGTATATATGTGGTTATAATAGTTGCCTTGGAACGCAAAAAAAAAACAAATAATATAGCCGGTCCTTGGGTCTATTTTTTACTGTTGTTGCTCATGAGCATCATCATGTTCGATTCAAGACCAGAACGAGTATAAACAACAACAAAAACCTTATGTTCTTCGCCCACCACATATTTTCGTCATACATACATACATATAAAGCTATATATTGAATTGAACACCAGAAAAGAAAACCAAATTGAACCAGACAGCCAAACAGTCAACCAACCAACCATTACAGTGAATATATCACAAAAACACACACATGCATCATTCACCGAATTCAGACAAATGAAATTGCCAACAGAAGCAGTTGAAAATGAAAATATCAAGAAAATGAAAACTAAATTGAACTGAACTCACATGAAAAATACAAACACACCGTGAAAGAGCGTGAACCCATCATTATGTACAATCAACAACAATAACAACGAAATAAGAATCATCAAGCAACGAACGAAATTTTCTGTATTATAATCACACATCTTGAAACGGAATTTTTTCGTTGGTTTAACCGACAACGATTTTTTTTCATTCATAACCTTCTGATTATTGTCATCATCATCATCATATCAATTTTCAATCGTGGTGACAATAATTCTTATTTGAGTGTGAATGTTTTTATGTGTGTTTGTGATTGTGATTCGTGTTTGTTTTCGATATACAGCCCAAACAACTATTCAATTGAAAATTTTTTTTGTTGTTTCACCGCTTTTCATTTTCCCGATGATCCAGAGGATGATGATGACGATGAACATCGATATGATTTGTTATTATTATTGATTCATAAACAACAATTCGATTCGATTTCGATTTTGTCATATTTTTTTCATGAGGAAAAAAAATTCATTTTCAATCTCTCTCGCTCGCTTGCTCATTGCATTTGTAACCACTATATATTGTGGTCGACACACACACATCATTATATTTTGTCAATCAAAGAATTCATTATTAACAAAATGATGAATAAATAGATCATTTTTTTTAATTTGTTCGAAAATTCATCATCGGTGGTACCGGTAATTCTCAATTTGCTTCGATCAATCAATATTCTTCAATAATAATCAATTAGTGTTTTAATTTTTTTTTTCATTTTCGGTTATATCGAAAATAGAATTTTTTTCCGTTATTTGTTCCATTAAGTTTATTTATGTATTGTTGTTGTTTGTATAATTCCAACATGAAAAAAATTGTGTGTAAACACTTTTCTTTGTGTCTCATTATTTTGACACAAAAAACAAATGTCAAATGTTTGTTTTTTGTGTCAAAATAATGTTTGTTTATGATGTCATTTGAATCGTTGAATTGTCATCATCATTTGAAATTAAATATCAGGATCAGAAAATTTTGTTTAGAAAATTTAGTACAAATTTTATTCTATTGTATTATATATTTATTTATCTTTCATATTTATAGATCATCATTCTTTCGTCGAACGTTGTTGAATTTCAAAGAATATATTTGTTTCGTAAGAATTATAAAATCCTTTGAAATTGTTTGTATGTGTCTATGTACAGAAAATAATCTTATTCACCAATAGTTTTATTCTTCATTGAGGATGATGATGATGATGATGATGATGATGATGATGATGATTCTGTGTTAAAAACACCATTAATCATCATCAATCAATCATATTCAAAAGAAGAAAAACCATAATACAAAATAGATAGATAATCCTCAGACCAAATGTTTTTTCTTTCGGTTTACATATCTGGGGGATATTCATGATGATGAAAATACGGAACAAAATCCTTTTTTCCGTTACTTTTCTCAGTTTCATCATTTGATCCAATCAAATAATGATAAAAGAAGAAAGAAATTCTATTTTTGATCTGGCCAATTTTCTCCATCTTCATCACCAACTTTTATTGGATATCGATCTATTGATCGACCTATTCATGTCTGTAAATTAGCTAATTGAATCATTATAAATAATGATCATTATTAA